AATGTTTACATTGAGGCATATATAAGAGTGGGTGAGGCCTGGGGAAGCAATAAACCGTTCGAATATATAAGCCACCTTGATACAACAAGGAAGTGAAAAAAACACACAGCATGATATAAAAAAGCAGGTCACATTTGATTGCATTCAATGAATAAAGGATTAGAGTGCCTCCAAACTATAAGGCATACATAACGCTTGGTAATGTTAAAATGTTTAATGTGAATATATTCTTAAACCTCAGAAAAATGATTATCAAGAGAGAAACACACAATTTTGGCAGAGAAATGGGTCACTCTTGGAATTACCTGAAAACATGTTCTTGAGTTGATTTAATTTCAAAATATGTATGGCATTAATAAGTTAAGACTATTACCTTAAGTTTATTATTTCATAAAAATTAAACATGTGGTCGTACATTTGGAGTTTCACCTTATAGTGACGGATCCTTCACAATCTCTCGGCGATATGTCAAATCAAAATTCATTCTTACCCGTTTGTATATTGTGACAAAACGCCCCCTCCCCTCTGCATTTTTCAAGTGACCTTTTTGCGTCTCCGATAACTATTTTAGAATGAGCTCTTTATATGTATGACACTTTTTGGCGTTAAAACCAAGGCGATTTGGGGTAAGAAGGACAAAGTTATAATAGTTGGAACTTCATGCAAATAAAATTGAAATTCATACAATATTGATTGTTACATTTTTTCTAATACTAGAATAATATAAAATACCCTTATATCTGCAGGAAATTGGATTATTGCATGATTATTGCTTTATACATATCGTTTTATACATAATCATTTAGCATATTAATATATGCTTAATTTCATGGAAATTGAGCCACTATATATTGACTAAGTATGAATTTATTAAAGGTAAAAAACGGTAAATCTCCAAGTATTCGTGAATTGCGTTCTCCTCACGAATTTCAGAGAACCCTTCCAAAAACTACTCAATGAATACCGTTGAAATTGTTTTTGTTTATACCTAAATGTTTTTACAAAGCGTTGAAATAAAATTATGATTTTCAAACGTTTAGATATACTTTCTTTATTCTCCCTACCCCCAATTTTTCAATTTCACTATTTCGATGTTTGTGACGTTGCTAGGCAACATCATCGACCGAAATTATATTGGATCAAAACCAAATTAAACATTTATACATCTGCAAACCAAATCACTGATTGGCATTTGTTGTACTACTTGAAATAGGAATGATAAGACAAAAACTAGTTGAACTTAAAATGCTGACAATTCGATTTCACGTTGAGTTGATTTTAATGGTATTTCTTTTTTTTCTGAAATAAGAAATAATTTACCCAAAGACAATTTAAAGTTTAAACAATTTTTGTAAAGATTGCTTGTCAAGGTTAGAACCAAATCTGCCAATATTTTATTGAATATGTTTGGAATGAAATAATAATACAAAGCAAAATGTTCGTTGTGTTGCGTTACTAGGCATATTTGAATGCGCTTGAGATAGCAGACAAGATGGCCAGTGCCGCAGAAAGCCGGAAAAATATCGGAAATTGCTATTCTGGGCAACACCACTATGGATTGGGAAGTCCAACAATGTATAATATTACTTATATGAAAATGAACATGTGCCGACCTATCAATATACATTATTCGAACATGACTGTATTCACGCCTTCTAATAAACTGTGAACAAAGTCAGCATTTATCCCGGGGTATATTCCTCAGCAAAACCCCGGGTAATACGAGTAATGTGTGACGTCATAATGTCGGGCTATAGAAATGCCAGACAATAATGACCATCCGAAATATATCCTAATGTAGTGGGAAGAAACGACAACCACTATGTTGATATTATCCATGATATCTCAATAATCTTTTTAGGGTAGTCAGAAAAATGTTAAATGCTTCTTCTCTGAAAATGTGAAATGCGAAAATAAAATTTCAGAGCAAAATTAGCTTTACTCACTGAACACCCTGTAGTCATCCAAAATAGTAATAAATAACATCCGATGAATAATTATAAGCAGGTATACACACATTTTAATAGCCTGTATATTGGGCATATATTTTATCTATGTAATGTTATTAGAAAAAAGCAACTCCCTGGAGTAGCGAATCCTACCAAATACATTTTATCAAATGCATTTTGGACATTGGGCTACATTAACCTGTGTGAAGTGACGTCAAGTATCAATTTCCTTCTCGGGTAGAAGTTTATACCAATAATACATTTATTTAAAATGTGGACCAAATCGAATGAATGGTATTTGTGTTATCAGGAAAATCATATTTTGAGAATATTCTGAGAAACAGTGGCAATTTCTACTTCAACAGTCCTACGCCAAATTAAGTTATCAAAAATTATGAAATTCAGCAGTCATTTTAGAAATTCCTTCTTGATCAGATTTCTTTGTCAATCAGGCATTCGCATAGCTTTAACGAAAACCATGAACTGGTATTTGAGCTATCAAAGATTATATTTTACCAATCACAAAATGAGGTCATTTTAGAAAAAACTTTAAACCACTTTTGATAAATTATCCCCTCCCCGGCTGATAGGGATGGGGGTCAGAGACTAAAATATCCATGAATGCCACCCTGATTCACTTGCCCTAAAATCATTTTTCGTCCAGATCATGTGTTTCTACAACTGTGGCAAGTGTGTTGCTTTCCTGAAAAATATGATCTATAAAAGGTTCATCTGACATCGCTACTTGAGTTACTAAAAAACATTATTTCATAAAAATAGCGTCATTTTGAATTGAGCAGTCATCTTGTAAATTAAAATCATTAGAATCATATATCCCCAAAGCATGAGCATTTAAAAGTTGAAACATATGTGTCCACTGGTATTCGAGTTATCAAAGATTATATTTTATGAAAAGTGGTAGTCATTTTGAAATGAACGGCCATAATAGAAGTCCTCTTTTTAGTTGAGGTAGTTTGCCAATAAGACATAGCCAATAGAAATTGGACGATATGGTATTAAGTTATCAAATAATACATTTTTATGAAAAATTCAGTGGGCATCTTGTTCTTCCTACATAGACCAGATGAAGAGAATGGAAGCCGCAGAGCTTTAAATGACAGACATAATTACGTCCTTTGCTTTATACCCCTTCCTTTGTTCGAACGAACGTAGGAACATACTGACGGACGTCCTTGCGATATCGCGCTACGAACTTCAATCGTTGGGTCAATTGGATAAATATTGGAATCCGTCAATTGTTTTAATCTTTGAGAACTATTTGGACGAGGTTGAAGTAACTGCTTTTAAATCTGGATATTTCGAAATACGTACTACAGTTAGCTTTAGCAACGTTGCAAAGCAGGCAAATCAAAACAATGGGGTAGGAATTTGTTTTAATAGTGAACTAATTTAATTTTCAAATGCATTTGAATATGAGAAACGAATGTATGAACATTTGACCTAGAGTAAAATTTAGAGGGGAGGGAGATTTTGTGTTGTTAAAATTAATTGAATAGTATATGCTTTCATAATCTGGGCAACATTTGATGTTTAGATTTTTCATTACTGATACTAGCAATATAGAAATTCATAATTATTACAAAATTTTGGTATTGATCTATTTTAGGGGTAAACAATCTTATGACGCATTTACCGTGCATTGGATGATAAATAAGTAAAGAAAATCAAGACTGTATTTTTCTATGCCCGCGGTGCTAGTGAATTGCGAAATATTTTAATGAGTTGCACGCTCATGTGTTTTAACAAATAAGCTCATTCAAGCGCACTAACAGTTACATACTTCTTTTGAAAGACATCGCGGTTTATTGCAATCGACCTTTTGTGGTGCTCTAGTAACAAGCCGACGTGGTTGACGCACACAGTTAGCCGACAAGATTGACATATTCTAATTAGTGGTGAAAGTGTGCTTGGATGAACAATTTTTGTTAAAACGTGTGACAATAGAATTTGCACATATTGTTTGTTTATATACATATTGTTATTTTGTGATACCTGGGGGATCTCAATAGAGAGGTTTCGCACAACGGGTTAACTAAAACGTATCCGCATCCGTATCTCGTTACGTTTACGGATACGTATTTCGATAATTTTCGTTTCGCAGTTCAATCCGTGTTTAATAGTACTGAAAACTTTTTAAATAAAATAAATCATCACTAAAATGTGCAATACACCATTGAGAGGGTCAGCTTTCAGAATCACAACTCCATAAGTATTATTTGTGAATACATTAGAGAGATTTCGCACATAAGTAAAAGTACAACTTATACGTATACGTATACTTTAAAGGGTCATGTCGAACTATTATATTTACTAAAATCAATTTTAAATTGTACTTAATCGAACATAGCTATTCCCGATATAGAAAAACTCCATCAACCAGAGACTGGGAATGCACTGTCATCTGCACGTGTAGATTATGCACATTATAATTAAATGCTTGCTTCCGTGTCCTAGTAGTTGTAGTGTATTATAAACACGATCCTTTAAAGTGAGTCATGGTCCTTTAAAGTTAGTCATTACATAAACAAGTTGATTATTTCAAAGTTTTCATGATCATTATAAGTTCAATGAACTTACAATAAAACGGTATATTTACGTAGATGATAAACGTATACAGTTGGATCTCCGTATAAAGCTTTACCTGCATGTGTGTGGAACAATAACCCAGATGCGAGTAGAAATAATCTTGATTTACGTCATTAAAAATTCAAAATTCAGTCAAAGTAATATCATATTTGAAATCTACATGTAAAATTACATCTAGAAATGTGGTTTTAAAAAGTGTTTATCAACTTTGAAAAATTAATTTTCTTTGAAAATGTGACTTCTAGCTCGGGGAGATTCCCCATAGACCCCATGCTATAAAATCACAAAAAATGAAATATATTTTCTTTGAGTGGACAGATAAAATTTTGCTTTACTGGAAATATTTTCATTAGTATAAGTATCAGACACATAAGGGTTATATGAAAATTGAGTCACTTAAATTGATAATATTCAAGTTTAAGGGAACTTTCTTATATACCTGCCATGTTAATTGACCCGAATCAGCCACCTGGTGGTGAAACTGGTAACTACCTACTCGCATTTGGGTAATTGACCGCAAGCATTTTTTAAAATTAATTGGCTGAGTAGGAACAGTATCCAATCAAATACTTTAACCATCAATTTGAAACACCAATCAAACCAGTAGGTTCTAGCGATTCCTGGAAACGACCCATTCAGTAGCTCAACAAATTACATACAGGGTGTTTCATAACGAGCATCTCCAAAAAGTCAATTTGAGAAGAGATGGGTCTATAACATATGTACTATATTTGAGCCTATTTTATTTTAGACAAATACATTTGGATCAACTAAACATGCTACAATTCAAGAAAGTACAAATGGCATCCCTTTGACCTTGATTTATTACAGTCCGAGAAGATCTTTCCTGACGCGACGAAAAGCCCACATTATGAAACACCTTGTACGTTTACTTATAAGTATAAGTATACGTTATAAGTTGTACTTTTCGTATGTGCGAAATCTCTCTACTAATACATATCAACCTTTTCATCCCCAAGGGGTCATTTATTAATTTCACGAAATCAATTTCAAAATGAAGAATATCCCTAGGGCCAGAAAACATTATTTCAGGGTTTACAATAACCAATTCAATTATACTTTGGGGACAATTTAAGGGTTTGAACACAGTCAGGCTGATATAGTGATCATTTAGTGAAGTGCAGTGACTGCATTATGTTAAAAATGGGTAAACATTTCTGTTTTCAGTAGAAATGATATTTGATATTCGAAATTAGTTGTACATTTGCGTTTACTTGTTTTTTCTTGAGAATATTAAGAATGCAGCAAGTGCGTTTTGACTTAACATGAAAGCATGCACGCTTGATGTAACATCATCATATCCCCTTTGACCTCATTATCTTTTTAAATATGCCCTTGTAAGTATTCTTATCAATGCTATAATTAGTTCCAAAGGAGCACACGCAATCTTAACAAATGGTATAAGTGATTCACTTTGTCATATCAAGCTCGAGTGAAATCCATCCAGCTAAATATTTGACCTCTATTGCAACACCTATTTACTCATATAGCATATTTTTATTTCATTCAAAAGTAGAATTCCATCGTAAGCATATGCATGATGTCTATTAAAGAGTAATTCCAATAAATAGTTCCTTAGACATAACAAACCAAGTAGGCATTCGTAGCATTGGCCAAGTCGGTCTCTTACTTATAATTATCTTGATTTCTATCCCATGGTGAAAGATATGACCGTCTAAAATCACTTATCATACTACACACGGGCCTTTAATTTCATGTTTTTGCATATTTTGATAATAATTCAAGATCAGATAAGTAAAAAATACCGACTTGGTGGAAGCAAAGTAACATATTTGATCATAGAAAAAGACACAAATGTATCATTTATGCAATAAAAGTACATCTCCCCTGTTTTGTATGAAAGATCAACAAAAATATATTATGTAAAAGATAAATTGGCATTGCTTTGCTTGGATTCATTGAACAACAGGAGACCCCCTCGTCAGAGAATCAGAGAACGACACAAAGCTAACACCCATCATACCAGTTGAATATCTCACACAAGAGATTGCTTTATATATGAATTCATGTAGGTACCAAACCTATAGCATACTAATAATGTGTATAAACATATTAATATACCCTTTCATTCTACCCAGAATCAACTGATTACCAACAACATATAATTATGTGTAAATTGTGGATATACAGTACGATGATCAGACTGTGTATTGTCATTTTAAAGAAACTTATGGACAACCTGTATGATAAACCCACTGATCTTTGATAGTCTGATCGCAATCATAATATTGCAGCTCCTTGCTTAACCGGGAAGTTTGGGAAAATTAGGCCTCACTCTCTTCAAAATAGAGCATTTTTAAAACTTTTGACTGCTCGAGTAAAATGCTTTATCATTTCTGATTTTCAGAAAGCAGTTTAGAATAATCCTTGTTGCAGCTGTGGTGTTCCTGGTGTTGTCAATATGGAACGGAATGGTTTGTACACAATAATTCAAAATGATATCATTAGTGCATATAACAAAATAGTGCCGTGGGTTCTGGGCTCACATGGTGTTGCTCAAAAGTGAATGATGGCTAAAATGACAAGAAATAAAAAAACGAATATAATTTTTGCTGATATTTTGAAACAAAATTATTTCATACAACTTATCTTTCCAAAGACATGGCTTTTTACAATGCAGAACACCTGAAATTATTTGTAAAGCTAGGAAATGGGCCAAAGGTGAATTTTGTGAGACAAAAATGGCGACCATTTTGAAAATAGGCGAGCTTTTGAACCAGGAGTCATAGGGAGTTGTTGAAGAAACAGGACTTCAAACAGGAATCCTATCGACAGAGGTTTTAAGGCAAATGGTCCAAAAGTGGATTTCACAAGACAGATGGACAAATCGATGTTTCCGACTTGGAGACTGGATTTTATCTATCCCACATCATTTGAGACTGAATACTCTATCTTTTATGAGTACTAGTATCTACAACTACTTTTAATGTTATTGGCTATCATTTTTTTCAATTTTTCTTTAACATGTATTGTAATGACTTCAGTATGAATGAAATGTCCCTTGGTGTTCTGGTCCTGAATTGTGATATTGGTTCTCGATTGGAGGGGAGGGGGATGTTAGACTATCAGTTATCACACGTTTCAGCATGTGATACAGGAAATATTCCACGAAAGGTAATACTGTATCATCCACGAAAGCGAAGCTTGAGTGGTGATACATTGTTACCCGAGTGGAATATTTCCTGTATCACATAAGCTGAAACGTGTGATGACGATTTTATCACATGTCTAGGAATTTTGAAGCATTTTGATTTGGTCAGTTATGATTGTGTTCAGTACCCCGTGTACTTCTGGTAACTATTATAATTTTTGATTTCGCTTTGAAACAATATGACGTCATACCGTTGTATTCGTACTTGTTTCTGAAATAGTATGACGTCATATTGTTTTCCTTAGCTAGAAGTGATATAATCAGTGACGTCACATCGTTGCTATTGATCATCACTGGTTGGCTCTAGTAACGTGTGAGACGGCCGTGTGAGACGGGAAAACTCACATGGTAATCAACCAATCAGATTACTGGAATTTTACAGAGCATGTGATAAATTGTTTCTTTTCACGTTTGATCATGGTTTTGGGATATATTGGGTCTACTTTTCTTATCACAGATTTACACTTACAGTTTGCTTTTCTTGTTGGGTTTCTTTAAGTCTTAGTCACCCTTCCATTTGGCATTTGCGCTTATATATTTAACTAAAATGGCTTCAAATAAAAAAAACGGATATAATTTTTTGCTGATTTTTTGTAACAAAATTATTTCATACAAATACTCTTCACATTGACATGCCTTTTTACAATGCAGGACACCTGACTTCATTTGTAAAGCTAGGAAATGGGTCAAAATGAATTTCACGAGACAGAAATGGTGGCCATCTTGAAAATAAGCGAGCTTTTGAACCAGGAATCACAGGAGAGTTTTCTGTATTGATGTTGAACAAAGATTACTTAAAACGGAAATCCTATCGACAGAGGTTTTAAAAAATGTTCATTTCCACTTTTTTCATTTTTAATTCCGGTTGAGCGTTTGCACTGAACGAAACACTTAGTACAGAACCAGGGCATTGATCTCGAATATGCCCCGGGTGAAACATTGACTTTGTTCACAGTTTATAAAAAGCGTGAATACAGTCATGTTCGAATATTGAATAATGCCACAATAAAGCAATTATAATGTATAGTCAGATATGCGCGTGTACGAAAAGTTTATTCAATGAACTCTCACCAGGAAATTTTTAGACCCCGGATTTTTAGCGGTATCGTGACTACTTTTTTTCGCAGTATCGCGACTACTTCTCCTCCATGTGAGATCAGAGATATCCTGTTAGATTACTTTTTAACATACTTCTAAGATTATCTTGCTATTTTAATCCCAATATTTATTTCTAAAAGATTTCTGACTTCTTATTCCTTGTTTGTATCCAGAGTTTTACCACAAATAATGTGACAAAAATGTAAAATTAGACTCTGGAAAAAACTTTAGACTCCGGAAAAGCTATTAGGCTCTAGAGCAAGAGATATTTAAGACATTAGACTCCGGAGAATCTCCGAAGTCTAAAAGCCTAGTGAGAACCCAGCTAAACGAAACACGACTACCTGGCGATTCACGAGTATTGACTAATTCCTTGATGAAAATGTGACAAATATGAAATGCATTAAATTTCAAAAATTTGGTCTCAAACTACCAGATTCTATTGATTGAAATTCTCAGTTTAGATATGTACTAAGTAGTCCACTACAGAACTGGCAGCGTGCAAATGAAGAACTGTTCGTTACACGAGACGATTGGGATGTTCCGCACAACTTCACAAAGCAAATGCTCAATGCGACATCGATTACTGAAACATTGGAAATTCTTAGCAATTATCTTGAAAACAAACAGGTACTATTGCGTATGAATACATTTGTAAAAGTAACATGTATAAAGATTTTCGCCCTCAAACATCAAATTATATCAACTATTCATTTTAAGCCGAAGATTAAGAACGTAGAGTCCATTTCACTGCTTCATTTCGTCAGTAGAACGGCAAAAATAAGAAATTGGGAGACCATTGTGCAATAATATATGGAAAAGTATATTTGTAATGTACATGAATGACATTTGTAAATTTCAGATTTTTTTGTGCAATAAGCCTGTACCGTCCTGTAATTTGAAGAATTTCAGCCATGTTAATCTTATTGAAAATAACATGGCAGAGAAACATCCAAATATAAGAGGCCACACACTTTATAAGCCAAACTAGAAGCAATCCAAGATATACAAATGTCATTCATGTACATTATGAATATACTTTTCCATATATTACTTTGGTGCCGTTTAAAAAACATGGCTACAGATAGGACACCGAAACATATATCAAAATGGTCTCTTCGACATCATAAATCTTGGGAAAATCTCACCCGGAAAATGTTACAAGATCTGGACTTTACTCAGCTTATCAACAATGATACTATATCTCGAGTTAAATGCCATCTTAACGAGGTCAAAGAAGCATTTTTTTAGATTGTGTTAAGGAAATTCCTGACTTTCACCAGCTTAACCATATTCAACAATTTTGCAATATTATGTCAACACAGAGCCTACAAAGGACACTATCCAAAACACTTATAAAAATGATTTTAAAAAGACGTACTCTACTGTGATAATTTAACCTTTTATATAGTCATACTGAATCTAGTCTCTCATAGGTCGACACCGGCCGGGCCAGACGATTTTAATATTATTGTTTTATAATTGTATGTATTTAAAATGGCGTGAGACATAAATAAAATATAACATAACATAACATAACATATTATTGCACAATGGTCTCCCAATTTCTTATTTTTGCCGTTCTACTGACGAAATGAAGCAGTGAAATGGACTCTAGTCAACATTGGAAACTGAAATACTCATTGGACTTTGTTTTGATAATAAGCACTTAGAAGTTTGTTTATTGACCAAATCTACATAAATTAAACCGTTGAAGATATGATACCCAATTTGATATACCATTGACATTGTTGACATTTTTATATATTCTGTATTGTATATAAGCCTATATGTATGTGCATGCATTTTACCTATTTCTTAAAGGTATGGTGCCCCGAGAAAAGAAGGTTTGGACACAGAAAAGATGGTGGAAAAGATATATGCGTGGCACGTCCATTTAACCTCGTTCATAGGCAGTGTACAGTTTATTCATTTGGGTAATAAACATATTTGAGTCGTCATAGTTGTATGTTCAAAAATAAAGTAAAAACTATGAGAAATTAAAATATAAAGTTTCTATACGATAACGGCTAATTGATATAACAAATTATTACATGAGGAACATCTAATGCCAACACCTTTTGATTTTATATTATAACATAGGAGGTAACTAGATCCCGATCAACAGGTCAACTATTACCATAATACTCATATACTAGGACATTCATTCGGGTTTTAAGACTCTAAAGAAGTAGCAGGCCTGTAGCCAGGATTTCTCAAGTGGGGTTCTCTTTTTGTTAAATTTACATCCAGATTTGCACCGCGCGCAATACCTAATTCAGTTACTTAATTATCATTGACATACTTTCCTTCGGATAATGAATGGATCTTAAAGATATGCCTATCTTCGTGGTCAGCCTGAGCGTTATAATCAAAGATGTAACCGTCTAAAATTGTTTGCAATAACATATACGTCTTGCAAATTCTGCTGCAAGATTAACTTTTAATGTCAATTAAGTTAGCTTTTTTGTCACTAGTTTGTCTATATGGGCCAAGACTCAGCACGATCAAATATTGATCATAAAAGAGTATAAAGTTCGATCCTTTCTTTTTTAATTGTTATACAGTTATATGTAATCAGTTCATTCTGACACTAATCTTATTTTATTTAAGATTTAAATTTTAAAAATACACTTCATTAAAATATTGATTCTAAAAGATATACTGTTGCGTCATTGTGAAATCGTAACCTTTCAGAAAAAACATCATTAAAAATTGAATTAAATGGCCAATTAGTATTACTATAATATTCGGATAAAATGATTTTGCTTCTAGACACCACATGAGCTCCAATTACAGATACGAACAGAACTAATGTGTTACATATATCACAGTAAATGGTTGAATTCTATTATAGCACGATTGAATATTGATCATAAAAGAGTATATACCGTTCCTACAATTCTCATTTATTAAATTGTAATAGCGTATGTAATCCATTTCATTCTGACGCTAATCTTATTTTATTTAAGATTTAAATTCAAAAATACACTTCATTATAAAATATTGATTATAAAAGATACACCGTTGCTTCATTGTGAATTCGAAACTTTTCAGAAAAAATCTATTGTTATGATTGAATTAAATGGCCAATTACTGTTTTTATCATAGGTTCTGGGCCGATATAAAGATGGCAGCACCAACAGAATCCAGTATTATCTTTTTCTTTAAAGAGAAACACAGATAAACACAGAACGATTACCATGCCATCTTTATTTAAAAATGATTTCTATCGCCCCTGAGCCTATGGTTTAATATCCTGATGTCGAAATGATTTTGCTCCTACTAGACCAGGTGTAAAAGGGTAGAAGTTCCTATCAAATTATGGTCCTACTCTCCGATTTATATGGTAACCTAAATACAACTCTTTCCCTCATTATCTTATACACAATCAGGGCCAGTAAGGGCCGATAAGAAAGGGGACCATAATCCCTGGGCCCGTCCCTGGGGGACCATCATTTCTTTCACACCGGCCTTGTTATAGTTTCGAACAGGACACATGCCTTGGTCACATTTGCTACGATTTATAGGAAACAAACAAATATATATAAAAATGCATGTTATAATAATAATATTAATCTCTTAACATAAGTATATACAAACATGTTGGCATCTGCATGGGCATCTCATGAATTGACTGTGACACTCTCTTGCGTATGAAGTCGCGTTGTTTGCGGCTTGTGAATGAAAGTTGAATTCTCCTTCAAGGCAAATGAAAATCAGTAGCCCGATAATTATGTGGATGGTGCTATATTTGAAAACACCATAATGTTGATGGTGCCGCGTTAGTCTGAAAGCGCCATAATATGGATGGTACTTAGGTCTGTAAGCCCCATAATGTGAATGGTGCTTGGTTCGTAAAGCCCATAGGTTCTGGGCCGATATAGAGATGGCAGCACCAACAGAATCCAGTATTATCTTTTTTTCTAAAGAGAAACATAGATAAACACAGATCGATTACCATGACATCTTTATTAAAAAATGATTTCTATCGCCCTTAGCCTATGGTAAAGCCCCATAATGTGAATGGTGCTGGAGTCTGGAGCGCCATAATGTGGATGGCGCTCGAGTCTGAAAGCCCCATAATGTGGATGGTGCTTGAGCAATTGCGCCATTATTGGGGATGGCACACGCGTTTGAAGCGCCATAATGTGGATGGTGCTAGAACAGTTGGATTCCATAATGTAATGGAAGTGACGATTGAGTGCAGATTGAGTGTTTTGTTCAAAATTGAATACAAATTTGAACGAAACACTCAATCGGCCGGACGCCGGCCGATGGATCGGAGCAAATGTGACCCAGGCATAATACGCTACATAGCCCCACATGAGCACAGTAAATGGTTAAATCCATTCTGATACTCATCACATTCTGCCTTTAACAAGAAATATGAAGGCCATGGTTTCTCATTGATGGGTTAAATCTTATCTAATTTATTTCATGAACTTTTGGGAATTTTTGACCGGGGGTTCGCACGAACCTCTCGAACCCCCGCTGGCTACAGGCATGAGTAGTATTACTAAGTTGTCCCACGCCAGGCAAATGAGGATCAAGTATGAATCATGGCTGTCAATCTTCCTTGCCAAAACCCTTAACGTTTGAAATCATTGATACTATGGCTTTAAATTAGTGACAATCTGTATCTAGGGAATGAGATGGTTATTTCTGTATACTATTCTAGTATATCATGCTATCACCGAGAATCGGGACATAAAGCTATATCCATAAATGGTATTACTTTTAGTATATCTTTTAATGGTTCATCTTGTAATTATTTTAAATATATTAATATGCAATCTTTTTGAAAAAAGCTATTCTAAAAGTTTATAGATAAAGTTCAAAGAAAAAAATCAATGTTTGATGTTTACAATCAGGTAAAGCCATCTTTAATATTTTGTTGTAGGATCGGGAGAGATTTCAGTTTTGATGACGAGATTGCAGAAACGTGTGAAGTTTTTTCATATGATCCAACGTAAGTCAGTCAACTGATATTTGATTTTGACTTTAGCGACTTGAAGAAGATCTATGTTCCTTGGCGAAAAATATGGAGACTGTCAAGTGTTTTTAAGATGTAGACGCACTTTAATTGAACAACTTTGGTACCAATGTAGAACCACTGAACAGCAAAAACACATAATGTTTCTGGAACTTTACAAAGGTCTAATTCAGGAAAGGCTCAAAAGTTGTTGATGAAAAACCTGCCCCGAACTTATCGAATGTACTTACACTATTACATTTTGTCTTTCAAAAAAAATATTCAGACATCAAAACAATTTTTAGAAAAAAACACAATAAGGGCTACAACTATTCATATGTTGATCCTGGTACAGTGGGGGATATTAGAAGTCTCATATATCCATGGCCTGGGAATGGTGATACAGAATCAAGATTTACTCATTTACTCTTTTACCAATTTACTCATGGGGATAAATGTATGTCAACCTACACTTGATGTGGAATATTTCAAAAGATAGTTTAGTAATAAAAGGAGTAAAGTTACAAAACAAATGTTCAAGAATTAAAAATGGGAACATTTTCATTTGACACCCTGTATATAGATTTGATGTGAATTAATGCGAATTTTACATTTTCCAGGATAGGGTTAGAAGACCACAAACGAGGACAACATGTGCATTTTTTCAACACTGGTATCAAAGGCGAAAAAAGTAGATTGTCCGACAAATACAGAACGAAGACCGTTCTGGAGATCTTTCGAGAAAACAAGCATTTACACGTGAGAATCCTAATATGTAATCCTATATATGCACACAAAACGAAATCAAGTAATAAATACGAACCTTTAGGTAGAAATGGAATGTACGATTCGTATTTCGGGAGACGTTTAATATATCATCATAAGGATTTGAAAAAAAAATCAGATTAGCTTTTATTCACGAATGCAACTTTTAGCTGTCGACTACCGTTTAAACCTACTTTTTATGACGAACTCATTTTATGAATGGAAAAGTGACAGGTATTATTCATATCGAAATGAGTTGCCCATAAAATAGTATGTTAATCCGGTATCCAACAGGCGTTAGTTGCATCCGTGAATACAAGCTTAGATTGCTCGTATAAACTACAGTACTATTAGTAGTAACAAGTAGTCTAAAGGTTGATTGAAAGATGAACATATTTATGAAAAGGAAATATATGTAAAAATACCACTACCTCCATCTTTCTGTCGACATTACATGTGCAGTAACCATAATACATCGATATTAATGATTTAAATATAGGTTATTTAATGGGAGGGATGGACTATGAATTTTATTCCGAGGGAAAAATGATATTGGCCAAGGAAAATGTCATATTGACCGAGGGCATATTCCATCAATAACCTATTTATCCAATAATATTTTTTGAAACAAAACCCAAGGTTAATACAGTGTGATAATTCCCCGATGTTTTATTGTAGTTTGATTTCCATTTTAGACTACAATTGACGTGTTTAAAATAGATGTCGAAGGAAGCGAATGGGAAGTAATAAAGGATATGCACAAGTCAGGAGTCCTGTCTCGGATCAAACAAATATCAATGGAGGTGCACATTGGAAAGACAAATAATTATAAAGAGCGTTATCAAATACTACAATTGTTAGAGAAAGCAGGATTTAAGTTATTCCAATCCGAGCCAAATCTTCACTGTAAAGTTTTGTCTAAGGCTAATGCTATGAAAGAGATTCGGAGTTGTTATGAAGTAAACTATATAAATATGAACTTTTTAAAATAAAGATATAGTCGATACTATTAAACAGCGATGATGGAACTATAATTTGAGAAGGAGCAAGAAACAGAGTTTCATTTTTTCATGTTTTCTTTATTTCATGATAATACAGTAGTACAGGGTCTACGCCTAGGCATTATTGGCCCTGTTAAAATTAACTATATAACAATACAAATACAATACATGTTTGGTAAAGAAAATAATCAGGAAAACTTGAAGACAGGGTAGAGGAAGAAATATAAATATGAGTTTTGAATTGTGAGTTATTTTTTGACTTCCTTGAAGATAGCAATAACCTTTTTATTTGTAATTGAGTCAAGAGATGGATCAGCAAAAAGTAAAAGATCTACCCTGTCTTCTATGATTAAAGGAGTTTAAATTAAAGGATGGCAGAGTTCCATTGTTTCAGGCGTAATCGTATATGACTTCCCGGGTACTATTACGTATTATGTGAACTCAGATATCAATTTCATTGTAAAAGGCGGTCGCGTGCGCTATTTTGTGTATTTCAGTGGTCCATGTGCAGTACGGCAAGTGATTTTAGACGGTCATATCTTTCACCATGGGTACTTTCTGGGCATCAATACAGAGGTTTTTATTAAAACAATACGTTTTCTTTCAAGTGAAATCCCCATGATAGTAAAATATCAATCTAACCCCCATATCACACCAAACTAGTTCTTACCCGTTCTTGCCAGTCCTACGAAAACGTCGTCAAACGGGCTCAATCTGGCTGTGGTCGGGAAATATGTCTGAAATAATTAGCTTCTTCGTTCTTAAACAGTCTTCAATACGTCCATCTCGTTCGCAGTTCGTTCAGGTCGCACCACGTCGGAGTACAACGTCGTAGAACGCGTCCCTTAGTCTAGAAGGTCAACATGACCTGATTACAGAACGGTATGGTCGTCATCGATTCAAAATTCTAAAATCACATTCCCGTCTGAGAACGTTCATAAAGTTTGTAAATAGACCTTAGAAAGTTGCAGCTACGTTCATTCCGTTCGCACACAGTTTAAAATCAGTTTTGAAGAACGCAGTGGCAACTTGTTTGGTGTGATAGCTATATTTTTGCTAACTCGTTCATAAGCAGTGTTAAATACGTTCTTAATCAGTTTAAACCCGTTTGCAATTAGTTCTACCTCGTTCTCAACACGTCCGCAGACAGTTCAACTCGTTGTTAAAACGTCCCTAGTAGGATTGAAGTACGACGGTTCCGTTCGTAGTACGTCCAGCTCGTCGTTAGTACGTTGTCACTCGTTCTAATTGTAGAACGTGACGACCACGAGAACATTTTGAGCATTGTCTAAGTTCTAGAGGACCTACCCGTTCGAGTACGTTCGATGAAGTTTGTAATTAGATCCCAAACGGTTCTTAGTAGGTCCAGTCCGTTCGTATACAGTTGAAGCCCGTTTTCGAGAACGCAGTGAGAACTAGTTTGGTGTGATAGTAGGGTAACTCTCTGAAAAAAGTATGGATAAGGACCCCCACCTTGGCACTTTTAAAAAAACGTTAGGCTCATTTTATAAAAAAGGATTTTGTTTTTCTCAATTTATACATATTGAAAGTTTCTTCTGCACTATACTAATAATATCTAAAAAGGGGATGCGTATTTCCAATAAGGAAAACTCGTGCTATCCATTGTTTTCAGCATAATTTTGGTCATCAAAAATTGATATCTTCAAAACTAAGACTTTCAATACCATTCTACGTTTGAAGAAGCTTTAGACCCCTTGTTGAATAATCTTTTCATGCAATAAAAACCAGGAAAGAAGATCTTCTTTTGAGTAAATAGGTTCAACATTTGAAAGAAATGTTGACATGGGGGTCCCTATTCATAATTTTTCGAATTGTTCGATTGATATTTTTATTATCATCATGGGTACTTCGCTTGAGAGAAAACATATTGTTCTCATAAAAAACACTGCATACACGTATATTCCGAGAAAGAATTCATGGTTAAAGATACGACTATTTAAAATCACTTGCCATACTGCACATAGACCTTTAACACATTTGGAGTACCAAATGTAAAACCACTAAAGAAAAAAAACCAGAATGATTCTTGATCGTTACAGTGTTCTCATACATGAAATGCTCAAGAGTTAATCATGGAAAACCTGCCAGGGAAACTAACTAGTTAAACTAAACTAAAAATCAATTTTATGTCTCAAAAGATACCCCTGTTGAATACATTGCTGATTATCAGATTTCCCGTATGTACAGTATGGCGTCGATTAACGGTAAAAAGTGACAATCACGATTTTGTGAGTTGTTCTATTCAATATGTTCCAACTGTTTTCCCTATCTACGAAATTCCTTGAAATGTTCTCCATGTATTCAAAGTACAAATACATTGTACCTCTGAATCTTTGGTATGATAATCCAAAAAAATGTATGACTCATAAAGGAACTTGCACCCTTTCCTTTACAGATATTATATAATTCATGAGCCATATGATTGCCTGGATTTTATAAATAATGCCTGACCAAGACGATGTTAACACGTCGCCCTTCCCCACTCACACCACAAAACGTCCAATTATATATTTAAATAAATTGATGAAGATGTAGTATTCTGGGATCATGCATTTTCTCATATGCAAAAGTAAGGGGAAGTAAACTAAACATCTTGGTTGTTAGGTATGTAAAATAATGACGTAATTTTATTATAAATTACATAACAATATTTTTTGCCGACAGGGCTAACAACCGCCAATAGCTGATTACGTTGGCTAGGCCAAACATATTATATTCAGCCTTAGACATTATTTTTGCAGACAGGGCTAACAACCGCCAATTGTTGATTACAGCAGCTAGGCCAAATATATTATTTTCAGCCCCAGACAATATTTTTGCCAATAGGGCAAACAATAAGTTGTTAATCGAAATAGACTGTAAGATTTACAGGAGTGGTGGCCAGCTACGAAATCAAAAATCGGTATGGCATCGAATGGTTGTTTCGTTCACAAGTTTGATGTATAACATAAAGTTGATAGCTGGGAAACCAAAACTTGGCATGACTTTTAAAGGATGGTTTGTAAACAAGTTTGTTTTATTACATAGGACACCGCCTGCTCGTTCCTCTCTGTCAAGAGGAGGGGTGTTACTGAGCATTTTGAAATCAGAGTGATTTATTCAAACCAGTTTATGACTCATAAAATATAATTCGTATAATATTCCTAGTATTCCAAACATAAATAGTAAAGTCAAAATAATATGCTTTTGGCCATTTTAACTGTAAAAACAATCAAATTTGATCCTCAAAATAGGAAAACCGGTCCAATCACAAATATAAAAGTCGTGTCAAAAATGTGCCTAAGATTAAAAAGAAAAATGTTTTAAATCCAAATCCATCTTTTTGGTCTAGATCTGCAAGGAAAGATTGCTAAGACATGAGTCATGGCTCATTTGAAAGGTCTCTTTGTGCTTTTTAAGATAAACAAAAATCAAATCTGTGAAAAGACCCCTTTTCCCATGCCCATGGCCTGGCTCATTTTACGTTGAGCGAAGTGTGAGGATAGGTTTATGAACTTTATTACACATGGATACCCATAAAGGGTTGAGTGTACACAAAGTAAACATTAATTTTACAATATATCAATACAACAGAAAACAGTATATATAACAACACACACAATTAATACTTCATAATAAATAAATAAGTAAATAAATGAACAAATAAATTGTATCATGGAATGAAAATGACCGCAAATTCAAGAAAAACGTACATAACTGGAACGATTTATGTGTCAAAATCAGATTCCGCTGGCTGAACATACTATCAAAATAAGCCAGATCGATGGACTTAAAAGATATAGCTTCGTTTTGACAAAATCTGTCGATTGCCGCATTGGATCTTACCGTGATATTATGGAATGCAGCGGGTTACAGGAGAGTGTTGTTTGATCCCTACCTTTGAAATATTGCAGAAGTAAAACAGGGCTTCGATTAAATCGTTTGAGGATGTAGCCTTAGGCCAGAGTATAGTTGTAATTAGATTCTTTAAGAATGAACTCTCTTTAAAGAGGCGAATTCAAACTCTTGAAAAGGGAATTGTGTCACGTTTTATTTTGATTGTCTGCCAGATGTCCACGATACTTAAACAGAGAGTGGATGCCGATTAAATAACGAGATACCTCGAGAGCAATTGAAATTTCTCCAAATTTTATTTTGCTTCAGGTGAAAAAATCATCATCATCTTAGCCAAATCGTATAAAAATAGTTCTCTCTAAATAAATTGTAAATCGTTAGATGCAGAGGATCTACTGATCTGAAGATATTCATCGTTAGCGCAATTATATACTATTCCGAACATGGCTGTAAGAGGAATGTTAACAATATGCCTATTTACTGTTGGCTTGATGTACTGGGCCAATGCCGAGGAAACTGCCGCAGCAGGGGGCCCATTCCCGCCTTGCAGGGACGCAACAACGTGCACGTGTGAACCCGTCATCAATGTCACCCCACAACAAATGGGTTATTGCGATTGTAAGAATCTCACAAATTGGCTATCCAATACGACGTCTGGGCTGTCAGAGGCAGAAGAAGATATTGCAGAGTTGGCAACAGATATCGAGAATTTAAAAGGTACATTGTATTTATGTTAATGTAAATAAAATGTCAACTAAGTCATTACATCTGGTTTTAGATTTTTAATACGGATTAAATCTATTTTAAATTCTGACCTATATCCCTATTTTCCTATTAAATTCTATCAATTAGGAACTGTCGATGTGCTAAAAGCGGATAGTCACAAGGCAGAGGCTGACAGCCACGATGAGTCGGACTACATGAACTACTACGACGAGATCGCACAGGCAACTTGTACAGCCATGAATACAGTTAGGGGATGGACCTTTGCTGTTCGTAGAACCTGTGCTACAAATGGTCGAACATGCAAAACGATTTGCGCAGATCGGCAATTGAGAGCCCAGTATCCGGGTGTGGTAGCTTCGAGACCGTGAGTATATTTCAAAAATGCAATCCCTCGGTAAAGTGGACTTCAGTTAGTGCGCACAAGACCAAAACTTTTGTGAAAAAGAGTGTCTTGTTCACTTGGAAGCAACCCGGTGCCCTCACCTAGTGAGCATTTTCCCGGACCGTAAATTTTGCGTATCTCGTTCAGCCTGCTGTAGATATTTTTATTCCCTTTAAATTATTGCCCCCCTCAGACAGACAGATAGATGATAATCTCCTCATTTTTGATTACTAACTTTGCTTGAATAATATATAACTCAGGTCGGTCAAGACAAGTAACTTAGTCAACATTCGATATTCGTATGTTCATCAATATTTACTAAGAATGGTGCCACAACTGAAGTAAACCTCTGGTTAATTATTTTCAATAAACCTATCAGCGTATATGATAATTTTGATGTTCTGTTACATATTGGTGAAGCAATCTTTGGGATATGACCTAAATTTCTGATTTTCAACTCTGTCCCTGTATACCCCTACAAAAGATATATGTTATTCGTCATTTTTCATTATGAACCAACCATAAATGTATTTTTTCTTGTTTACATACAGAATGAACTTTCGGTTTTCAAATATTGCAAGACGGCACTGCATTTATTTGTTCAGGATATCGAGCAAACAAATGCGTGTCAATTTACACTGTAATATCCTACATACTTATATTTCAAGGGTAGTTTTGAAGAATAATCAAGAAAATCCATGTTTTCAAATGGATTCATCCTTGTCAAAGAACGTGAATGAGGATATGCCGTTTGAAAAACTCACAACATGTTTCAAGTTCTTACAATTCTCGGTTATAAAAAATAATTTGAAAGTTGTGATTTCGAATGTAATATCCTACTCAATGCAATTTGTTGATATTTGTGAATTTTTTCTTTCGAAATGCACATTGCTGGATAACAGAACCTTGCCATGTTCGAGATGCACGAAAAGTGTTTTGTTAATACTTGACGTCGTACGGATATTTGGATGTGATTGACGTTTTAGTTAATCTCCTACCACTGTAATTTCCAACTTAATTTTTGGAAGCCAAATGTGATAGTCACGAATTGATATTTAAGTCACACGTTGATGCATACATCATGTGTGTACATTAACTGTCGAATACATGCCAACTTACATTAATATATAAATATCCACAATTAACTCAAATCATCAATTCTCGGAACGGTTTTTTGTTTAACCTGGTGAATTTAATGTTTCATTTTTATTCATAATTTTGGTATCGGATTTGAGTATGCTATAAGTCGAGGCTTAAACAAAGCAATAAAATTACATGAAACCTTTTGTGAAAATTCAAACGATTTTTCAAGAATCCTTCTTCAAAGTGATACCAAAGTGCTCCCCGGGAGTGGAAATTTCGTCTTGTGTAATCAAAATGATAGAGCGGATGGTTTGAATTTTTGTTTGAGTTTATAGTTTACATCTATAAATTGAAAAACAAATCGCCTAATTGAGAGGTACATGCATATTTTGGCGATCTATCATTATAAAGGGCAAAATATTGTGCAAAAACAGGAGTTGACACGCTTACATTTGAAAATGAAATTTCCTACATAATCGTCGACTCATGTTTAAAAGTCATGAAAACAAGGTTGAACACAAAACATTGACCCAGTTACTGTCTATTCAGCATGGGTTCACTAAGGGAAATATTATCAATGACAATTAAATCCTTTACAGTTCAGTTGTATTCCAAGAAACTTATCAATTTAGAAATGCATTGCAAATTGTTCAATTTTGTTTTTCAATTATAAAAAATGGCACCTGTAGAGAACAACGTTTTCAAAAAATTTTAAAACGGAGATATTTACTTATGCAACATTCATTGGCATGTGTCAGGGAATAAATAGGAAGAATGTGCATTTGATTCTATATCTTGTTCCTGAAGGAGTTCGTTAAGGAGCGGTATATCTTAACGTACTTTTATCATCTCGAACTCAAACATTTCGAATTCTTATTTCGAGAACGCTTTGTTGAGAATCGATTCGAGATGTACTCAAAATTAGTGCGTTAAAATGTGTATTATCATCTAAATAACCACCTCACAAATTATTTTGGAAATCAAAGATGTACGATTTTTGAGATTTTTATTTTCGAACGTTGACTTACTTACTTGGCTTGACTGAGGTGCGTTTTCTTGCTGTGCTTTTTGGTCATGATCACTTTTGATAATTGTGCTTATATACTATGCAGCAATTTATTTAACAGCATTTATATAACAGCTCTCAACTTTTTAAATAAAATGAAGTTAGAAAATTAAACGATTGATACTGTAGACATTTTTCAGATAAAGTAGCTCAACAAAGGTCAAATCGTGCATGTAAGAGCGTTTGGGTTGGACACCGTGAAGTTATCCATGGAAAGTGTACAGTTATTGTTACGCGGTAAACACGATACAGATATATGCCATAATCCGTAACGAATATGGCATATTCACTTGCGTTGTATGACTGATTCACCTGCGGTATATGGCATACACATTAACCAATGAGAACCCGATACGGAAGTACGCAATTGTTAATTACATCGATTCGACGAACGGGTTAAAGTCTATAAATCATTATGATATTTAACTAATACAATTGAATAACATACACCAGTGGTACCTGTATTGTTTGATGTTGTTTTATATATGTGTTACACGCAAAAACACACTTCAAGGGAAACATGATTACACATAAATAAACGAACCTACGTTCGTGAAGCTTATGAGTGATATTTACAACCAAATCAACAGTTTACAAAGACCAGATAAAAACCTGAAAAACACGAGTATTTGATCGCGCTTAATACGCTACTGATACTTTCAGAAGTATCATTTACCGATCACACGTAATAAACTAACTCAATCACTCCAAGATCCATAGTTTAGTACTCGAAGCGATAAAAACAATGGTAATCCACTATAGTTTTACATTTAATGTTGATTCTCTAAACCAATCAAATTAAAGGAATTTTTGTATGAAGTTCACCGCGCGGTAAATGCCATATTCCGAAACGTGTATGTCATATTCTCCGAGTGAATATGTCATATTACGCAAGTGAATATGAGGTATTCACTATATCATACTTCAATGCGGAATATGCCATACTCACTTGCAGAATATTTCAGATATCACAGGTGAGTATGCCATATTCACTTGTACCACAAATACCGCGCATGATAAATGTATGCCATATACCGCGTAACAGTTATGGCATACGCTTGTGCACCTTATCTGTACAGAAAAAAAAATGGAGAAAGTTTTTCTAAAAATATAGGGTTCTTATAAATAATTTGCGTTGATATCACTGATATATAGCATTTTCTGTTTGTTTTTCTATTCCAGAATGGCGTGCTTCAATTCTTTACATGTTAACTCGAACCAACCAAAGTTAGCCAAGGGACGTGCGGGGGATGAAAAGTTAGGATTGACGATTCACAAGTACAATAGTTGTGAAAACGATTACTGTGGCCCAAACTACTGCTGTTGTAAAACAGACAATTAGCCGTGAAACCGGACACCACTTTACTTTCTAATAATGAATTAAAGTTAGGTACGTTAGAGCCAGGATTCGTTTTGGCCTGAACAATAATGACTCTAAATACAGGCTTTGGAATTCACGGAGCGTTTTATTTTATTAATAATGTGTGTGAGGGGCGTTTAGTCCAATTCCTATATCCATTCTATCAGTTCTAAACCATATACAACTATCTTAATCTGTTTACATTCTGTTCTATCAGTTCAAAAATGTAAAACTACCTTAATCTATTTACATTATGTTCTATCAGTTCAAATCATGTAAAACGAGCTTAATCCGTTCATAAAAGTAATAAAAGGGTGACCAGTAGTGGCGGTGTGCCTGAAATATAAAAAGCAGCAATAAATTAGAACCTTATATCTCATATGCATATCAATGTTTCATGTTTTAAAGAAATGGGGATTAAGTAAATCATAAATGAAACTAGAGCATCCCTATTCAATGCCTGAAACATAAAAAAAATATTGAATACATACGACTTATGACTTCAGGAAAATGTCAAGCTGACCTCACAAAATATCATGGTGATTTGTAAAAATGTCATAGTGACTTTACAATTACAAATACAAAATTCAATGATGAAACAATTTACCTGGCTACTGAGGCTGCTAGGCTGTGATTATGGGTTTGGGTAAAAAAAACTAGGGCTTACCTAAAATACACATTAGGAATCCTTAGTACATGGTTCATTAGACAAAGAAAACAATCAAATATGGTGGATGTTGAAATGTACAAACTATCTTAAACCTTTTCCTAATTCTATAATAACTTCAAAAATATTTTGTAGCAGCTAGTTAAAATCTTTACCCATGTCAAAGAATATACTAGTCATATGATCAAAATAGTTCACAAACCTATTGAAAGGTGTGGCATACTGGGAGTGCATGTTTCATGTTTATCTTCAGTATACAATTGGAAATTGTATAAATTGTATATGATAATAATATAGAACTGTATATACTTGTACATACACACGTAAAGTTAGGCAGGCAATTGAATTTGCTAACTTTATTTAACAAAAAATTGATATGTTTCTTCAGGTTCAACAAAGTTATAGGGCTTTAAAGTCAAAATTGTTTTTCAAAAAACCTCTCCCATTGAAATAACACAGGAGGCGAAAAATTATTTTCAAAAATTACTTTGAAGCGCTGTAACTTTAATATTCATCAAATAAACTAAACACTTAGTGTTCAAAAAAGTTAGACAATTGAATTTTCTATATTTAAATATTTTTTTTGCTGAATCTTTTACAGAAAAGATATCCTGATTTTTTTTATTTGCCCCGAGCCCTCCATTTCCCATTGGATTACATTGGAATGACGATTTTCAAAAATTCATCAAATTTATCATCCATTTTCGATCTATTGTAATTGAGAAAAAAATTGAGAAAATTTGGAGGTATTGGAAATAAAGTCAAGTTACGTTTCCATCAATATCATAAGTTATTTCATAGCCGGTTAAGTAAATAAAAATTCAAACGTAAAAAGGCTTTAACACGTAGTTCTATGGGGGAAAAAGGTTGCCAAACTTATGGAGGGTATATTGTCATTATATCCCCCTACAATCTTAAAATTAGAGTATTTGTATCTTTCCTTTCCGGACACCCTGTATCTTTAACATTGGTATGTGTTTTCGTCCATCATCCACATATTAATGTGAAAATATTATGAATATATTATACCGATTTTATTCATAATCGGTAATCATAAGCATACCTTACCCTAAGGGGAGGGGGTACAAAAAGCCCAAAAAGTGAAGTTTTTTCTCTCAAACTTTCACACATTGTCAAATTAATGGTCATCTTTTGAATGGTAACAATATAATTTGAAAAATATATGTATACTTTCATCTATATTGTTTTAGAAAAAACATCCAACACTTGTTTTGTTCTTGGTATCATGTTTCCAGAGTGAAATGAAACATCTTTCCGAAACCCATTGGAACAAAACGACATAAACACAACATGTTTAGGTCTCTCAATATTGTAATTTTGGTTGATTTTAAAAAAGTATCTTGTTAATGAAATAAAAGGTTTATCTTGGTTTTTATCTATTTTGGGGGGGGATTTTGTTTTTCGATCTTTTCTGTTCATTTCGTGAACGTGCTGTTTTTTCAAAAAAGTGTCAATAGTAATCAGCCAAGTTCAGTTTGAAAAGCAACGATTGGAAACAAAAAACAACAACATACTCCGCATGAAACATGTTACACAAATATGGTTTCAATAACTATCTTGTTCGTTGCATGAACTTTGCTTTTGAAATTTAATCAAGACAAAAAACAAGTGCAGAATCTCATGTTTTTTTCAAACTTCAAACGCTCCTACTGAACTCTCAAATTCTTATAGATATCACAACTTAAATTGGTTACAAACTCAAGTTTCGTTCTAAGAAAATCCGAAACGGATATCCTACAGGGGGAATTAGTAGAAACGCGCTTTCCTTTCTATTTGTCAATACATTTTTCTGTGAGATCCGAGCCAACGATTTTTATTCCAGCGTACAAAAATAATGTCGATGATGATGAAGACCGGTGGGTCATTAGCGATATGTATGATTGCTGTTATCGTAGGCCTACTTCAACGGGCCAGTGCCGATGACACGACTACCGCCGCAAGGGACCCATATCAGACTTGCGGGGACTCAACAACGTGCACGTGTGCACCCGTCATCAACGTCACCCCACCACAACTGGGTTATTGCGATTGTAAGAATCTCACAAAGTGGTTGTCAACTACTGCATCTGGACAATCAGAGACGAAAGAAAATATTGCAGAGTTGGCCACAGATGTTGCCAATCTAAGAGGTATTGTTCTTGAACCCGCTTTATCACTGTTTATTTCTCACTGCATAATTTGAATTAGTTATTAATTACATTTCATACATTCGGGGTAATTTACAAATTTGATAAACAGATGGCTGAATGATAATATGTTTTTTTAAAGAATTGTCTTGCCAGTTTTGAAAATTTCTATACAAATATAGTAGATATCCTATGATTTTTGAAGGATACCATTTTTATCCATGAGTGGATAAATATATAATGGTGATTTTCAAAATAGAATTGGTATAAAACAGGATCTGTTGATGAGCTGAAGGCTACTAGTCACGACGAATCAGACTTTGTTAATTACTACGATGAGTTAGCACAGGCAACTTGTACAGCCATGAATCCGAATACTGGGTGGACCTATGCTGTACGCAGGCGATGTGGTGACCGTGGTAACGGTCGGGCGTGTGATGCAATCTGCCAAGATCCTCAACTGAGAGCACAGGATTCTCAACTTGCGAGTAGATCGTAAGTAACCCCCCTATCACACCAAACTAGTTCTTACCCGTTCTTGCCAGTCCTACGAAAATGTCGTAAAACGGGCTCAATCTGGCTGTGGTCGGGAAATATGTCTAAAATAATTAGCTACTTCGTTCATAAACAGTCTTCAATACGTCCATCTCGTTCGCAGTTCGTTCAGGTCGCACCACGTCGGTGTGCAACGGCGTATAACGCGTCCCTTAGTCCAGAAGGTCATCATGACCTGATTACAGAACGACATGGTCGCCATCGAATTTTGAATCGATTCAAAATTCTAAATCACATTCCCCGTCCGGGAAAGTCCATGAAGTTCGTAAATAGACCATAGAAAGTTGCAGCTACGTTCATTTCGTTCGCACACAGTTTAAAACAGTTTTGAAGAACGCAGTGGCAACTTGTTTGGTGTGATAGCTATATTTTTGCTAATTCGTTCATAAGCAGTCTTAAATACGTTCTTAATCAGTTTAAACACGTTTGTAATTAGTTCAACCTCGTTCTCAATACGTCCTCGGACAGTTCAACTCGTTGTTAAAACGTCCCTAGTAGGATTGAACTATGGCGGTTCCGTTCGTAGTACGTCCAGTTCGTCGTTAGTACGTTGTCACTCGTTCTAATTGTAGAACGTATCGACCACGAGAAAATTTTGAGCTTGTTCTAAGTTCTAGAGGACCTACCCGTTCGAGTACGTTCGATGAAGTTTGCAAATAGACCCCAAACGGTTTTTAGTACGTCCAGTCCGTTCGTACACAGTTGAAGCCCGTTTTCGAGAACGTACTGAGAACTAGTTTGGTGTGATAGTAGGGTAACTGAACCGTTTAATGAATGTAACGCAAGGGTGACAATATCCTTGTATTCGCGAATAGAAATAACCTCTGTCGGCTACTATTTTATAACCAACTCATTTGAATATGAATGGAATAGTGACAGGTACTATTCACATTTAAATGAGTTACCCATAAAAATAGTAGGTTTATCCTGTCGTCGAAGGGCGTTAGTTGCATTCGCGAATACAAGCTAAATGTGCAATAAATTGTTTTATATAGCCCCATGAGCCACCATTGTGCATACCGATGCAGATTTTCACAAACCGACCTTCTCTATGAATGGCAATTGCCTCATTCTTTTCTGTATATTCCACCTCTTTGCCCACCGTGTTATATAATATCCTTTTTACTTTTGGCAATTCATATACAATCACATTCATATCAATCCACAATAATATTTTTAAAAAAATACACAAGTCGGACGAGGACGTGTATCGTGAACGTGTATCGCCTTTGTATTTGCAATTTTTTCATTAGACAACTAAATTATGCTGAGTCTAATATGTTCCTTTGTTTTCCAGAATGGCGTGCTTCAATTCTCTCCATGTTTACTGGGACCGACCAAAGTTTGCTCATGGAGAGGCTGGATATGAAAAACTGGGGTTGAAAATCTACAAGTTAAACAATTGTATACAACAAGATTGTGGGCCTAACTATTGCTGTTGTAGATCGTAATTTGTGTATCTATAGGGCTAGTTTCTCTGTTTATTTGTAAAATGTATGTTTCAAGAAAAAGACGTAACGTATTTTGGGCGAGCACAACACAATACCTTTACATTAAACGGGCGAACCCAAATCATTTTATCTCTTGGCCGTCATGTGCCTTATTTTTTAATTTTGGGCCAAATTATCAAAAATGGGCATTTACTCAATTATAAATACGTCGTAACACTTATCACCCATTCTCAATAACAATGCAATTCCAAGCCTTAATCTCACTATTAACATTACCAATATCAATTTATGTTGTGTATACAAATGTATTATATGACCCTCTACTTAGCACCTATGTAGTATATTATTTCTAGGTTTCACATATATTAATACTAGTACATGTACGAAAATAGGCAGATTCATCATTTATGTGACTGGCGACATTGGTTAAGGAATCTTTTTGACAAGCGGTATTCTTTTCAAACAAAGTCAATTTACGTGATCATATTTTCCAGTCAATAAGTGTCTGATCATAGTCATACTATATCAACGTATTGTATGGGAGGGGTGTTCCTGTTTATCACTATTTTTCACTAAATTGACTTTGTTTGAATAGAATACTGCCAGTGAGAGGGTATTCGTATCATTTATGACACCATCATTTGTGATACCCAGTAGTACGAAAAATAGCTGTAACAGTACCGTACTCATAGCTCTGAATAAAGTTTTTTTAAATTTAAGCATTTATATTGATTTGAATCTGAATGAGGAAACACTACCACCTTTTAAGAGTAAATCCACACAATTTAAGACATATACAAGTAACATGTATTACACCATAATAGTATATATCTTGTTAGAGGAAGATCTGGTATTAACTTGATGTTTCTATAGCATAAATACTGTTACTATAAATATGAAAATAAAATTATTTTCTATCATTCATTTTACATTGAAGCTATGGTCTTGCGTTTTTTTACTATGTAACCCCCCTATCACACCAAACTCGTTCTTACCCGTTCTTGCCAGTCCTACGAAAACGTCGTAAAACGGGCTCAAACTGGCTGTGGTCGGGAAATATGTCTGAAATAATTAGCTTCTTCGTTCTTAAACAGTCTTCAATACGTCCATCTCGTTCGCAGTTCGTTCAGGTCGCACCACGTCGGTGTGCAACGTAGTAGAACGCGTCCCTTAGTCTAGAAGGTCATCATGACCTGATAACAGAACGGTATGGTCGGAATCGAATTTTGAATCGATTCAAAATTCTAAAATCACATTCCCGTCTGAGAACGTTCATAAAGTTCGTAAATAGACCTTAGAAAGTTGCAGCTACGTTCATTCCGTTCGCACACAGTTTAGAACCAGTTTTGAAGAACGCAGTGGCAACTTGTTTGGTGTGATAGCTATATTTTTGCCAACTCGTTCATAAGCAGTGTTAAATACGTTCTTAATCAGTTTAAACCCGTTTGCAATGAGTTCTACCTCGTTCTCAACACGTCCTCAGACAGTTCCACTCGTTGTTAAAACGTCCCTAGTAGGATTGAAGTACGACGGTTCCGTTCGTAGTACGTCTAGTGTTGTTAGTACGTTGTCACTCGTTCTAATTGTAGAACGTGACGACCACGAAAACATTTTGAGCATTGTCTAAGTTCTAGAGGACCTACCCGTTCGAGTACGTTCGATGAAGTTTGTAAATAGATCCCAAACGGTTCTTAGTACGTCCAGTCCGTTCGTACACAGTTGAAGCCCGTTTTCGAGAACGTAGTGAGAACTAGTTTGGTGTGATAGTAGGGTTACGTAATTGATAAACTATGCTGCACACATTTTCTGTCGTCAAATCTTTACCGGTATGTTCATTTATCGACTTTCTTACTCTGCACGCAGAGTATGAAAAACATAAGATTTTTTCGAAAATGTTCCGTCATTTTTAAAGCAGCAGCCATTTGAAAAAAAAGTATGCAGAAAACTATTCACCAATATACACCTCTACCAAATATGAAGAAAATATGTTAACCAATATTCGAGTTATCTTCCGGACGAACAGACGAGCTACACATTCGGATGTTTATATATTCTCAGATTGTAAGACAGTCGCTTTTTTGCTTATTTTCAACCAATTTTCCTAATTGTTCCACACAGAATAGGTTGGGATGTATGTTATGCATTGGTATAAATTATTACTTAACAGTATTTGTGTGTGATAACTTAAATTTCATTCGAAATATAAATTCAAAATTTTTTGAACAAAATGCCCTTCAAATGAACATTTTGAAATTGATTTAAAAAATTCACATGGTACATTTTGATAATATTGGGTAAGAATATAAGCCAAAGTTGTTACAACTTTATATAGTGCCTTTAATACAGTATTTGATGTTTTTACCTCTTAATAATTCTTGTATGTTTATTTCGTAGACATGCTGTTTTTCAACAAAGTGTCAGTGGGGTCATGCCAAGTTCTTTGAAAAGCAACGATTGGCAACAAAAAACGATAACATACTCCGCATGAAACATGTCATACAAATATGGTTTAAATAACTGTGCTGTACTTTGCATTAACATAGCTTTTGAATTTTAATTAAGACGGAATAAACAAAAGCAGGATCCTACATTTCTTCAAACTTCAAACGCTTCTAAACTTAACTTTCAAATTTTTATTGACAACGCAACAATATTGGGTACAAATCTAAAACGGTTGTCCTACAGGGGAAATTATTATAAAACCGACGCTCTTTCTATATAACAATACAATTTTCTCTGAGATCCGAGCCAACGATTTTTATTCCAGCGTACAAAAATAATGTCGATGATGATGAAGACCGGTGGGTCATTAGCGATATGTATGATTGCTGTTAGCGTAGGCCTACTTCAACGGGCCAGTGCCGATGACACAACTACCGCCGCAAGGGACCCATATCAGACTTGCGGGGACTCAACAACGTGCACGTGTGAACCCGTCATAAACGTCCAACCACCTCAAATGCCTAGTTACGACTGTAGGAATCTAACAAGTTGGCTTTCAACTACGGCATCTGGACTGTCAGAGGCAGAAAAAGATATTGCAGAGTTGACCACAGATGTTGGCAATCTAAGAGGTAGTACCATTTACAATTGTTAATCAACATGTACCAAGACGTATTCAAATGCATTATCTTGAAGGTAATCTTTTATAAAATAGATTTTCCGATGCTGGAGAAAATGTTAGCATATACTAAACATGTAAGGAGTGAACTAATGACCCAAGGCTAGCGAAAAGCGAAGCTGAAGAAAACTCCTACGATCGTCTTAATGAACCAAGATTGCTCATCAAGTTTTTTCAACATCCCACGTGCGAAAAATGTATTAACTAAATCTTATTTTCAATGAATACTTCAATTAGGATCAGTTGATGAGATAAAAGCGAGCAGTCCGAATCCCGGTGCGGGAAATCACGGGCCACATGTTGAGTCGGACTTTGTCAACTATTACGATGAGATTAATTGCACAGGCAACTTGCACAGCCATAAATACTGCAAACGGATGGACCTTTGCCGTACGTAGGAACTGTGGTGCAGGGTCTCGTACATGTGCCATGATTTGTAGCGATCCGCAACTGAAGGCCCAAGATTCACAAGTAGCTAGTATCCCGTAAGTATCTATGAACATTGACAGACCACTCATTTATGTCAAAATGATAAATGTGTCATCATGAAATTATATAGTGACTGTCATAGAAAAACAGTGTAAAATGTTTTCCCAGATTGAATATCAAATGAAAATTTCCCGAGTTTGTCGGAAATGTGGGAATCGGTTCGTCCAGGGGCTTTCAATGTTTAAACTTTGAATGTCACATGCAATACACTGAAGCTAAACTAATTAGACCCCATTCACTCACTCAGAAGTGGAAAAGTAAATTAAGAAGAAATAAAATTTATCAGTATATCAGGACTGTTGAAATACAGTGTACTGAAGCTGAACTTATTACACACACTCACTTATAACTCACTTACCTTTAGTTTAATAGTCAATACGATGAAATCAAAATATACCTAAATTAGATCATGGACCATTTACCTTTCATATAAATCGGTGTGGGTTAAGCTAGATAAACCATTCTAACTTTTTTAAGAGAAATAATGGCCTCGGGCTTTCGGCCTTTGGCTATCATTTGAACTATAACATAATGTCTAATATTTTGGGGATTACATTCCAGAATGACGTGCTTCAAAGCTCTTCATTTATATCCGAATCGGCCACGGTTTGCAAATGGATCGCCAGGTTATGAAAAGTTGGGATTGAAGACTTTAAGATATGAATGCTCACAGACGAGCTGCGGACCAAACTATTGCTGTTGCAGATCTTAATCGTGACAAAACTTAATTTGAATTTACCACAATAGTATTGTGAAATTGTTTCTTAAGATATATTTACGAAAATGCATGATCATAAACTCACTCTGGAAAAACTCGTATAGCTAGGATTCTAGCTACATGTTGTCAAATCGTAGCAATATCCTAGCACTTCGTTCAGAGCAAACGTGCCTAGCCCTCGATCATTCGCTCATGCATACCAAGGAGGACTGGGACCCAGGATCGAAACTAGATATCTTCCAACAATGAAAACGTCAAAATGTCGTTATTTTCTGATATCAAAACCGACTACTGTATAAATTCAAAATAGACAGTTTAAAAGATTCGAACCAATGTCTCGATCATTTCTTGTGAGTTGTGGCATTTTTTTTCAGGAATTAAGACCAAAATTCACGGTTCGAATGTTGAAGTGAACAAAATGGCGGCTGTTTGAATTCGAATTTCGTATCACGACGTGCCCATATATGGGACATGTACAGAATATCGATGTTGCACTCTGGGAGCCAATCCTCCTTGCATGTATATTATCATTATCATTAAAGAGTGGAATGCAACAACGAAAGAAAGTTTATTTACATGTTTTCTACATAGCATTTTGTACACCATATATACATAAGAGAAAATATGCATATAGGCCTAGATATAAATCATTATGTACCTTAGCTACACATGTAAATATATAAGCACTAGTGCCAAAAGGGAAAGGACCAAAAGTTGTAATGGAACTTAGCAAGAAAAAGCAAACTCTAAGTGCATACCAGTCAAGAAAAACTAGAAACTAGACCTAGCCTAGACCTAGACCTAAACTAGACCTAGCCAATGTCCGTTATACCGATGACATTGTTTTCTATTTCCCGACTTTGTCTTTGTATAATAATTTTGCTATAGCTTTTATGTTCTTTATTCATTCCTCAAGAAACATTGATTGATAAAAACGACAACTAGATTAAACTAACTTACATGCCAGCTGGAGTCTAGCTCTCGAGTATACTGAGTACAGGATGACCCAAAAACCAGTCTACCAAAAACTGGAATGGTTTCTTTGAAATCCCGCCTGCATTTTTAAAGAATCAAAGAATAGTTAAGTTTAAGTTTATTGTTCCGTTCAAAATATTTAAAGACAAACATGTATTAGAGCATATATTATTTTTAAAAGGATTAAGGTCATGTAAAAGTGAAATAATTATATTAGTGAAGTATTGGAACATAACAAGTAAAAGGTTTGCACAGTAGTCACAGATATAGATAATAAGTTGAAATATCGAAATCTCATCAGGGTATACCAGGTGTAAAAGGGTAGGAGGTCCTATCAAACTATGGTCCTACTCTTCATTGATTTATATGGTGACCCTTTCTCTTATTATCTTATACACAATCAGGGCCAGTAAGGGCCGTTTAGAAAGGGGACCATAATCCCCAGGGGACCATAATTTCTTTCACACCGGGCTTGGAGCATGAGCGCCTATGAGCATTGTGCCCAATCGAAGCACCAATGGAAAGATTCAGGAGGGTAGGGATGCTTCAACGTGCATATTAGAAGCATATATGAATGATTTTTTGTGTAATGTTGCAGAAGCCCTGGTCTGTAAAATGCCCCAACAGCCGGGCAGCAAGGCCCTTGGTTTCAATTGTCTACGTTATTTGGCATTAAAATGAGGTGTTAGGCTGCCCTAAAACAACTCAAAGTATCCACAGGGCTTATGTTAGTTGAAAACGGACATCCTCAAACACCGAGTGTAATTACGTTGAATATTAAATGGTATATTGATGTAATTTCTGAATCTAAACAAAGAATGTATTACATTATAGATGTTAAAATGCTTTCAGTTTCTAAGGCGGGTCTTTTCGGGTCACCCTGTATACTTATGTCACGCTTTATACACGAACAAACTTAAATAATCCTTTCATTTTTTATATTTTCATTGGATAATCCTTAACACAGTTTATGTTCGTGTAATGGAGGATCAATATTTCTATGAATAAATAGGAAATTAAGAAGAATCTAAAGGGCGGATAATATAAAAGCAGTACCCTGTTATCGGATCATTTTCCTTAAGTGACAATAATATTGTTATAAGTACAATTTCAAAATGAAGATGACGAAAACCAGTGGAATAATAGCGATGATTGCTGTAAGCCTACTTCAACGGGCCAATGCCGAGGGGACTGCCGCAGCAAGGGACCCATTCCCGCCTTGCAGGGACGCAACAACGTGCACGTGTGAACCCGTCATCAATGTCACTCCACAACTAATGGGTTATTGCGATTGTAAAAATCTCACAAATTGGTTACAAACTACTGAATCTGGACTGTCAGAGGCAGAAGAAGATATTGCAGATTTGACCACAGAAGTTGCCAATCTAAGAGGTATTACCATTGATAAACAATTGTTTTTGAACCCGCTTTATCGCTGTTTATTTCTCACTGCATAATTTTAATTAGGTATTGGCTACATTTCATACATTTTGGGTAATTAAAAAATTTGATATTGAGCAGATGACTGATTATGAGAATCGTCTTTCCACTTATTTCACTTCTATAAAGATGGCGATTTTCAAAATAATATTGACATTAAACAGGCTCTATTGATGAGCTGAAGGCGGACAGTCACAAGCCAGAGGCTGACAGTCACGATGAGTCGGATTTTGTGAACTACTACGATGAGTTAGCACAGGCAACTTGTACAGCCATGAATCCGAATACTGGGTGGACCTATGCTGTACGCAGGCGATGTGGTGACAGTGGTGACGGTCGTGCGTGTGATGCAATCTGCCAAGATCCTCAATTGAGAGCACAGGATTCTCAAGTAGCTAGTAGATCGTAAGTAACTGAATCGTTTAATGAATGTAACGCAAAGGTGAAAATATATGTGCAATAAATTGTTTTAAATAGCCCCACGTGCCACCATTGTGCATACCGAAGCAGATTTTCACAAAACCGACCTTCTTCATGAATGGCAATTGCCTCATTCATTTAATGTATATTCCTCGCTTTTCCGTTACCTCTTCCAATAATAATATGTTTTGGGTTAGATATAAGTACAATTATCAAAGTTCTTAGATGTTAATACAGGGGCGTAGCAATAATCTAACATAAGGTAAGGCAAACTTAGTAAATCGAGTCAATTTTTTTAAATTCAAATCTCAGTGGAGTCACTTTTTGGTAAAACATTTCCTTTGAGCTTTGATTATGACATCATCAGTGAAATAAGTAACATTTTTTCTGCATGAGCCAGGAGAAAAATTCAAAGATAAACCTACATGTAGATACATGTAAAAAGGAACCTCTTGAACCTCATGAAAATTGGTTCTTCTATAATTCTGGGGTACATATTTCCACCTCTAGCTCTTTGCCCAACATGTTACATAATATCCTTTTTACTTTTGGCAATTCATATACTATCAATCCACAATAATTTTTTTTTTAAATACACAAGTCGGACGAGGACGTGTATCGTGAACGTGTATCGCCTTTGTATTTGCAATTTTTTTCATTAGACGTTCTAAATTGTTAAACCAATTATTGTAAAACATGCAAAAATTGAACTTATACAGCCTTTACTTTTGATATTTAATAAATCCTTTCAACAGGGAGTTTTCCCAGATAAACTCAAAATAGCTGAGGTAACACAAATTTTCAAAAAAGGTCAAAAACACAATTTCTCATTTCAGTCTTGCCTTTTTTTCTTAACTTCTAGAAGAACTTATTAACTTTAGGCTTTGTTATTTTATCACAGAAAATGAAATATTATACGTCAGTATGGTTTTCAGAAAAATGTCTCTACCTTTAAGGCAATCTTAACTTTTGTTGAAAACATAAGACATGCGCTGGAGAACAATGAATATTCGCTTGGTATTTTTAGACTTGTCTAAAGCCTTTGACACCATTAATCATAAAATCCGTCTAGATAAATTAAATTTTTATGGAATTCAAGAGTCTGAACTATCTCTTTATACTTCTTAAATCATATCTAAATCATATAACAATATTGACTCTGATTTACAAATGACATGTTTAAGGTCTCCAATGTTCTCAAAAGCGTAATATTTGTCGACGACACTAATTTGTTGCCCTCAGATATAGATTTGAAATCTCTAATAGAAAAGGTTTATAATGAACTTGATCTTATGGATGATTTGTCCAAAGCAAATAAATTGTCAATAAACTATTCTAAAACAAAATTTATCTAGTTCAATAAACAACAACGACAAATCTTTAGAGATGTTAAAATTGATATGTCCGGGAAACATTGCAAATTGAAAGAGTAAGATCTATCAACTTTTATGTGTCATTGTTGATGAACATATTACCTGAACAATTGGTCTCTTATATAAGATTCGCCACCTATTGAATAAAACAAGTCTTTTGGCAATCTATAAGTCCATGATATACTCACATATAAATTACTGTAATTCAATCCGGGGTGACCAGAGCAATGCTCATACAAATTAGCTGCATTCTCTACTTCTATTTCAAAAGAGATTTCTTAGAATATTAGACAACCAGCCACGTCTCTTTAAGAAGTACAACATTTTACCTGTAAACCAGGTGTATAAATTTAATGTTTCAAATTTTGTCTATTGTTGTATTTACCAGGATTATTTTAATCAAAATGAATATTTTCACAATTATCCTACCAGAAGAAGTCATGCATGACTTACATGCCAGGGCTTACAAAACAAAAATTGGGTTATATTCAATCAAAGTACAGGGTCCAAAAATCTGGAATTCTATCTCAGATCATGTCAGATTTTTGCCTTCTTCACTTCAATTTAAAATGACTAGAAAGAAAAACTTAATTGCTGAAATATAATTCTATACTGTCCAACTCATCTACCTTTCCATCCATACATTTTCCTAAACTGATATAGAGTTAACACACATTGTTGACAGCCACAACCAACCACCACAAGCCATAAGTTAGATGCATACATAATACATATGCTATCAATATGTACCGGTATACATGTAGTTATTATTGAATTCTCATTTTTGTCACTAAAACAACTTCATACACTTGTTAAAGTGTCAGTTGATGTATAATTTATGTATCATAGTTTGACAATAAAGTATAACTAACTAAAAAAATATGCTGAGTCTCATGTGTTCTTTTATTTTCCAGAATGGCGTGCTTCAATTCTCTCCATGTTTACTGGGACCGACCAAAGTTTGCTCACGGAGAGGCTGGATACGAAAAGCTGGGGTTGAAGATCTACAAGTTAAACAGTTGCATATACCAAAATTGTGGGCCTAACTATTGCTGTTGTAGATCGTAATTTGTGTATCTATAGGGCTAGTTTCTCTGTTTATTTGTAAAATGCATGTTTCATGGGCGAGCACAACACAATATATTTACATGGAACAGGTGAACCAAAATCATTATATTATAACTAGTATGCGTTAATGCATAATTTCACATTCGGTCGTCGCAAAATGTCAGCCATCTATTATCTGAATAATACACGTCAACGTGATGTTTTAATCGATATTCGAATTCGACTGTATTCACGCCTTCTATAAACTGTAAACAAAGTCAACATTTCACCCGGGGTATATTCGCGAAGAATACCCCTGGTAATACGTGTACGTGTGACGTCATAACGGCAGGTCGTAGTAATGGCGGACCATAATGAATATTCGAAACATTTCGATGAGTTTTCATGTTCGAACCGTAATATAGACCTCAGATCAGGGGTAAAATCGTCAAATACACCCTTAGGGCTAGGTACAAAAGCTTTCGAACCCCTCACTCCCTTCGGTCGTTCTGGGTACAGAAAACAGTTGTGCCTAGCCCTACGGGGTGTATTCGACAATATAACCCCTGCTCTTCGGTCTATATTTCTTAATTGAACAAATATTTTACTCCGGCTACTGAGGTGATACCCTTTGCATTCGTTCGACTTTGCTTCTCAAAAGAGAGCTTCGTCTTTAGTAGACTCGGCGCGCAGGTTATTGAGGTGAATACCTATGCATCTTTCACAAAAAAGAATCACAAATGATATTCCACGAAGCCAGAGGGCTTCAGTTGCTAGCTAGATAGTGATATAATAATAGTTTTTATTCCATGATGGTGAAATTACCTGCAACATGATTGGTCCATGTGACTAACGTCCTTAGCTTGGATTCGCGAATGCAACTATCGGCTTACGGCTACCGGATTAACCTACTGTTTTATTTGCAACTCATTTAAATATGAACCTGCCACAATTCATTCATATTTAAATGAGTTGGTCATTAAATAGTAGGTTAATCGCCCGGGGTTAATGGGGTAGACGACAGCCTTATTTGAATTCGCGAATACATGAACAAGCTTAGACTCCCTCATTCCTAATCCTCTCCCAGGACGATTACATAACCTAAAACTTATATCCTATAAATATATTCACATACATTTTTATTCCATGATTTACACAAGGTGATTTGCATCGGCGTGATTTACAGCCTGGCGTGCTTGATCAACATGTACATTGTCAATTCTCAAAAATATAATGTTTTACATCTTAAGCCCAACATACACTGACGAGACACAAAGTGCCTCATCAAAATATTGTAGAAATATATTGAATCAGATATTCTTTTCACTAAAAACTAGGATATGAATTTCAAAGGTAGTAATATACAAGTACCTCCTTTAGACATTTGCCTCGCCTATTTACATTTGCCTCACCAAATGTTTTTAACCTGGCTTCACACCTGGACATATCATCATAATTAAGCCCTAGTCCATGGTATTATTTTTAAACAGCTAAAAAAATATTCATCATTCAAAACATCAATTTGGTCACAATTTTCATTTATTATTTTGCCCACACCATTCCTTGTTTGAAGTTTTTTTCGAATGATGAAAACTAACAAGGCTATGACATGCAATATGTCACCACCTGCCATTTGTTACAGACACAGGCTGCCCAACGCTGACCACCAAATGCCATCCACAAAAAGTTGGAGACTAAACACAGCCAATATAATTCGTCGCCGTTTCGGCATCGAAAAAATCCGTACAATACGTCATCACTTGTGAACTTGCAGTGGTGATTTAAAAACTACATGCATGTAATGGAGTGTGATATCTGATTCTAAAAATTCACCAGTACCTTTAAACCTACAGATTTTTTAGACACCTTATATATATTGTGCATTCCAAATATAAATAAGAAAAAATTACTGTTAATAGTTATTTACAATATAATAAAATACCAGTCTTTGTAAAATCCATAGGCCCATATGTTAAATGCATTTATGCAACACATCTACACTCCCCTTCAAAAGTTTGGCACACACTAAATCCTGAATAATTTCATCAAATTTGCCAAATGTTTTGCCCTACTGAAATTCAGAAACAGATTTAAATCCAAACCCAAACATCCCATCTCAGGGACTTCCACTGTCAAACTTATGATGGAGAGTGTATTGATGTTTACAATTTACTTGTATTAACAAGCATTAATTAGCTGCCTTGAATCAGATTATTCAACATGAATACTGTAGTAGTTAAATGATTTTTTTTGTTTTCAAACATTACAATGGACACCATGACATCAATGCTATGACATCATAATGTTATCCTGATTTTACACAATGGCATTAACACTAAAACTATTCCCTTCCCCATTTATAATACGTTATGTCATGGTTAGCTAGTCCAAATCACAGCTCTACATACATCTTAAAATGAGTGATAATAAATCATGCCTTCAACACTTCCATGTACATTTTCTATAAACAAATCATGAATATATTTGTAAATACCATTGAAGGGCACTTAAGACTCCCACTTGGGGGAAAGTCATAGTCACTTCCACTTCAACATTATGCTACATTGATTTCAATAAAAATACTTCAATAGAGGTACTGATTCCGGTGACGCATTTGCTGCTACAGTACATTTAAGTCTAGCTAGTTCAGTTAGTACACTGTCAAATATTGAGAGGTCTTTGGTGCGAATCATACGTGGGTCATTGAATTTGGCACTCTGTGTTATTTGTTTTTATCTCCTTGGCAACTACACATGTTCAGTACATTGCTTTTAGTTAGAATTTCTTGGTGTGTATCTCACACAACCAAAAATCCTGTTCCATCAGGCCATGAAGTCTTATGACTAAATGACATACATGTAATACTAAACCTTTTTGACCAATAAATCATCGGAGCCACTGGTAAGGCACCTATGGTAGACATTAAAAATTAAAAAGTACATGTACTGCAACCCCAAAATTATCCTAAGTGGCATCTATATCAATCTAGCTGCGAATCACTCTTCCCATTGGCTAGTTCATGCAAGGATTTCTTTGCGAGTTCATATGCAAAAAATAATGCTCCAGTAGCTGGAAAAGTTCTTATCAATGTTGGCCCTAGTCCTTTGTACAGTGACTTGAAACCTGGAATTTAAGCAGATACAATTTATTCTGGTATGTTCAGTTATATCTCAATTCTGATTGGTCAATGAGAGGTCAGACGTCAGAAAAAGATCAAAAATCAATGGCATGCCTTGAAAAGTGTAATTTCTAAATTGATGGTTTATTATAAAATCATCATTGAAGAGTCCCAGTTGTTTCTCATTCTTTGGGGTTATGAAGTGTGTGCACATGCCCGTACCCAGGGGGGTTCTGGGGACCCCCCTCTGGGCAAAAATTATTTTAAAATTATTATGTTTTTATCAATCCTTACTGGCCAGATATTTCAACAAGCACTATTAGCTAAAAGTAATCTTGAGCAATTTTTTCATCAATCCTTATTGGTCAAATATTTGAATAAGCACTGTAGGCTTAAAGTAGCCCTAAGCAACATTTTCATACTTATTGGCAAATAAGTAATGTAAGCTAAAAGTAGTCCTCAGCGATTTTGTCATCAAATCAGCCAAATACATGTATGTGTGTATTCAAGTTAGCACTGTAAGCTAAAAGTAATCTAAGCAACGCTTTCATCAATCCTTGTTGGCATAAAATTAGATAAATAAATAAGCACTGTAAGCTAGAAATGATCCTAAGCGACATCTATATCAATCTAACTCCGAACCACTCTTCCCATTGGCTAGTTCATACAGGGATTTCTTTGTGAGTTCATATGTAAAAAAAAGTGCTCCACTAGATGGAACAGTTCGTATTAACGTTGGCCCTAGTCCTTTGTACAGTGACTTGAAACCTGGAATTAACACATTAAAATTAATTTGGAATTATATAGAGTCATACTTTGTAGGCAGCAATATTTAAAAAAATTGTAAGTTTTTCTTAAAGTAAGCGAACTGCTAATCCCAATTTCTGCAATAATATTCTATGAATGACATTATAACGAACAGGTGGCGTGAAGTATGTGGTTTGTCAATTAATCACTTCCATATTTGTGACGTCATGAAATCACCATTTAAGCTCATGCTCATGTTAGTTTTGGATATAGGAATTTCGATATTATAGGCTACAATAAAACCTGTCTTAGTGAATACCTCCAGGCCGATAGCCAGGGGGGGGGGGGGGGGTTTGGGGGGTTCGCCTAAACCCCCTGGCCAAAATTTCTTTCAAAATCATGCAGTTTTTCACCATTCTGACTATTTTTTGAGTGATTTTTGGCCTAATTTGCCAAAGTGACCCCCCTAGAATTTTTTGGAAAAGTGAACCCCCTTGGAAAATTCTGGCTACAGGCCTGACCTCCCTCTCGTGAGTGCCTGTGTTTCGTGAAAGCCACTTCAAGACACAGTTTACATTTACTCCTGTATAAAATCCCCTCTCTGTAGTGAAACCTACCTAATGTGAACACTTTGTTGCAGCTCCATAGGTGTTCACTATAAACAGGTTTTACAGTAACAGATTTTTTAAAATATTTCCTTAAAAATCCTGGACAAAACATTAATATAAATTACTAGACAAACTACTGTTACCAGTTTCTCTGTACACTTTCATTAAAGTTGTAAAAAACGAATCAAGCTTATGGCCATGCTGTGACTCCACCTGGTGGCGAGATTTAACAACGTCGGTCGGGAATATAGACAGCCAAAAACAGATTCCTCCAATACCTCCGCTAAGGATTGTTCGCAAGGCCCCTAGAAAATAACAAGTTTAATGTATGTCAGGTTGAATTTTATTCATCCAAATCATCATTATGATATTTTGGTTCTAAATCTGATTCACAAGACAACAATTAGATGTTGCTATCTTAATATAGCCTTGTTTTCAAATCACCAAGTGACAGTGCTATGTTGTTTTTTATATTTCTCAAAGATTTGTCATTTTTAAATGAATGATCTACATATTATGATGAATTACATAGCTAGCGAAGCGTTTGTATGGAAGTCAATGGGAAAGTTAGCGAGCTATATCCACTGAATTGCCTTCATTCTTGCCCAAATATAGAGCCTCCCAAGGTCGGCCTATATTGGGAGAACTCAGCCATATTTCACGTCATAGAGACATAACCTCTAAGTATGTTATCATTGCAATAAATCTGTAGTTCGCCATATTTGTTTCCTATTTTTAGATTAAAAACTAATCTTTGAAGTGCAAAGTCTTAGATGGCCATTTTTAATCTTCAGCATCGTGCATGATAAAACCCCATTGTTTGAAATCTGAGAGATATTACAGTATGTAATAATTTAACTCACCAATATCCTCTTTAGTTTTCCCCACTGGTGTTAACAGGTAGCGACACGTTTCATAACCCCCAAAGAAGAAGAAATAACCGGGAACTTCCCTGGCAATCGTGCTTGTCAGGCCGTGGTAAAGTCCTCTTACCCCCTCAGCTCGTAAGATCTGTCGTGTTAAACCAAATGGTCCACTGTAATGAAATGAGGAAATCATTTTAATCATTTGGTAGATCAATTTGCACCCTCCTAAGCAGGTATCCAGAATCCCAACCTCCTTCCCCCCTGCTATAACCAATTTGGAAGCACCCGATTAAACTGAATCACGTGATCTAATTATGCGCAATGACTTATACATGATTTCTGTCGCAGTGTTACGACAGCCAATCAGATTGTGAGTTCTTAATCAGGGAAATGCTAACTTTTAACGCAGGGGGTAAAAAGGAAGAATATATTCTGGATTTTGAAGCCCTGTGATCGGAGGATGATCAATTTGACACTTACAGAAAATGTAAGTGGACATTAAATGTGAAAATTCAATTCCTTTGGGGATGGTGACTATTTTTTTAATGAAGTAGATATAGGATTGCACTTAGCACCATTGACAACTTACATTTCTATCTTTGCCTTTCCTTCTTGAAGACTCATTTCTCTCATCGCCTGCAGTCGACACTTCACCAACTCTGTCGGACATAGCGTGAATGAACAGAATATTGCGGCCCCGCTTCCACTTAGCGCATTCTCAAACGAGCCTAAATCCTGAGTTGATTTTTTACCTGATAGCGACATAATACCTTTCTGACAAAGTCCGTAAAACATGAATAGTGTTGAGTTTTCTGCAATATTTGCAGTTAAGGCAGGAATGGTGCCTGCGTATAGTCCGCGATATATACCTTCTTGCCGGTAGGTTTTAAGGAAGCAGTCCAAGCCATTTTTGTAGAGTTTTGGGAATGTTTGCATCTTGACTTTTACTGTGTCTAAAGATTGACCAACGTAAACACTGGCAAAGGCACCTGAAATTATATGACATTATGGAATTAGAGGAGAGGGAGGGAATGAGTGGGACAGGGATAAAGGGAGAGACAGGGAGACATGAAGTGGGATGAAGGAGACAGGGAGTGGGATGAGGGAGACATGAAGTGGGATGAGGGAGACAGGGAGTGGGATTAGGGAGACAGGGAGTGGGATGAGGGAGACATGAAGTGGGATTAGGGAGACAGGGATTAGGGAGACAGGGATTAGGGAGACAGGGAATGGGATTAGGGAGACAGGGAATGGGATTAGGGAGACAGGGAGAGGGATTAGGAAGACAGGGAGTGGGATGAGGGAGACAGGGAGTGGGATGAGGGAGACAGGGAGTGCGATTAGGGAGACAGGGAGTGGGATGAGGGAGACATGAAGTGGGATGAGGGAGACAGAGAGTGGGATGAGGGAGACAGAGAGTGGGATTAGGGAGACAGAGAGTGGGATGAGGGAGACAGGGAGTGGGATTAGAGAGAAAGGAAGACAGAAGAGTGGGAGTGGGATGAGGGAGACAGAGAGTGGGATGAGGGAGAAAGGAAGACAGAAGAGTGGGAGAGGAGAAACAGCATAAGAGTGAGGAAGTGAATGAGAAGGGAAGGATGTCAGAGGTGAAAGAAGACTTGGATAGAGAGACAGAGAGATCTAGTAAGAAGCAAGATGGTCTAGCTAGGAGGAAACAAGAATATATACAAAGAATTGATATATAATTTAACAAAATATAGATTATATCCAAAGCTGACACAAGACTGTTACTACTGTATGTATAGAGTATTTTAAATTCTTCTAGTATCTTTAAGTTAATTCCCATTAGCAATTAGCAATCTACTCTTAACAACACAGGACATTTTACAGTTTTTTTATGAAGCTTTTGTGTTTAATGTCACAATTTCTAACGACACATTCATGAAGTTATGCCAGTATTCTGATTCGATAAAGGACTTATTATTTCCAGTTTGAAGAGTTTTAGATGAAGTCTAGCTCTTGAGAAGGGTATGCCCTTATACTGTTATATGGGCATTTCAAATTACCTGCTGTTCCGCCAGCGAGATCTATGGCAGCATCCAGCGTGTGATTCTGGGCCGCCATACTGTTGCTGGACTATGATTAATCGATGCTTGATAATGGAGGGAAGTGTCTTTAAACGTTCCCTCGAATAAGCTCTGTAAGGTAGAATGTTCAAAACAAAGGCCCCAAGAACATGTATAAAAAATCGAGTTGAATGGCTTCATATATTATAAGAGATCTCTCATATTAGGTTACTTGAGTCTCTAGCCTATACTTGGCTAGAGGTGATTTCATCTGGAATACTGTGAACTCCATTTGAAAAAAGCTGGCCGCCGTGTCATAAATTTATTGAATATTTTAAAAATCGCCAGATATATAAATCATAAATTAAATCGGATCCGACTCTGCTCCTTGATGAGATATGACATGATTTCGTCAGGATTTCGTCTAAAATTAAAACAAAATGGGTCCAAGAAAAATGGCGATATTCGAAAACTGGATGAAATTAGTAACTGGCTGTAAATTCTAAGTTAGCGATCCAGAAGATGTGAACTAATACACTGATCACTTCATGTGTGTTTTGGAATTTTTGGTGAGGTAATAAGACCAAAACTCGCAATTCAAATTGTGATGTGGAAAACTGGCGGACATATGATTTCAAATTTTATGATTACGACATGACCAATTGTTCATGCAGGAAATTATCTTTCCAGGAAGGCCACGATACAGTGGCCTTAGAAGAAGGTAAATATTAGGCCATTCAACTCGATTTTTTATACGTTTCTTGGTCATACAGGTACATGTACATGCACAAACTCCTCCTTGAGTCTCTAGCCAAGAATCTCAAGCCAATAACACAGTGGAAGCCTTGGAATAAGGTAAACCACTCCCTCTTATAATTTCTATATTCAATTATTATAACTAAAGAATATAGGGAATATTAGAAGGGGATGGGGGTGACCCGGGGGGGGGGGGGGGGGGGGGGTGACTAACTCACACTGTGGTCCAGTCAGCAATTTGGATGTGAGCTATAGTCTGAATATTTTCATTCCAAATTTCAAAAAATTTCAGAGTAGAGGTTAGACTATGAGAAAGTCAGGCAAAAGTTTCAAAAAGTATTTCAAACGTGTATCTATGGAAATTATGGGTAATGAAAGGGCTTCCATCGATCCATGTATTACTTTACTCCCTTCCGCTGTATTTAAAAAGATGTTCCTACCTTGAAATCAACCCTGATGGCTAAAAGAACATGAATGTTGTCAACAAGTGAGCTCGCAAGGTCAACAAAATGGTCAAGGGAATTCCCAGGTATTTCCCCTAAAAATGTGCATGTGATTGATAATGAATATTACTCTTGATATAAATCTTGCATAAATATATATATCAAATATAATTTTTGCTAAATAATAATTTATTTTAATTTTTCCCGAAGTACACTTTAGCATATTACAGTTAACTGTCGTTATTTTATATTTTTCCTTGAGATTTTATTCAGTCCGTAGCTAAAGCGGAAAAATTTAAAAATATTTCAGATTTCAATTTCTACTTCCTTTTCCCTTTTAAAATCTGTTTGAATAATGAAATAAAGCAATTGACGGTAAGTCATGTATATGAAACAGTAAAGAATGGTGTTGTAGCTTATAATTTGGACACAATTCACATGTAACTCGCGATGCTCATTTGGCAAATAAATACAATTCTAATCGTTCGTTGCGTAATTGGGCCTTCTATAATCAGTAGCAAATGCTTGGAAAACATTTTTCCAAAATATTTACTTCCGTTTTCCTTGAAGACATGGTTGGGTGACATGTCATTGACACGTCATTAAGTCACATGATCGATACAGTAACTAGTCACATGATCAGACACGTGTCACGTGTCAGTCACGTGAGCTTGCAAAATGGACGATCTAAATTTCCCAAAATTCTGCTTAGATCAGCATCGACATGTTGTTGCCTTCATTGCTGGTTTGGCTACGTTCCACAATGTAACCTAGCAGGAGGGATGACATAGAACAAACTGCTAAGTAGACACACAGTAACATTTCATTATTTCGTTATTTTCACCATATGAACTTATACCGAGAATTTGTGTTTGGATTCTATCTAGCCTACAATTTCATGAATTTGAATTTAGCCTAATTTTTTATATCTGAAACCAGTTCATATGCCATATGGTTAAAATAACGAAATGTTGTGATATAACCACATATCTACTTACCTATATCATATGTCCTATGTCATCTATCGGACTATGTTACATTGTGTAACTCAGCTGAACACGACACTGAAGGCAGTATTCTGAGATTAGAAAATATGAATCGAAATAATTTCCCATTTGTAGCACTTTGGTGATTTCCAGAATTGAACAAAGTAGCGAACACTGTGATCTTTCAACTTTATTTCTTTGTTTTTCATCACTTCATGTTAAGCGTTTTATTTTTGTTATTTCAATGCATAATTTATGATTCATAAGATTCCTTGTGTAATATCTTGTATAAAGTTGATTTTAAATAGTCATTAGCTTCAGCAGCCCTTCCTATGATATTTGACATCGCTATCTTGGAATATTTTCTTCTGTATTCAGCAGCAGATATCAAAAAACCATTTTCTAATAGAATAATATCTTTCTTTGAAGACATGGTTGAGTGACACGTCACAAGTCATGGGATATCAAAGAGTAACTAGACACGTGATCAGACACTTGACTGGCAAAATTGGGTTGTTTAAGAGAAAAATGAATCAACATCTACCTTGGTAACACTCGTAAATCTATTTAGAAGTATTTTCTGTTGTGCCTTTTTGAAATAGGAGTCTAGCTGGAATTTATCAATTCAAAAAGTTATGATACCAAAAATTAGTGACTTGAAGAGACTTACTGGTGGATGAATATTAGGTTTATAGTGCATTTCAGTTGGGTTGTGCAACAATAAAACCCAAAAATAAGCAATCAAAATACCACATATCTTGGCTGTACAATGTGTGTGTATACAAAAGTATTTTGCATTATGATTATAGATCAATCAAGAAAAATGCAAGACTCTGAGAAAGGGGGACTCTCTGCTAAAGGACTGAGGAAGAAGTTATATCGTAGTTTGAGAGAACGTGGCCATATTGATTCTATGAAGGTAAAGTACATCTTGAATGGTTTAATAGGCTACATTACCATAGATATACACCCCCCTTCATAAGTTTGACAAACTAAACTGTTAGATTACCACTATCTTATGTTTAGAGCATCGGTCAACATGGTTATCAGTGGTTTCATTAGCAACAGGCCATTTTCAACGTTTGTATTCACAAATTCGCCTGGTGTTTTAAGGGACTTTTCAACTTTGCCATGTTTAATTTATTATATCCATTAATCTTCACCGTTGTTTTCATTTATTTAGCCTGTTTTGAAAAATTCTAGTGAAACCCCTGGTTACATTTGCAATAAACCTAAACACGTTCATTGAAGCAAATTATTTTTCTAAATTTCAAATCAGCTGAAATAAATTCTAAAAATTGTGGATATTGTTTTGCAAAATGGAATTTTAAATGACGGTTGATACTCATTTATACCAGGTATTAATTAATCATTACTTATTTTGTGATCACCATGGCAATGCAACCACCAGGGGTTCATTTAACATTGAGTCAATGGGCCATAATAAATAGAGGTGTTCCACTTATAGAGGTGTTCACTTATAAAGACATTCCACTTATAGAGGTGTTCCCACAATAAATAGAGATGTTCCACTTATAGAGGTGTTCACTTATAAAGACATTCCACTTATAAAGGTGTTCCCACAATAAATAGAGGTGTTCCACTTATAGAGGTGTTCACTTATAAAGACATTCCACTTATAAAGGTGTTCCCACAATAAATAGAGGTGTTCCACTTATAGAGGTGTTCACTTATAAAGACATTCCACTTATAAAGATGTTCCCACTATAAATAGAGGTGTTCCATTAACTTATAGAGGTGTTTACTTATTAATGTATTCCAATTGACTTGTTCCACTGTCCACATTTGTATTTCATACCCAATTGGTGTTTTCTTCCAGAGTCAACTTCGGGAGAAAATTGTAAATGAGTTATCACTTGGCTCCCTAACAGGGACTCCAAGTTCCATCCCTCGTGTTCCGGAGGAAAGTTCTTTGTTGCTACGGGCGGCAAACAGTCTGGTTGTTGACCATCTCGGAAAATGTGGATATGATTACTCACTCAGTGTCTTCAAGCCAGAGAGCGGGTGCGATCATGAAAAGGTAAGACTGAACTGAGGGTTCTATATTTAGCAAGTGAAAAAATGACACACAAAATTGTTTGGAATTGCGATTTTGAAGAAAAATAGCCACTAAATTCCTCCAAAAAAATTTGATGAAACTGACTGAAGAAATATGTCTTTTTCAGCTGTTATGAAGTCCCTGCTTCTGCTTTAGATAAAACTAGTTCTTGAAAAATAAAAAGGAAAAAATCTGTTAGAGACCACTCAGTTGTCATATTTATTTTCATCATGTATAAAATAGTTCGTGCAAATGACTTCTGTTTAATTTTAACCAATTTCTTTCATATACCTGTATATAGGTTTTCACCACGAGAGATTTGCTTCAGCTGTTGAACATCAGCCCTCAGTCTAAGCTTTACAAAACTCTGGTAAGTTAAGTAATGACTGAAAATTCTCAATGAGCTACTACAATACTAAAGTTACAAACATAAACATACATTCAATGAACACAAATTTTCAATTTACAAATATGTTTGTCAATTTACACATAAATATTCCAAAAATATAAATAATGTATCATAAAAAATTCCAAATATAGTGTTCCACTTACGGAGGTGTTCCACTTAGATATTTTACGATATGTTAGAGAAAAATTGCAAAATCTAAAAAATCTTAAGTCATAAATGTAGTACTGTACATTTACTTATTTGGCGGTACTTAATCTGGCAGACTTTAACATATTGGCCAAATTAAAACAGCTGCAAAGTTATCATGTTGGATACATTTTTGTCTCAAACAAATTGATTTAACATTTATGATTTTTAGATTGATTTTATATTTATGGTTGATTTCTGTTCCAGATACAGAATATTCCAAGTTATCAGAAGAAAGGGTTTCTATGGCAACTGTTGTGTGAGATTTCCAGTTACCACAGCAACTCAACACAGAATGAAGCCATTCAGACAGAACCCATTCACTTAGGACCCATTAGCTCATTAGGTAAACATTCAAATAATTTTACTTTTTTTTCATTTGAAAATTTGTTCATTTTTTGTCTATTTCAACCAATGATAACATTATATGAAATGGCAAAAGTAAAATAAAATTAGATAATATTAGCACCAATTTATTTCAATAAAATCATGGGGTTTCTACCTCTAGAGGGAAATGGTGGAAAGAAAAGGTACTTCTGAGAAAATATTACTTAAAATATTTGCGGACATAAATTTTTAACATAATTTATGCTAACACTATATATGACCCAGGCCACAGGAAAAGGGGTCTTATCACAGATTTTTCAAAATTTTGTTTTTTGTTTATCTTAAAAAGCACAAAAAGATCTTTCAAATGAGGCATGACTTATGACTTAACGATTTTTACTTGCATATAGACCAAAAAGTCGGATTTTAATTTAGCACATTTTCCTCTTAATCTTGGGCACATTTTTGGCTCTGTATCACAATTTTAATGTTTGTGATAATACCGGTTTTCCTATGGCCAGGCCCATATATCTATTAACGCTCCAGATAAAAAACTGCAGCAAGTTGAATCTGCATATGAGTCTGAGGGGGACCTTGCTTATAGAGGCAAATCTCGGACAGCTGAAGAGAGGATACTGTCTTACCAACGTCAACTTGAGGAGAGGTCTCGGAATGAACGCAAAGTAGAGGTTAGTGAATTACATAGTACAAGTAAGCAAAGGAATGTAGTTATATAACTCTTCAATTTTCATTACTGAATTTTATGAATAAAAGAATTTATAGAAACAAAACATTAAAGAATATTAATGTTTTCAGTTTGAGAAGTTCAGAGAGAAAATATTTTTAGTTTTAGAGGTTAGAGAGAATTTTTTTAGTTTAAGAGGTTTGGAAAGAATATGTTTTCAGTTTGAGAGGTTCAGAGAGAAAATATTTTTAGTTTTAGAGGTTTGAAAAGAATATGTTTTCAGTTTGAGAGGTTCAGAGAGAAAATATTTTTTGTTTGAGAGGTTCAGAGAGAAAATATTTTTAGTTTGAGAGATACAGAGAGAAAATATTTTTAGTTTGAGAGGTTCCGAAAGAATATTAATGTTTTCAGTTTGAGAGGTTCAGAGAGAAAATATTTTTAGTTTGAGAGGTTCAGACAGAAAATATTTTTAGTTTGAGAGGTTCCGAAAGAATATTAATGTTTTCAGTTTGAGAGGTTCAGAGAGAAAATATCTTTAGTTTTAGAGGTTCAGAGAGAAAATATATTTAGTTTGAGAGGTTCAGAGAGAAAATATTTTTAGTTTGAGAGATACAAACAGAAAATGTTTTTAGTTTGAGAGGTTCCGAAAGAATATTAATGTTTTCAGTTTGAGAGGTTCAGAGAGAAAATATTTTTAGTTTGAGAGGTTCAGACAGAAAATATTTTTAGTTTGAGAGGTTTGGAAAGAATATGTTTTCAGTTTGAGAGGTTCAGAGAGAAAATATTTTTAGTTTGAGAGGTTCAGAGAGAAAATATTTTTAGTTTGAGAGATACAAACAGAAAATGTTTTTAGTTTGAGAGGTTCAGAGACACAGAGCTTGCTAGAATGAGGCTAGAGGAGCAGAACAATTGTAGGAAACAAATAGATGCAGCAAGGAGGGAGATGGAACAACTGTATCAAAACAAATCAGATGGACTTCTTGAGCGTGAGAGACACGCTATAGAGAGACTTCAAAGGCAACAGGAGGTAATGTTTATGAAAACATATTTAAAAAAGAAAACATGAAGAAGAACAATTAAGCGGCATAATAACACTATAAAAGATACAAACAAATAAACAAACAAACAGAAAATATAAATATTATAAGAGTCTATGAATACCTTTTAAATGTTTATTTACTTGTTATTTACTTGTCATCGGTGCCCTGATTTAGTCACTGAAATAGTCACTAACTAGTATCCAAGACAACTTGTCATTTACTCCATCTTACATTAAGTTGGTGATTGATACATTTATGCATATAGATTATCCAATGTAGCAACAATTAGAGAAATCTCATCATTCATACATAGCCTCTTGAGCTCAATATATCTCAGAGGTTATAAATGAAGGAAAACTGATTTTAACCAACACATTAACATAGCCAGGTCCACCTACAATCAGTGCTTGAGCTAAGCGTCGGTCCGTCGGTCATGACTGACAGATTCATAGAACGGACCAGCTGAGTTTAAAAACTGATGGTCAATTTGACCGGCATAGACACCATATCTCAGATTACCCCAACTTATGAATGTCCGGCACAAAAACGAAGTAGCTTCTTTAAGTACAATTTGCTTACCTTGAATACAATGATTCTGAATCATCAATTTGATGAAAAAGTTTACGAAATTTCATTTTTAGTTTCCTCTCCGTTTTCGCTAAAGCGAGTAATTTAACATGATATAATTCAAAGATTTTGATTGGTCTTAAATCAGTTTCTCGAGGAAACAGCTAGGGTATATGTCTCCAAGAATTTGATTGGCCGAAATACCGGAAGTATCAAAAATGCCCAAATTTTTGATATTTTTAATTTTGCTCAAAAACGTGACAAAAACAACACTGACTAAAACAGAAGACAAAACAGATCTTTAGTCAATATGAATATGTAGAAAGGTGCTATAATATAAGAGTAGATTAAAATTCACGTTTTTATTCTTTAATTTTGATTAACAGTAAAATATATGTATGACCAGTTCAATTTTATACGGACCAGTAACTTTTTGAAAAGTGCTGGTCATTTGACCAGTAAGTTTTTTTACGGACTACCTGATACATTAAAAGTGGCAGTCCGTATGACCAGCAGAAAAATGGAGCTTAGCTCAAGCACTGCCTACAATCTACCATATCATTGTAACTGGTATTCGGCATAGGTGTCGGATTGTCCTGTGAAGGAAGGGGGTAACATAACAATGTCATTAAACCACCCAAATATTTTACATAGTGCAATAGGCAATAAGTACTCGGTAACATCTTTTCTCCCCATGCGTGACACAGCCAACGAAATAATGCTTATTTAAAATAAATAAAAATTAAGATCAGCATTCTCATCGGATTAAATATTATCATGAATGACTTAAATATTTTTAGATTTCTGAGCGGGAAACTTTTAATCAACGACAGTCGATTCTCGAAGAAATCCAATTGGTCCGCCAAAGAGAAGCTGATTTAAAACGTCAAGGAGAAATAAATGCAAGGTCAGTATAGCAGTTTACCCTAATTGGGATGTTTTTCCCTCCGTCTGTCACCATATCCGAAATCATTTCTTTGATTTTTGCAGAAATATCACGTCTTATACATCCAACTTTTAACAAAACTGCACTGTGCCGCTTTTGCAACGGCACTGTATGGTACCATGAAATATGGTCCCATATGTTAGTGTAGACTTAAATTGTGCCGTTTTGGCCACGGTGCTGTATGGTACCATAAAATATGGTCCCATATGTTAATGCAGACTCAAACAGTGCCATATGAAACCGTGAGTGCTGTATGGCACTGTACCTGAACATTGCCAGATGATACCATACACATAATGTACTTGTTTGTATGGTACCATTTTTCCAGGGTGAAGATTGGGTGTATGAGGATTGTTTTGTATGTAAATATTGAATAAAAATACTCTCACTTCCACATTCTGATTCATCAGAATCTCTAACATTGTGAGAGACTCGGATTTATCATAAGACCAACATTTTTCCTGACCAGTGTATTCTCCCTGAAATCAGTGCCAATTACTGTATACATGTTTAATAGATTATCGCCTAGGAATGAATTATTACTTAATTGTGTCCTCCTTTATACACTATATCACCTTACAAAGAAAATTGTTATTTTCATGGCTGCAATTATTATAATATTGACTATATTAATACTCATAATATATTCAATTTGCATCAGTGAATACATGTGACACTTTTCACAAGATGATATTCCCCTAGCCCTATGGGCTTCGTGGAATATCATGTCCAGTGTAATTTCAATTTTATATATACCCAGGAGTACATTGTTATTAGATGTCACGGAACAAAAAAAATCGGAACGGTTCGGTTCGGAACATTTTGCTTCGGAACGGAACAATTTCGGAACGGTTCGGAACAGAGTGGCTGCGTGTATAAGATTAAAATAAGTTGATCATCTAGGTCTATTCGGTAATGAAAAGCTCTTCAAAACTCTTCAATGAGAAGGAGTGATAAGAATGAACCTCTTTTGGTGCAAAATATTGAAAGAAAAATGCTATTTTGTGGCGATTTAAGAGCCAAAAGTTCTGAAAGGCTAAAATGTTATTGTTCCGGAACCGAACCAAAATTCTCAATTTGTGTTCCGTGTTCTGTTCCGAGGGCAAAATTCCGCGGATCGGAACAAAATCGGGTATCCGTGACACCTCTAATTGTTATGATTAATTAGACATCAATAGTTTGTTATTCTTGACATGAATATAAGAGGAAAATGTTGGCCTGGTGACGGATAAGTAAGAGCAGTCTTTAGGTAAAAACTGGAAATGATGTATCCCCCGGGACATATACTTTAAATTTTATCACTAAAATACAATTTTAATAAGTATTATCACATGTCAACAACTTGTTAAAATTTGGTGTGAAAATACTGAATTAACTGGAGATATTGTCATTCATTGATGTATGAAAATAAAAATAGTGGTGCCAAAAGGAGCCCGTCGTCCTGAAAGGTATTGCATAATAGGGCTCCATATGGAGCCTATCGTTGTGAAAGGGTTTTGGCGCCATAATTTTTATTAATTACATACATCAATAAAATTATGATATTCATGTCAAGGAAAGGGTTAATGTGAGTGAGGAATATAACAGTGAATAATAAAACAAATATTTAATTCTATTTTTGTTGAATACCTGTGACACTTTCACAAGATGATATCCACCAATATATTATATTTATGTCAGGAAAGGGTTAATGTGAGTGAGGAATATAACATTGAATAATAAAAAAAATGAATATTTAGTTATATTTTCGGTGAATGCCTGTGACACTTTCAAAAGATGATATCTACTAGCCTTTCAGGCCCAGTGAAAGATGCACAGGTATTAATATAATTAAATATTTGTATGATATGAACCAGGGGGCCATTAACAGAAACTTCATTAAGTTATGAATATGTAAATCAATTGTAGAAACCATGGTTATAATGATGTCACAGTAGGAGAACATTTATTAATTCTTAACTTTACAAAGTTTATCTAGTTATCTACAGGGTGTCAAATGGCGTTGTGCCCCCCTTCCACAGCATAAACTTAGAAAGGTACCTACACATTATAGGTAGTGAGGTAGCACCGAAAAATGTACCCGCTTCTGAACAAATTGAAATTACTTGTTTCTTATGTATTTGTATGTGATACTTCAGAAAATTTTAGTCTGACGCGCCGTATCCGGGGCAAAAGTTGTCAAAATTGGGTTTTTGACCCTCAAAAGGAAAATTACAGGGGGTACATTATCATCATTGAATAATTCATTCAGTTAGTCTTCAATCATCATATTGATTTTATTGAGAGTTGATGAGATCATTTTAAGGTAGTATGCAAAGTTTCAATGGTCTGTCACTCATGGTTGCCATGGAAACCACAATTTTTGCTGAGAAAATCCTTAATTTTGGTAAAACCTGTACCTGTACATAATATAGAATGTGGATTATTTTTCAAATCAACAGATATCAGAACATTTTAGCACTCTAAAAATCACCAGGGCCGCCAAACATTTGTTTAAAGAGAAAGAATATTGCAATTTATATGACTGGTAAGTGTCAAAGACCATACAATTACATAAGTGGTCAAAAGTGGGCGTCGCCCTCATAATAGTAGTTGATTGCCATTCTCTATAAATACAGAGTTTTACTTGACTTTTGAGATACATTTATATTGAATTTATTTGGTTATACTTAATATCAAGCATTTTTACATCTAAGTGTTATAGTTATTGCATGGGGATACAGGGGGGAGGGGGGTAGTAACAGAATTGGGAGGGGGCAGAGCTTATCAGCCTTAAGTGTAAATCTCATCTACATGGTTCTAGATTTCATAGGGTACAGCTTCTGGGTCGTATTATATTCATCTCAATATATAAGATATTAGAATTTACATGGTTGGTAAGTGTCAAAGACCATAGAATTACACATGTGATCAAAAGTGGGCGTCGCCCTAATCATTGTATATGGTTCATTCTCTATAAATACAGAGTTTAACTTGACTTTTGAAGTACATTTACTTAAAAACATCTTTGATTTATAGTTAATGTCAAGCATTTCTGGTAAGTTATATATGTACATCTAATTGTAATATTTATTGTCTGGGGGTGGAGGATGGGGGGGGGGGGGGGAGAGTTACAGAATTGGAAATGGGCAGAGCTAATAAGCCTTAAATGTAAATCTCATTTACTTAGTTCTGGATTTCAAGGGGTGCATCTTCTGGGTCTTCTTCACATTCATCTCAATATATGGGATATTCCAATTTACATGATTGGTAAGTGTCAAAGACCATACAATTACATAAGTGATCAAAAGTGGGTGTTGCTCTAACAATAGTAGATAATTCATTCTCTATTAATATGGAGTTTAACTTGACTATAAGATTCATTTTTTAAATTAAAACTTCTTTGATTACATTTAGTATTGTAATAGTTATTCCCTGTGGGGGGGGGGCAAGGGGGTAGTAGCAGAAATGGGAGGGGGCAGAGCCAATGGCCAGTCAGTTTTAAGTATTAATATCATAGTCTGATCATTTTCATTCACCTCCCGATGTTAATATATTAACAATATCATGTGGGAGAATACTAGTATACCACTACACTAGCAGATTTGAGAGTCATTCAGTTGAGTGCACCTGTATATGGCGCTCCACCTTTGCCTTTTAAAAAGGTGCTATTGCTATTGCCCCTTCTGCATGACACTTCATCTGTGAATGTGTGAAGTGCTAGGAAGGCTGCATATATGTCAGGGTCTATATTGGAGGAAATACCACTGACATCAGTCTTCATTTGTTTCCAACTCAAGTATCCAGCAGCACACTTTCCTGTATTTGCTTTTTGTTTTCATCATCATACAAGAACTAAATCAAATCTTTAGGGACTCTTGTTTTTCTACCTTAAATAGGGCAAGGTGTCCCTCCTCTCTTTCAGGTTCCTTTATAGAATTTTTGATGTAATTATCACATACAAAAACTAATCAATCTGCAATTGTAGAATCTTGAAAAAAGTCTCCGCCAGATCCAGAAACAAAACTACCTTTCAAGTTGAATTATGATTTGGGATAGTTGGGGTTTGTTTTCCTTATGATTTGTATACATTTAGAAGTTTTCTTTTTCTTGCTAGGTTCTATTACAAATTTTGGTCCTTTCCCTTTGGCACTTGTGGGTACAAGTCCATGCATAGGGATGGGTTTCTCTGTCCTTGCAAGAGGTCCAGTCAGTGTTCCTAGAGCCCAAGGCACAGGGCTCAATAGGAACTGCAGGAGACATTCTAGGCTATAGTTTTCAATTTCATATGTTTTATTAGATCATGAAATCTTTTTTTCAACTCATCTCAGATGGTATCTCTTCATGCAATTTCCCCTTTTGACTTAAATTAGATGAGATCTGCAGCGACATCATTTGGCACAGATTTTCCTTATGATACACCGTAGAGATGACCTTCATCCTCAATGGTAAATGGATCAAGAAAGTCTTTGATTGCGGTTTTTGTCATCTTTATGTCGTTTTCTGTACTTGCTATTTGTGCCTTTCCAAGGTCATTATGGGTGTCACACTCATCTCATCTCTAGATAATTTTCCTAAGTTGGTCTTATGAAGGACTGTCTGATTGTTGTAACCAACTCATCCATATAAAGCACTTATTGTCTGTATGGCCCATATTGCAAATCCTCGTAGTGAACCACCAGATGGACTTGAATGGAAACTAAATGACTCCATATCTTTCCAGTGGGTATTGACTGATATTCTCATACAAGAGATTGGTGATATAGCAACACCAGGAGATGAATCAGAAAACTCCAGAAGATGTACCCTATGAAATCCAGAATTAAAAAGATGAGATTGATACTTAAGGCAGATGAGATCTACACATTCTAATTCTGTTACTATTCACCCCTGCCCCAATGTAAAAACTATAAAACTTAAACAGATGTATTTACCAGAAATGCTTGACATAAATTACAATAACAGCAGTTCAGTATAACTATGAATGTATCTCAAAAGTCAAGTTCAATTTTGTATTTATACAAAGAACCAATCATCTATTATTGTTAGGGCGACACTCCTTTTGATCATTTATTAATATGTAATTGTATGGTGTTTGACAAATCCTGTAAATTGTAATATCCCATATATTGAGATGAATATGAAGAGGACCCAGACGATGTACCCCATGAAATCCAGAACTATGCAGATGAGATTTATACTTAAGGCCGATTACCTCTGCGCCCTCCTTATTCTGTTACTACTCTCCCCCATCCTCCCCCAGGCAAGAACTATTACAATTCGATGTGCATTACTTACCAGAAATGCTTGATATTAAGTATAATCAAAGAAGTTGTAATGTAAATGTATCTCAAAAGTCAAGTTAGACTCTGTATTTATAGAGAATGAATCTATGATAAGGGCGACGCCCAATTTTGATCACTTGCGTAATTCTATGGTCTTTATACTTACCAATCATGCAGAATTATAATATCCGATATATTCAGATGAATGTGAAGAAGACCCAGAAGATGTACCCCATGGAATCCAGAACTATGTAGATGAGATTTATACTTAAGGGTGATTAGCTTTGCCCTCTTCCAATTCTGTTACCCCCCCCCCCCCATCAACCCCCTCCCCCATGCAATAAGTATAACACTTACATGTACATTATTTACCAAAAATGCTTCATATTTAGTATAACCAAAGAACATCATTATAAATGTATCTCAAAAGTCAAGTAAAACTCTGTATTTTTAGAGAAAGGCAATCATCTACTATGATGAGGGCGACGCCCACTTTTGATCACTTATATAATTGTATGGTCTTTGACACTCCCCAGTTATGTTAATTGCAATATCCTTTATATTTAAATAAATGTTTGAACTGCCCTGGTAATTTTGAGAATGCTAAAATGTTCTGATACCTGTTGATTTGAAAAATAATCCACATTCTATATTATGTACAGGTACAGGTTTTACCAAAATTAAGGATTTTCTCAGCAAAAATTGTGGTTTCCATGGCAACCACAAGTGGCAGACCATTGAAACTTTGCATACTACCTTAAAATGATCTCATCAACTCTCAATAAAATTATTATGATGATTGAAGACCAACTGAATGAATTATTCAATGATGATAATGTACCCCCTGTAATTTTCCTTTTTAGGGTCAAAAACCCAATTTTGACAACTTTCGCCCCGGATACGGCGCGTCAGACTAAAATTTTCTGAAGAATCACATAAAAATACATAAGAAACAAGTAATTTCAATTTGTTCAGAAGCGGGTACATTTTTCGGTGCTACCTCACTAACTATTATGTATGTCATTGGAAAGAGCATTCAATTCTGGATAAAATAAACCCTAGATGACCTAGGTCAGATATTGCTACATAGTGTCACATGCATTTGAAATGTACTAGTATAGTGCTCTATTTCATTAATTTTTGAGAAGTGGCTGACTGTAAAGTGTAGTGCCTTATTTTATTTATTTAGACTAAAGCTAGTTCACAGTTGAAATAAAGATGACAAAACAACTTTTTGATGATGATAATCAGCAATATAGAGACAGAATAAGGTGTATAACATATAGAGAATGAGGGTGCTAGGTTCATTACGAAGTATTAAAATCTCTTGAGAAAGACACAGCCCTTTTCCATTCCCTTTTAGCTTCATATCCGGCTAGATTGGCAGCGTTTAAGGCTGCCCAGGGGGGTCATACTCACTTTTAAAAGTAAATTGAAAATATATCTTGTTTTTCATCATGCATCTTCATCTTTTCACATGTTAACAACAATTATGCTCTTTCCAATGGTGTATGGTATGTGTGTGTATCTTTCCTAGTTTATGCCGTGGAGGGGGGGAGGGGCACAACGCCATTTGACACCCTGTAGTTATGTAATGTAGTTTAGTGGAAATATTGTTCAATATTTTCATTAATAGATGGGAAATAAAGAAATTTTAGTCAGTGTTTTGTTAATGAAGTAAGTTATAGTCAGCCTGATCTGATTGGACATAATACAAGCCCTCTATTTGTTGGATTAAAGGTAATGCGTATTGATTCGTGTTAATGGTTTCAAGAAATCTTAAAGGTGCGATATAATGGAAATCTCACACTAAGTGGTTTATTCAGTTGTATCATAAGCACATATAGCATAATGTAATATATACTGTAAACACATTGCATTTGTGGGAACAATTTTCGCTGATTGGTGCATTTTTTTCTTTTTGTGTATTCATGTTTTCATGATTTACTGAATAACAGAAACCGATGAAGTTTTCAAATCTCAATATATGGGTGATAATTAATTAATATGGGCCAGAAAAAAGTGTGTGGGTCGGGTCAGAAGACAGCAGAAAAAATGATATAGTACTAGCAACTGAAACAACTGGGTGAATATATGGCACATTATAAGACTGTTTAAGCCTGCATTACTGCATGCTATGCTTTGATAAAAGAAAAATTTTTACCATCAAATCATAGAGAACTGTAAATTATCTTATGTTTGTAATTTATACATAAACAAGAAATAGGCCAGCTAAAAGTCTGATTTTTTTGCAGGGAATAAAAAGCATTTTAAGATGATAATGGTATTCCTGAGTGTTCTGACCTGACATTGGTAAGGAGCTGTTTGTGACCAGATTGTGAATTAAACCTTTTATCACAGAAAAATTGTGAATCACATAATATAGTGAATTGTGAAATCGTTTTTCAAAATGTGATGAACAATTTTAAATACACAGGATCCTGATTTCAAAATTTTCACACACATGAATACTAGCAAATACAAGATGTTCGCAAATTTAATGTGTTTTACAGTACCTAATAACATTTTTTCTATCATATACATATGAGTTCTAACAAAAAAAATATTTTTTACATTTCTAGTCAAATGTTGCTTTTAGATTTTTCCCAGTTTTTGCAGAAATTTCCATTTGTTAATATGCCTTAGTTTTCCAGAGATTTTCATTTTTCAGTTATTAATTTTTTTACCGTTTTTCAAGTGTATGTTTTATGTAAATATCTGAATACATAGAATATATGGATAACATATTTCACATCACCCAAGACTTATATTTACAGTACACCTAATTTTTTAACACCTTCCTTAGTAACACAGAAACATAAATGTATACCCTCTGTAAATAAAAATGTGCATGCTCCTTGTTCATTCATAACATTTTCAATATTCTGTGTAATCAAACCAAATCCATAAGAGGAATTTGTTATGAATCAATGGAGGACGTCTCAGCAAATAAGATGACATTTAAAAATAAGATAATGTCTTAGTTATGTCTCACAAAATGCACTGACATGTCTTTTGCATTCACATAATGTCATAAATTACAATGTAATACTGACTTTACTATTTTGCCTAGGATACCCTAATAGGTTTAATGCCTAACTTTTCTTAGTGAAAACCACTTCAAGACACATTTCACATAGACTCCTGTATAAAATCCCCTGTAAACACCTTCCTACATTGGGGAATTTTGTTTCTCCATTGGTGTTAACTATATACATATGTACACTGGTTTTACTATGTGTTGCCTGTAATGACCATAAGGTGATTTGCAAGCAATTTGTTGTTAATACATGATTCATGAAATAAATAGTTTACCCTTTAAAAACAACAAAAATTATACTTGCCTTGCATATGGGAGGGACTAATATTTTTTAAACTGATCATAATATGAGTCATCTGGTTTGTGGTTTGATGATTCCTCAAGTTTGCTTTTTGATGTTGACTTAATTTCTTTCACATTTATCTCACTTGAGACCTTTTTGCTATTAATTATTACATGAACAATGCCACTGCATAGGACAAAAATCTCGAGTATTGTGATGATGGAAACACCAACGAATATACCAAGAACTCCCCCGATTTCTGATATCATTGAAACCAATGAGAAACCTTCATCTTGGATTGTGTACTTTACCTCAAGTGTTTTGAAATATACATTTACACGGAGAACATTGGCTCTCAATTCATCGCCATGGTTTTGTGCAACATTTATATACTCCATAAAACTATTGCAGTGAATACCAATGCTATTTTGAAACCTTTCGAAGAAAGACCCTGATATATTCAAATAACTTAGTTGACAAAAGAAATCTAATTCAGAGCCTCTCATTGGCCACACAGACTGAGAAGTCTCGATTTCGTAATCAACATATGTACAGTTGTATTCGCATTCACAGCTTGGGATATCCTTAGCTAGTGCTGTCCATTGGTGTTCCTCCTTTGAACATATAACCTTTGCAAGGTCCTCTTTTAGAACAGTGGTGTTTGCTTCAGTTGCCTTCAGCCACTCTTTTATATTGAATTTTCCACAGGGTTGTATGTCCAATTCTGTTGTTGCATTTATATCAACTGGGAGCAAATCATATCTACATCCACATTGACGCTGGATCACTTTCTCTATACATTTTATTCTACATGTGTTTCGGGTGTATTTGTAGTCAGTTGAGTGTAGCGTATTATGCTCAGCGCATTCACCCCATGGCTGTTTTAAAAGCTGCCGTTTATTCGCAGAAAGAGCCACACTTATTAAATGCCCAGGCTCTACATCAAATCCCTCATTGTCAGGATCAGGTAAAGTTCCCTTTTCGTGTATGATCACCCTTGCTCCTGATGCAGCTGTCATTACTCGATTTACATTATAAGCCACATAAGCGTTTTCTGAATTTTCCAAGTAAAGTGTGAGCGAAAGACCTTTTTGAGCTCCTGTACTTGAAATTATCGGTTTTGATATATTGATATCCCCGCCATTGAATGTGTAGCAATTTTTGTATTCATGATGGACTAACTTCTGAAAGTCGGCTGCTGAGCATTCCTTTTCTTGATATAAACAGTAAGGAATGAAATCACCAAACTCATGACCAATAGTGGAAACTCCACTCACGCCCAAATTCGCATAATATCCCCTGTTAGATCTTGCCACAAGAATTGTATTTGTCATAATCGACAAATATGTTTCGTTGGTAATCTGTGCCAATTCATCTACAAGAGCATACGATGAACTTAGAAAGTTGTTCAGAGATATATAATCGCTATTAGGATCAGAATAGACTTCAGCTATTTTCATTGAAGAGATACCATACAGTGGACATACAGTTACGGATGGGAATATGATATCTTCATCCACCTTTGCCTCTACTCTGTCTATTGTTTCATATTTGACGTAGCGAACTATGATAGTCGATACCCAAATGATAGCAGCTATGGTTGATAGAAGTGTAATCGCTACCCATAATGCTTTTCCAAATTTGCTACTGGTCTGATTAATCATTCCCCATCCATGCCCCGAGGTGTTGCTTGTGAACTCGTTTATTATTCGCTTCATTGTTTTATATCATATCACAAACAGCATGTCCTCTTTTAGACTTAATTATATCTTTATATAGGTGTAGTTTAGTGGCTTCCTTTTTCACAAATTTACTTATCCATACATTATTTCATGTACTGTTTTTGAGTATATTTTGTGTGATCAATTTTTTTATTAATTGTAACATATTGAGTCTGTTTCTCCTTAACCTCATATAACTTAATATTGTTAGTATGAGTCTAACTCCTTTCTTCCCCTTCCTTTATATCCATTTATACAATAATGTAAAATTGTTCAACTTGTCTAAAAGTTTTATTCTGAATCTTTGATCTCATATGAAAACACTCCCATGGAGTCTTGAAGGATTGAATGAATTGAAAATTCAATAACCTGCTCTTAATATATTTGCACTTAGATTAGTGCAATGACGTATAAAATGTAATAATGGCTCTAAGTTCTAAGTGGCTTATGGTAACCAAATGTGTATTGATTTGTGTACTTTTGTTTTTATTAAAAGACTGAGCATTTGATGAAAATACCATATACAGGATTTTTTTAATTGATATAACTTTCTCGAAAATGCATGGATTTCAATAACGTTTTGGTATTGTCAGTTATCAATCATTCAATTGTTCCTGAAGTAAGATCAATAAACCTTTAGGGGTTCTTGAATAATAAAGGTAAACAGACACTAGGGGTCTATTAAAAAAAATTCCAAATTTTAGAATGAAATTCAAAGCGACGATTTTACAACAATCATAGTCATATATCAAAAAAGAAATGTGGAGGTATTTTTTCCAACCCTGTACTGTACAGTCAATCCTGTGTATCCTAACACCTCTCTTTTCCAAGCACCTCTCAATGTAAACACTTCTAACTTAATGAAAAGTTATTCAGGGGATTCATTAGCAGCAAGCAATTTTCACTGGTTGTTTTCACAAAATTGCCTGTTGTTTTTAGGAACTTTCCCATGTTAAATTCATGATTTCCATTAATCTTCACCATTGTTTTTATTTATTTAGCCTGTTGTGAGAAATTCTAGTGAAACCCCTGGTTATTAAGAGTTCATATATGTATTTGATGTAACTGTTGTTCCTCTTATTGAAATTGGAATATTGTGGGACAATGCCCATTTTGTCGTGAACTTTCTAAAGTGTCCCTAAGAAACAATAGATATGAGGGGTCTGGTAGACCAGAATGTGGGACCCCTATTAACAATGTAGCGTGTTGAAAGATTTTCTAAGAACCAATTAGAAGTGTTCAAATATTTGTTTCATCACTAGTAGTAACACTTTACACTGGGGGGTATCGTGATGCAACAACACCGTGTTGTTGCATCAAGATGGCCAGACTTCCGGTGATAGATTTTCGTACGATGTTTTGTTTCCCCAATTTAAACCCATTTCTAGGACGAGTTGCTCAATAACCATACACGTGCAGTTAGCGCACGATCTATATTTAAAGAAACTGTCATTAGTATACATGTACCATCACCAAGAAGCAATAAGTTCACGGTTTTAATTCCTCACTATTGATGCAACAACACCAAACCGAAGATGCAACAACACTCCTCTAGATTTGAGCAATGATGCAGCAACACCAATTAATAGTATAATTTCAGAAGACCATAAATCTCGAGAGGAACAGATTTTCAAATGCTACTATTGCAACACCGTTATCCATTACCCATATTTGCGTTCTTCTCAAGGCTTTCAAAATACACGTCCTGCGGGCGAAGATCCTTTATATGTATTTTCAAAAATTTATACTTTTAAATATTATAATGTACTGGACGTTGTTCTATAACATAGTTCAATCGCCTTTAACATGGCAAGCTTTAGTAATCTATTTTCATAAACCACTGTTCCATAGCTGGATGACCCTGACTCCAGTTAGTATCATTCAAAATGGTGGACAAACATCTTTCGTTCTCGGTAAACATGAGCTATTGGAAATTATCTGTCATCCATCTGTGGAACAGTGATAAACTAGTAGATGTACGTTACCACTGTTTATCAAATTATAACTAAAACAGTTTAACTGTGACATTCGTGAGCTTATGTTGATTGGATGATTGCTTCATCTATGATATAATATGGATTCTTTATTTCCTCCAATTTGGAGAGCAAACGTGTAAAAACGTCTAATTGACTTTATTAGAGAGGCCGTTTAAGCCCGGTATACACCAATGGGGCAAAATCCCACTTGCCCCATCGAGTCCCATCTTGCCCCATCGAATCCCAATTTGCCCCATCGAATCCCACGAAGTCCCATGGGACCTTGATGACTTTGCCCCATCGTGCCCCATGGAGTCCCATCAAGCCCCATGGAGTCCCATCAAATCCCACCGTGCCCCATTGGTGTATGTCGGGCTTCACACAACACGTCATATGATCGAAAATCCCACGATGCCCCATGGAAAGAATGAACATGATCATTCTCGATGGGACTCCATGGGACTTCGTGGGATTTTGCCCCATCGTGCCCCATCGAGTCCCACCGAGTCCCACTTGGGACTTCATGGGACCTCATGGGACCTCGTGGGACTCGATGGGGCAAGATGGGGCAAAATCCCACGGAGTCCCAAGGACTTCATGGGGCAAAGTCTCAAAAGATCCTACGAGGTCCCACGCAATGTTAAGTCTATGGAGGTCCCAACTTGCCCCATTTGTGTATACCGGGCTTTAGTTACACGTTTAATGGAAATCTTGCACGACGCAGATGTAGAATTATTGCTCTCTTTGGATTCCTTCTCTCCGACTGAGTAAAAAGGTAATCAAAAGTGATAAGATTAAGGGCCCAAAAAAGGTAAATTGATAGGGCCACAGTTATCCCAGATATCCCGGGCCCTCGAGAAATATCATATTGTCTCTCATCCTATACAACTCTTGAGAACGATGTACAGTATAACTCCTGGATAGCGTAAACTCCTGAGCAGCGTATACAACTCTTCAACTTGATATATGACATCATACTTTGGGTGGGATAACAAAGGATATACAATATACAATTGTAGACCTCTCTTGAGGTCAACTGGCAAAATTGTATACCGATACTGTAATCCTTGAAAGTTCGGAGGTCGAGGTCAACAGTACTCTCAGGGTTTACTGTTGAGGTATACACTTTGGCCAGTTGACCGAATAGAGAGGTTAAAAATTGTTTGTTAGTCCGAAGAATATAATAATTTGAAGGATATAATATACAATTGTAGACCTCTCTTAAGGTCATCTGCCAAAATTGTATACCGATACTGTAAACCTTAAAAGTACTGTTGATCAAGACAAGAGGTCGAGGACACTTTTGCCAGTTGACCGAAAAGAGAGGTTAACAATTGTTCTGTTAGTCCAAATAATATAATAATTAGACAAATATATAATCGAATATCACGTGAACATATTTGATAAGTAAAGGTATCATATTTTAGCAAAAAATCCCCAAACCGTCGAATACTTGTAATTTTTTACACAACTTATTTTTTCAAAATTAAAAAAATTTCAACATTAAAAAACAATTTTTCAAAAATAGCGGTCAACAGTACCTAGTAGTGGTCAACAGTTTACAATTGTTGACCTCCCCAGAAGTCAACCGGCAAAGTTGTATACCGAGACTGTATATGTAAACCGAAAAACTACTGTTGACAGAGTCCGAGTAAACTAATAATGCACATATAGACGACAATCATCAATCGGCATGGCTTCATTTCACAACCTTTTCTCCGAACCACATTAGCAGTATTTTTTTATAAAATCTAAAGACAGTGCAAGTAGCTTAACTCTGTATTTGGCACATCACGGCGTACTCGTTAGTGAATTAATGTTAATTTTAAGTTTCTATTTGTATTTTTGCTTTACTTGTCGCCTAGTAAAGTCATTTTCATCAACGTTTACAAAATGTCAGTCTTCCATTTTTTTTTTGTGACGTCATGAAACTTTTTTGCAGAAGTAGCGGTCAACAGTACCTAGTAGCGGTCAACAGTACATAATTTTGATCGCTAATCAACCAATCAGAATCGAGTATTTCAGTTGAGGTACTAACAATACATTTTGTTCACCGCTCATCAACCAATCAGAATTGAGTATTTCAATTGAGGTACTAACAACATGCACAAAATGACTGATATCTGTTGTCTTTCCAAAATTATATTAGTTATTTGTAAACAATTTCCATACGGTAAATCAAGGGCATTTAATTTAGAAAATGTATAATCTTTATTTTTCAGATACAATATCAATGAGATTTCCTCCCGGGGATTCAGTACTTTATTTAGTTTGCCTTGTATATCCTTTTAACTTTGATATAGACAAAGAAACCAAACAAAATACGTTTCGTTCATGGACCACTGACTCACGCGTTTTATTGATGTCCCGACCTACACCTGTAAACAGAACATAAAACAGTTTCTCTTGTTGTTAAATGATACATTATATTGGCGTTTTTGCATCAGCACATTGGTGTTGTTGCATCATCGATAAGAAACAGAGTGGTGTTGTTGCATCAATAGTGAGGAATTAAAATCACGAATTTATCGCTTCTTGATGATGCTACATGTATACCAATGACAGTTTTTTAAAATATAGATCCTGCGCTAACTGGATGTGTATGATTATTGAGCAACTCGTCCTAGAAATGGGTGTAAATTGGGAAAACAAAACATCGTACGAAAATCTATCACCGGAAGTCTGGCCATCTTGATGCAACAACACGGTGTTGTTGCATCACGATACCCCCCAGTGACTTTAATGGCTCTTAATGGGGTTCCTATTGTAATGACCCTCTCTCTAACTTATGATTATCTTACATAATCATGACATAATAATAGGTTTTAGTGATGTATGATATATGTACCCTTTCATTTTGTAAGTGCAATTAGCATTTGTTTAGTCCTTAGTGAATGGGGATTCATATATAAATTATCAAAGTGAGAAACAATCTTTTTTTCACAAACTTGGTTACTGAATCTTTATCAGTCTGACTTCAACTTTCATTCATAATTTTGTTAACATTTTCACCCATGGGATAATCTGGATTTAGAGATTCTGAGAATTAAGTACATGTAAATAAATGTAGTAACCATATTTTTTGTTTTATACTATTTTACATATAACACAATCCCTGTGTAAACACAATCAGTTAAATTACTGTTATGGAAAATTTCACTTGATAATTTTATCATTCCATGATTTCTTGTAAAAAGCAGATAATTTTGTTCAATTTTTTGAATAATTCTAACGAGAATGAGCATTTTGTAAATGTGGCCTAGAGCCCTAGACAATATGAAATATGACACCCACTATGGTTTTTCACATTATTTCTCTTTTACCCGCAAAGAGAGCAGTGACACAACATCCAATATGACACCTCTTAACTCTCATTCTTAGCTGAGACTCCTCAGTTCTTTTCAGAGGCTTATGGATAACTCATCCATTAGACAACTCATCTTTGGACAACTCATCCCCCGTATAACTCATCCCTTAGACAACTCATTTCTGGACAACTTATCCCCTTGACAACTCATCCCCTGGAGAACTCATCTCTTAGACAACTAATTTCTGGACAACTTATTCCCTAGACAACTCATCCCTTATACAACTCATCTCTGGACAACTCATCCCTTGGATAACTCATCCCTTAGACAACTCATCCCCTTTACAACTCATTTGCTGGACACAATGAACAAAATGTTTTTTTTGTGTTTTTTTATTATGTACCTTGTAATCTTAAAGCTTGGCCTATACCCATTTAAAATGATTGCCCATTTTTGTCAATGTACGATTCATGAAATCAATAATTTACCATATAAAAGAGAAACAAAAAGAAAACGAGCCCTGCATCTCATGATTTTTTAAACAAAATGATCATAGTATGGGTCATCAGTCTTGTGATCTGACATTTCCTCATGTTTGTGTTTTGGTGTTGACTTAAATTCTTTCACATTTATCTCACTCGAGACCTTTTTGCTATTTATTATAGCAAGTACTATGCCACTGCATAGGACAAAAGCCTCGAGTATTGTGATAATTGATACACCTATGAATATACCAAGAACTCCCCCGATTTCTGATATCATTGAAACCAATGAGAAACCTTCCTCTTGGATTGTGTACTTCATCTCAAGTGTTTTGAAATAAACATTTACACGGAGAACATTGGCTCTCAATTCATCGCCATGGTTTTTTGAAACATTAACATACTCCCCATAATTAGTGCAGTGAACACCAATGCTGTTTTGAAACCTTTCGAGGAGAGACCCTGATATATTCAAATAATTTAGCTGACAATAGAAATCTAACTCAGAGCCTCTGGTTGGCCACACAGACTGAGAAGTCTCCATTTGGTAGTCAACATATGTACAGTTGTATTCACATTCACAGTTTGGGATATCCTTAGAGAGTATTGTCCATTGGTGTTCTTCCTTTGAACATTTGACTCTTTCAAGGTCCTCTTTTAGAATAGTACTGTTTGCTCCTGATGTCTTCAGCCACTCTTCTTTATTGAATTTTCCACAGGGTTGTATGTCCGATTCTGTTGTTGCATTTATATCAACTGGGAGAAAATCATATCTACATCCACATTGACGCTGGATCACTTTCTCCATACATTTGATTTTACATGTGTTTCTTGTGTATTTGAAGTCAGTTGAGTGTAGTGTATTATGCTCAGCGCATTCACCCCATGGCTGTTTTAAAAGCTGCCGTTTGTTTGCAGAGAGAGCCACACTTATTAAATGCCCAGGCTCTACATCAAAACCTTCATTGTCAGGATCAGGTAAAGTTCCTTTTTCGTGAATAATCACCCTAGCTCCTGATGCAGCTGTCATCATTCGATTTGAATCATAACCCACAAAAGCGTATTCTGAATTTTCCAAGTAAAGTGTGAGCGAAAGACCTTTTTGAGCTCCTGTACTTGAAATTATTGGTTTCGATATATTGATATCCCCACCATTGAATGTATAACAGTTTTTGTATTCATGATGGACTATCATCTGAAAGTCAGCTACTTCGCATTCCTTTTCTTGATAAAAACAAAGAGGAATGAAATCTCTGAACTCATGGCCAAGAGTGGAAACTCCACTCACGCCCATGTTATCATAACTTCCTCTATTAGATTTTATTTCGCTAACTGTATTTGTTAAAATAAATTCACGTGTTTCGTTAGTAACTTGTGCCAATTCATCCGCATTACCATACAAGGACATTATAAAGTTCTTCAGTGATTTAAAATCACTATTAGGATCAGAAAAGGCTTCACCTCTTTTCTCTGAAGAAAAACCATACAATGGACACACAGTCACGGATGGGAATATAATATCTTCATCCACTTTTGCCTCTACTCTGTCTATTGTTTCATATTTAACGTAGCGAACTATAATAGTCGATACCCAAATGATAGCAGCTATGGTTGATAGAAGTGTAATCGCTACCCATAATGCCTTTCCAAATTTGCTACTGGTCTGATTAATCATTCCCCATCCATGCCCCGAGGTGTTGCTTGTGAACTCGTTCAGAATTTGCTTCATTATTATTTTATATCATCACAACAGCAAGTCGTCTTTTATAAGATTTATCTTTATCATAGTTTAGTTGTTCTCTTTTTCACAGATTTACATATTCATTTTTTGAGTGTAGCTTGTTTCATCACTTTATTTTTATTCATTGTTATTGTTTGAGTCTCTGCCTTCTTGACATAACATATTTCCTTGTTAGCATGAGTCCCACTTCTTTCCTCTTGTTTCTCTATCTTCATATACAATACTATAAGTAATTGAATGATTCGAAGTGCAATTCAGGATATATTCTGCTTGAGAAATTCTGTATTGGAACTAGACAAAGTCAATGCCAATACAGAATATCGAGAGCAGAATCTATCCTGTTTTGCACTTCAAATCATTCTATAATGTTTTTATCGTACAATCTTAGGCCAATACATTTTACCTAGGAGATAATCCCTAATACATATTCTGTATTTTCTCTATTGCAACTGAGATTGTCCCCTCTGTACCCTTTTTTCTGAATTGCTCTGGAGATGATCAAAGAGAACAATCTTAGTAGCAATACCAATCAGAGGGCTTCATTTTATAGATCATATGATAATATATGTCTAAATTAATAATATCTATTCATATAAAAGCCAAAAGGTTGCATTACTTGCTTTAACGTATTATTTGGAATCTTTGATCTCATATGAAAACACTCTACACTGTAGAGTCTGGACGAATTGAATGAATTAAAATCTTAATAACCTGCTCTTTATACATTAGCATCTAGACTAGTGCAATGACGTTTGAAATGTAATAATATTATATAAGTGGATTATGGTTACTAAAGTTTATTGATATGTGTACTTTTGTTTTTATCAGAATGACTCAGCATTTGATGAAATTACAATAAAACCTGTATATCTGAACACCTCTCTAATATCCATACACCTCTCAATGTGAAGACTTCTTCTGTGTCCAAATTTTGTTTCCTCTCATTCAAAAAACTTGATATGTGAACACCTGTTATTTATTGACTGCTTTTGACTGCTTTTATTGGTGTTCAAATTTCAATTGTTAATCTGAACACTTTTGACAGCTTTAGTTTTATTAGTGTTCAGATTTCACTTGTTAATCTGAACACTTTTGACTGCTTTCACTGGTGTTCAGATTTCACTTGTTAATCTGAACACTTTTGACTTCTTTTAGTGGTGTTCAGATTTCACTTGTTTATCTGAACACTTTTGACTGCTTTCACTGGTTTTCAGATTTCACTTGTTAATCTGAACACTTTTGTCTGCTTTAACTGGTGTTCAGATTTCACTTGTTAATCTGAACACTTTTGACTTATTTTAGTGGTGTTCATATTTCACTTGTTTATCTGAACACTTTTGACTGCTTTTACTGGTGTTCAGATTTCACTTGTTAATCTGAGCACCTTTGACTTCTTTTAGTGGTGTTCAGATTTCACTTGTTTATCTGAACACTTTTGACTTCTTTTAGTGGTGTTCAGATTTCACTTGTTAATCTGAGCACCTTTGACTTCTTTTAGTGGTGTTCAGATTTCACTTGTTAATCTGAACACTTTTGACTTCTTTTAGTGGTGTTCAGATTTCACTTGTTTTACTGGATGTATTTACTTAAAAGGTTTTGTTTCTCTGATGAACCTTTCACAAAAACTAAAGATTTTCTAAGGATTTTATTGACAATTATGAGTAGAAGATTAAAATGTTTTAGAGATGAATGAAACGGCAAACTCCTAAGAATAGCAAATCTCAATGAACAATACATACCACAGCAAATACGTGGGAGATATCTTAAAATTTATTGAAATTCCATCAAGCCCGTCACACACAACTAGACAAGGGTTTCAATGACACTGTAAACATAAATAATGTTGACCAATGTAACACATTTGTTAATTGTTTGGAGCAATTGAGTAATGTATATTGATTTAGCCCTCCTTATTCCATATGATTGTAAAAGATTGCATACTCAGTGCTATATACAGGATGTCACAAAATTGTACTGAGACATACAGGGAATAACTTTGATGAGGTTTATTGGAAATTTGGTTATTTGATAGACAATTTATATAGCATAAACAGTTGACACTGTTTTACCTTGTAACTGTATTTTAAAACTATAGTATCATTGTGACACCGAAATAAACTATTAAAGTGCCCGATAAACTATAAAATGCGCATGCGTCCAGGTGTTGATAAACTATAAATAGCGAAAATCCAGGGTTTGTCACCACAAGGTAAGCCAGGGCGTGTTGAGAGAACAGCTAGTGTTGATATTGAATTTACATGTAGCCAGATAAGTTTCCTTATTGAAATTACATATGGTTATTAGCAATACTTTGTAGGTGCTAAATAATAAAATATTTAGAGTATATATGAGGGAAATTGGCCATTTCGAAGCTGTTGAAAAGTTTGTGGCTCTCGGCTACACCGGGGAATTTACTTCCATGAGTACACAAATAAATGTGGGGCTCCCCAAGAGGTACGCGACAAGGTGACCTGGCATCAAATGTGCTACTATCGAGAAGATAAAATAACGAATACGACAATAAGTTATTGCATGTGACAATTCCGAGCATTCATCTCACTGAAGTATTTTGAAGTGAAAATAAGATTTTTGTTTTGATACATGGATTCAGATGAACGTAACTTTATTCTGACAACTAATCAAAACTGAACAAAATTGATTGTACGTAACAGACAATTTATTGTTTTACAATGTTTTGATTGGCTAAACGAATGAAACCAACAAATTATGACATGTAAAATGACAATTTTGAAATGTAAAATTTAAAAGTGACAAACACAACCTCCCTATCCACTCTTTGGGAGCCCTACTAATATGTACATGCAGCAGTGGTAGTGTTACAGCTTATTATCACACTACTGGGCTTTGTATTCTAAAGCCTGTTGTTTGTAATAACACTGTTCACTCAACGTATGTTTTGTGTGTGGGCAGTCAACGATAATCATTGTTTCATCCCGGTTATATGACCTCGGCAATTATAACAAAACCGTACTAAACGAAAAAAACGCAAATAAGAGAAAGCTTTCACACACATATAAAAAATGAACTAGTCTAATCCGCCAGTATAAACTCTGTGCTATACGTAGCCGGGTCAGGCGCACACTTTAAACTTAAAACTGTATTTAGGTTTAGAGAAAAGCTTGTTTTAGTACCATCTGATCAAATTTTTCTATATTCAGAGCGCTTCAATTCTGCTTTAATCATGATATGGTCATATAAACTGTTAAATTTCCCAGTAAATAATTGACAAATTCCTTTGAATTTAACTGCTATTGCAAAATAAATTCTAGTAATCAAGTGAAAAGTTGAGAGCATTTCTTTGATAAAGTAAATAAGAGTGTAATATAATTTTGTTTAATAGGTATACTTATTTTTGAGACACCCAGTATATAGTTTTGAATTATTGAGAATTATATATTGTGGGATGCCTATTTACAATATTTACAGTGTGTGGGAAGATTTTCTCAAAACCAATTATCTGTATCCAAATATTTATTCATCACTAGCAGTCACTTTAATGTCTCTTAATGGGTTTTTATGGTAAGGACCCTCTCTCTCTCAAACTAATATGCTCTTACATAATCAAGATCATTAATGTCATTAGTATTTGTTTGGTCCTTTTAATTAGGAATTCATGTTTAAATAATCAAATTGATGTTTAGAGACAGGAAATCCTATGTATCGTTTTGTATGTAATATGTTGATGTCAAACTTGTAATGTATCTTTGCTGTTAAAACTAGCTTTCATTTTGAATTTACTAGCTACAGTAATCAGCCGTTGTTTATATATTTGTCAATTAAAAGCCATTTTATCCATTTGATATGCAGAACCATATTGTTCTGTATTGGCAATGTATCTTAATTTAGGCTGTTGGGACCGTTCGCCATTTTGGAAACTTAAATTCAAACTGAAGGTTTCTTATACATTATAATATTATTATTCTGAAATCTATGTTTAAACCCAGAAATGTGTTGCACCATTTAAAGATTTACATGAGACACCCACATTGAGAGGAACAGAAATAGAGAAAATATTTGAGTTTATTACGAGAGAAGTTGTACTAAAATTGATAATATGAGAGCAAAACTTTGTGCTCAGCACAGAAACCATGAAAACAGCTCCAATTTGAGCTTCTTTATATGGCAGCTGAGCTTGACAAAATCCTATGTCTTTTTCTGGCTCTTATAGGCATCAATACTTAAGGCACAAAACCCCATCCTTCAGGATACCTCAAAATATGTTTAAGCCAATCGAAGTTCCCTCGGTTTAGAATTAAAAGCCTGAGTGATGTCAAGAGACCGTGATGTCAGTAAACAAACAACTATGTCAAAATACAGTTGTATTAACAAAGAGAGAGGATTTTCGAGAAATATGTCAAAATAAATTAATATTGAGTTCGCACAACAGTTTTTGTCAAGTGAAAATGATGTCATTGTTAACTAGAAAAATCAAAAATCAATAAATGATGTCAGCTTACTTTTTTTCAGGGAGAAGAGACTTCAGGAAGAGAAACTTGAAAGTCTCCAAAATACGCTTCGAGAGAGAGAAAAAGCTGTAACCAGACTAGAATTAGACTTTGATAACAAGCTTGAAGACCAGATAAACAGGTATACACGTCAATTGATTTATTTTCTATTTTCGCAACATTTATGGTGTTTATGTCACCTCAAAAATATGGTGACATATTGCTTTTATTTCCCATCAATATGTTTGTGATTGACCATTGCATGTGGTTTTGGTAGTCAGTTTCTACCTATATGATTTATTTTGTCACTCCAAAATTGTGGTGACATATTACTCCAAAAATGTGGTGACATATTGCAATTAAAGCCAATGATTGCACAGCGTTGTTTTCTTTATGTACAGGTCTCCTTCTGGGAAAGTTGAAAATCTACATTTTTGGAAAACTAGGATTTTAGAATTCCTGCAGGCAGAAATGTGCTGAACTAAATATATTTGATCAACAACTGGAAAAATGTATTAAAGAATTAATATGATGATTCGGAAAAATCGGGAGAAAATCAAGAATGTTAAGAATAAATCTTGTTTTTGTTTTAGGTACAAGATTCAAGAACAAAGCCGTCTGCTTGAAAAACAGCGCCATCTGGAGGCACAAGAGGCTCGACTTACTGGTAAGCCTTAGACATTATATCTAAATAATGCAGATCATGGAAATTTTGAAAATCACTATGTATCGAGTCGCATTGATAATCTCGACTGCGTCTGACTTTTCTTTAAATTGTAATTTCAGAGGAAACTAGAAGCAAAAGAGCTACAAGAAATTTTGACATTACTTTACATTGTAATTTCAGAGGAAACTAGGAGTCTTGCAAATGAAAGACTCTCCATAGAAAATACAACTAAAGAGCTACAAGAAAAGAGGATCCAAGTCAAAGAATTTGAGGTAAATTATAAATGAATGATTTTCTGATACTTATTTTCAACAATATAGAGTCTTAGTATGGGAGCAAAGGTAATTCCGTGTCCTTTTTAGAGGCGAGCTAAGCGATATATATTTTTATGAACTATATGTGATACTTACCAAGAAAAATGATGTTGGCAATTCTGAATCCGCGACGGCGTTGCTATGGTAACCAAGTAAATATGCCACGCCCACTTTTAGGGGCTCTTTTCAGTGTTTGGCCCTTATCTCCTTCATTATTGCTCAGATTTCGATGAAATTCACACCAAATGGAAGGTAATAGATAACGCACTCAAAATATATTAAGTTGGCAATTCTGAATCCGCGGCAGCGTTACTATGGTAACAAAGTAAATATGCCACACCCACTTTTAGGGGCTCTTTTCAGTGTTTGGCCCATATCTTCGTCATTATTGCTCAGGTTTCGATGAAATTTGCACCAAATGAAAGGTAATAGATGAAGCAATCATACAGTTCATAAAATATGCAAATAGGGTGATTTGCATCTTAATTATGACGTCATTTCTGTTTGTTTTTGTGTATTTTATTTTAATCATGATGTATAAATCTGCGAAATTATTATGTTTAAAATGGTCAGTAATGCTTTTAACTAGTTAATTAGTTGATTTCTTTTAGTTGAGTTTATTAGTTTATTACATTCATACATGTATGGTCATAAAACATTGAATAAATGTAATGAAAGTGTCCAATTGACGCTGTTGCGATGGTAACAGCAAGTAGCAAAATGATCCGCTGTAAACAAGAGAATTCTTTAGGAAATGTTACAATTTGACCATTTGACTGGCATGTATTCTTTTTAAAATTTGGTGACAGAAAATAACCTAATAACTATAGAAAATTATTTAATTTGGATTGTGTTATATTATGATGTCATAAGGGCAATTGTTAATCAGGGTCGCAGCAAGCTCTCAGTCGGGGGGGGGGGGTTCGACACAATTTTCTTTAAAGATTTTGTTTAATTTTACAAAAATTGTTGCAACTTCCTTCAAAACTGAGCTAGAAGCTTCGAGTCAAATGCATTTCAAAACCCTTCTTCTATCTAATGGTTCTTTTTTATTGGTTACAGGGGGTGCACTCATTACACCCCCTGGCTATGCCTATGTTAGCTATGGTAACCAGGTGAATATGCCGTCCCCATTTTTCACGACTTTTCCTAAGTTTTTCTTCTATCTTTGTCATCATGATAGCTCTGGTGTATATGAAATTTTCATCAAATGGAAGCTAAAGTTTGCTTTTCTTGCTGGGTTTCTTTACAGTGTCTGGTTCTTTCCCTTTGGCATTTGCGCTTAGATATTCATACTTGTAAAGAAATGGAATGAGAATCAATCATAGTTTTCAGCTTTGACCTCATTTTATGGTGAATGTCAAAGGACAAGGTACCATTTTGGAATCATTTTGAGCAATTCTACCTAATTTCAAGAAAATAATCACAAAAGCAGCTATGATACCATAACGAGTATGCCAGTCAGTTAATCTACATTATCCATGCATTTTCTGATTCACCTGGCATACTCACCTGGTTACCATAGCAACACCATATTGGATTAACATAACCCCCCTCCCATAAAGAATAAGATAGAACCATTAGATAGAAGAAGAGCTTTAACCCATTAGTGTCTATGTCCCGAATATGGCACGTTTTTTGAGTATATTGGAAGATGTCAGCACTGTATCATTAGTACTTTATATTTCTTAGAAAAGAAGATACTAGAATAGTAGATTTCTCCAAAGTTCAAGGTCATTTTGTTTTTGCAGACATCTTTTGAATTTTTTCACAGGAAAGGGCTCAATGTCCCTCAAATTGATATATCAGTCCATAGGCCATAGGGGGCCACTACCATGCTATTGAGGGCCACTTGCATGTTTTGGATGCCATCTGGGCCACTTAAATTTCTTTTTGGACCACATGGGTCTACTAGGGTGCATTTGGGGTCCACGGGGGTCCACTGGAATACGTTTGGGGCTTGGGGGCCACTGGGATGCTTTTAGGGGTCACAGGGGGCCACCAGGGTGCTTTTGATGGCCATGAGGAGCTATTTGCATGCTTCTGGCGGCCTCAGGGGGCCACTAAGATGGTTTTGGGGGCCACTGTGGGCCAATAGGTTGCTTTCAAGGGCCACTTAGATGCTTTTAGGGGGCATAATTGGGCCCTTGGATGCATTTTGGGCCACTGGGTGTCACTAGTATGCTTTTTGGGGGCAATTAAAATGATTTTGGGTCCACAGGGGCCCATTGGAGTGCTTTTAGAGGCCACCTGGGCCCACTGAGATACTTTTTGGGGTCACAGGGGGCCAATAGGATGCTTTTGGGGGCCACTAGGATGCTTTTAGGGGGCATAACGGGGCCACATTGGATGCTCTTTGGACCACTGGGTGTCACTAGTATGCTTTTTGGGGGCCACTAAATGATTTTGGGGTCCACAGGGGCCCATTGGAGTGCTTTTAGAGGCCACCTGGGCCCACTGAGATACTTTTTGGGGTCACAGGGGGCCAATAGGATGCTTTTGGGGGCCACCAGGATGCTTTTAGGGGGCATAACGGGGCCACATTTGGGGCCACAGGGGTCAATTGGATGCTTTCATGGGGCCACTAGGACGCTTTCAGGTGCCACTAGGATGCTTTAAGGGGGCATAATGGGGCCTTTTGGATGCTTTTTTGGGCCACTGGGTGACACTAGTATGCATTTTGGGGTCACTGGGGGGCAACTGGGAAGCTTTTGGAGCCTCTAGAATGAGTTTGGGGCCATTTGAGTGCTTTAGGAGGCCACTTGGGGCCACTGAGATGCTTTTCGGGGAAACGTTTTGGGGCCACAGGGGGCCACTTGGTTGATGTCATGGGTCGCAGAAGGGTACTAAGGATACTACTTTTGAGGGCCTCATACCAGCAATAATTTGTTTTTTGGGGCCACTGGGAACAACTAGAATGCTTTTGAGGACCACTTTGGGGCACTGGAATGCTTTTCGGATCATATATTGCCACTGCCGTGCTTTTGAATGTCACTGGGGCCTATTTAGTATTGAATTATAACAAACAGACAAGTTTAAGTTAATGACAGTGTTAAATTCGAGTTTGTTAAAGTTATGATATTATAAATAGGTTTTACAACCACGAAATCATAACCTCTTAACCCAAAATGTTATCATGGGCACTTGTGTCTATGTCCTGTATTTGGGATGCCTCTAGAACAAAACTAATTGTTTCTTAGCTACCCAGGTTAGAAGAACATAAAAATTATTTTAAAAATACTAATGCATTCAATCTGTTGTCATTATTGGGTTAAAATGCTTTTGACTTGAAGCTTCTAGCTCAATTTTGAAGGAAGTTGCATCAACTTCTGTAAAATTCTTCTTGAAAACATATTTGGGTTGCTTATGCCACGATCGCTCCCCCCCCCCCCGATTGAAATCTGGCCGCACCCCTGATTAAATAATTGCCCTTATGACATAATAATATAACACAATCCAAATTAAATAATTTTCTATAGTTATTAGATTATTTTGTCATCAAATTTTAAAAAGAATACATGTCAGTGAAATGGTCAAAATGTAACATTTCCTAAAGAATTATTGTTTACAGCGGACAGTTTTGCTACATGATGTTACCATAGCAACAGTGTGAATTGAACATAAAAATTATTTGAATAAGGCATCTTTCATTACATTTATTCAATTTTTTATTGACCATAAATGTATGAATGGAATGAACTCAACTAAAAGAAATAAACTAGTTGAAAACATTACTGACCATTTTAAAGACAATAATTTCACAGAGTTATACATCATGATTAAGATAAAATATGCAAGAACAAACAGTTATGACGTCATAATTAAGTTGCAAATCACCCTAATTGCATATTTTATAAAATATATGATTGCTTTATCTATAACCTTTCATTTGGTACAAGTTTCATTTAAAACTGAGCAACAATGACGAAGATATGGGCCAAACACCGAAAAGAGCCCCTAAAAGTGGGTGTGGCATATTTACTTTGTTACCATGGTGACGCTGCCGCGGATTCAGAATTGCCAACTTAATATATTTTGATTGCATTATCTATTACCTTCCATTTGGTGTGAATTTCATCGAAATCTGAGCAATAATGAAGGAGATAGGGGCCAAACACTGAAAATAGCCCCTAAAAGTGGGCGTGGCTTATTCACTTGGTTACCATAGCAACGCCGTCGCGGATCCAGAATTGCCAACATCATTTTTCTTGGTAAGTATCACGTATAGTTCATAAAAATGTATGTCGCTTAGCTCGCCTCTAAAAAGGACACGGAACCTCTTATTTGGACTTTTGCTCCCAGACTATCTACCTGTATAGGCATCCATGTTTTTGTAAATGCTTTTCATTTATGTAAAATACATGTTATCATCAAAGGCAAGTCCACCCATATAGCTCAGCATGTCCCAGATTAGATTGCGGGTTCAGGCACTTGCTTGTTGCGTAAAGTATTTCAGGGTGTTTGACTGAGTGATCCACTACTTGTAAAAAGGCTGTGGTGTGTACTTGTATGCGTATGTATGAGTGCGCATAAAGGAACACAGGGCGGCCTTCAAGGAAGATCTGCCTTCCATGATTATGTGTTAATTACGAGTTACGACCATTTATATACGGGCTATACCCAAAATGTATTGCTCCCTTTTATTTGTGGTAAACAAAATACAACAAAATACCAATGTCCCAGAAAGTTAAACATAAGGCACATTCCATTTTTCTCTGAATCACTTATATCCAGTGAATAGATAAATAGATATTTATTTGTACATTTTTGTGTTTTGGTTTCAGTCCCAGTTGCAACAGATGAGACAAGAGACTATAACTATGCAGAGCCAGAAAGATGTACTTAATGACAAAGTTAGACAGGTAAACACACTATAATGAAAAGTACATGTATGTACAAAAGGAGTATACAGTGAAACCTGTCTAAGTGAACACCTTTCTCTGGTAAACACCTGTCTCTAGTAGTCACTTTTCCTCTGCACATACTCTACTGACTTCTGTTTAAATTACCCTCTCTCTAGTGAACACCTGTCTCTAGTGGACACCCTTCCTCCGCACATGCTCTACTGACTTCTGTTTAAATTACCCTCTCTCTAGTGAACACCTGTCTCTAGTGGACACCCTTCCTCCGCACATACTCTACTGACTTCTGTTTAAATTACCCTCTCTCTAATGAACACCTGTCTCTAGTGGACACCCTTCCTCCGCACATACTCTACTGACTTCTGTCTAAATTACCCTCTCTCTAGTGGACACCTGTCTCTAGTGGACACCCTTCCTCCGCACATACTCTACTGACTTCTGTTTAAATTACCCTCTCTCTAATGAACACCTGTCTCTAGTGGACACCCTTCCTCCGCACATACTCTACTGACTTCTGTTTAAATTACCCTCTCTCTAATGAACACCTGTCTCTAGTGGACAACCTTCCTCCGCACATACTCTACTGACTTCTGTTTAAATTACCCTCTCTCTAGTGGACACCCTTCCTCCGCACATACTCTACTGACTTCTGTTTAAATTACCCTCTCTCTAGTGAACACCTGTCTCTAGTGGACACCCTTCCTCCGCACATACTCTACTGACTTCTGTCTAAATTACCCTCTCTCTAGTGAACACCTGTCTCTAGTGGACACCCTTCCTCCGCACATACTCTACTGACTTCTGTTTAAATTACCCTCTCTCTAGTGAACACCTGTCTCTAGTGGACACCCTTCCTCCGCACATACTCTACTGACTTCTGTTTAAATTACCCTCTCTCTAATGAACACCTGTCTCTAGTGGACACCCTTCCTCCGCACATACTCTACTGACTTCTGTTTAAATTACCCTCTCTCTAATGAACACCTGTCGCTAGTGGACAACCTTTCTCCGCACATACTCTACTGACTTCTGTTTAAATTACCCTCTCTCTAGTGGACACCCTTCCTCCGCACATACTCTACTGACTTCTGTTTAAATTACCCTCTCTCTAGTGAACACCTGTCTCTAGTGGACACCCTTCCTCCGCACATACTCTACTGACTTCTGTCTAAATTACCCTCTCTCTAGTGAACACCTGTCTCTAGTGGACACCCTTCCTCCGCACATACTCTACTGACTTCTGTTTAAATTACCCTCTCTCTAATGAACACCTGTCTCTAGTGGACAACCTTCCTCCGCACATACTCTACTGACTTCTGTTTAAATTACCCTCTCTCTAGTGGACACCCTTCCTCCGCACATACTCTACTGACTTCTGTTTAAATTACCCTCTCTCTAGTGAACACCTGTCTCTAGTGGACACCCTTCCTCCGCACATACTCTACCGACTTCTGTCTAAATTACCCTCTCTCTAGTGAACACCTGTCTCTAGTGGACACCCTTCCTCCGCACATACTCTACTGACTTTTGTATAAATTACCCTCTCTCTAGTGAACACCTGTCTCTATTGGACACCCTACCTCCACACATACTCTACTGACTTCTGTATAAATTACCCTCTCTAGTGAACACATAAACCAACACTGAATGTTCAATTTACACAGGCTTTACTACATGTATGTAGGAATTGTACTGAATGCATTCTATATTTAATATCTAATATCAGTTATTAAAGTGCCAACAAAGTCTAGAGATCGTAAAATGTTCAAATCAGCTTTCTTAATACTCAAAAAATCTTTGATGTTTTCCTCACTTTTCGAAAAAAATACATTGAAATATTTTATTAAACATAGAAGTTATTGATGATTGAAGGACAAGGTGCTGAAGCCTGAAATGCTTTGTATTTTTTAACAAATTTATTAATTTAACAAAATAAATTGATTTAAAATTCTGCAGATGCTTGATTACCCAAACCTAAGATCTGAGAATGCCGTCCTAAAAAATGAGATCGAGGCTACGAAAATGAGGCTTGCCGAGTCCAAATACGAAGTCGAACAAGAGAGGAAAAAACATGAAGATTTGTTGCGAGAAACGAGAGAGAGGCTAAGCATGCCATCACCAGAGACAGTTTTATTGCAAAGAGAGCTGGATCGTGCACGTGATCATGTTAAACAGGAAAAAGCTGTCGCTGAACATCAAGTACAGGAAATTCAGCGCCAGTTAAAGGAAGAGGTATGATGATGGGATAGATTTTTACAGAAATGCCAGACTTGATGTTAAAAACTCCGTTTCTGAAGTAGTTGAGCAATTTAAACTATATTGTTATTGAGATATTCAAGCATACATTGCCTTTTTACATTGGATGCATTGATCAATTTTGAAAAAAAATTGTGTAGTTTTTAAGACAAATTATCACATCTCTTCCAAATCTTGTTTGATGACGATGAGACTCGAATTCTTGATACATCACTTATCGATATAATTCACAAAGTATCATCACAATTGCTGCATCTTCAAATGAGATAATGCATACTCTTAAACATGTTCTTCAGGTTGCATTATCAAATCACAAAATTTTTTTTTAAAATAAAGGTTGTGAAAAGAAGAAAAATATTTTTGTGAGATATTGCATAGTTTTATAACACATGGTCAAACCTCGACTTTAAGGATAAAATTTGCTGACTCAGCATGTTTGAGCCTGATTTGTAACCTGTGACTCCAGAATCGTGATTAAAAAGATTAGAAGAGGGGGAATTAAGGTGAATTAATATGATTCTGACTCAATTTCAAAATATTGCATAGTTTTATAACACATGGTCAAACCTCACTGACTCAGCAAGTTTGAGCCTGATTTGCAACCTTTCGCTCCAGAATCGGGGAAAAAAAAATTAGAAGAGAGAGGGGGAGTTGGGGTCAGACATTTATATAATTTTGACTCATTTTCATAACAGCTTGAGAGGAACAAAGATCTGATGTCCAAGTATGAAGAACAGAGTTTACAGAAAAAAGAGATGACAAGAGAACTAGAGGATCTGAGACACCAGCTACTACAGACACAACAGGCTTTGAACAATGAAATATACAGGAATCCTAAACCATCAACAGCCCAAAGGTTAGTTAATGATCACTTTAATGTCACCACCAAAAAGTGGTGACATATTGCTATGGTCTCCGTTTTTTGTGACAGTGGTTGTCCATAGGTCTTCAAATCCATCATCAATTTTCAGAAAAATGAAAACTGACATTTCTCTAAAATCGTCCTCAAATAAAGGGCTCAACATATTAGGTCTTCTAGAATAATTTGAGTCATTGTTAATATATATTATTTTCAACTTGCAATCTTGTCAAGTTTTCACTCGCATCATTGAAAATGGCTATATACTTTTTTGTTGGGAGGGATGGATCCAGTAAATGTAAGTCTCAAAATTATTTTAGCCATATAATGCATAATTTTTACATATTTTTTAGGTCCAGAGTAAGATTTGATCAAGATGAAGTTCCAGTACATGACACAACACAGCATCCTACAGATCTATATTTTGACACATCACTCAGAAAAACATTAGTTGAGCCGGGACTACTTTTAGAAATGGACCTCGATTCCTACAACTTGGATAATAGTGCGCCACCTTTTGTCCAATCACAGCATGTACTGGATGACTTTGATAGAATTCTGGGACCAATGTAAGTTGAAATATATTTTTATTATTACACTTTTGTCATCTTCTGATGGGCATGCTTCCATCTCGAGGAAGCTGGGTACCACAAAAAAAATCCAGTCATCAAAATTCTAAGAAAACTGCCCATTCAGTTTGAAATTTCTGCAGATGCTAGAGTAGCCTAGTGCCAAGATCTGATTATGTTTTGGGGATGTTGATGGCCATTTTAAATTTTTCAATAAAATGAAAACTTTTGGTATGGCAAAGAAAGGCACTGTTTTGTGACTGGCAATTCTCTCCTCATGTTTGAAGACCATGTTTCAGGCATTGGTATCTGTAACCTGTAACATATTGTCACTATTGTAATAGCAACCAGGTGGTTTATTCTGTCAAATTGATGTTGTTTTTTTGTAGTTTAAATAGTATTTTATTTTGACTGGCACAGAAATTACAAAACTATTTTTACATATCTTTATACTGTATTGTTGTAATGCAGTCCTGAATTCATTGAAATTTAAGGTTATGTACATGTATGTACAATCTAATGATTGTTTTTAGCAATGGCTCAGGGGGTCACTCCAGGCACTTCTCCACCCAAGACCCCCAAGACTCTAATGATGTGTCGAAGGATGTTGTTCAGGAGACACGAGAGAGATTGCAAGACTTAGAAAGAGAGGCAGAGGTAAGAATCTTCTTAACTTCTTGAATCCCATGTTCTAAAATAGGTTGAAACCAGATAATTTTTCATTTTTGCCAGCTTTCGACATTTTACCACATACATATACAACAGACGATGTTCAATTTAGTAAAATTAGACGACAAAGATCATTTCTAGACATTTTAAAACAATTTTTGTGCAAATTGGATAAAAATTGTTCCAATAAGAGCAATTTTAAGTGAAAAATTTTGTGACGGATTATCCCATCAGTCTGGGTTTCAGGGTCATTTCTGAGGTGACGAGAAATCTCGTCTCTCTGGGTAGTCAAGAGGTTAATTTCTTGAATGCCCATAGCATTAAGAAACTTATTGCAGTCATTTTAAGTGCATATAAATTGCTCTAACGTTATCAATATTTATCAATTTAAAAGTTATGTGTAATGGGTAATGGCCTATGGGTATAGTACGAATTGCTTACCATATTGTAAATCTCAAATTGTGATTTTACAGGTACTAGAATGGCAAAAGAAAAAACTGACCCTCATATCCAAAAGGTTAACGGCCTTGAATCTAGGTTCAATTAGTTGCTAACGTAAACAATGCTCATAATATCAATTCAACAAAACAAACCAAACAAAAAAACTGCCCTCTGTGCATTGCAAAGTATTTGTATTCTATTAAACCTGATAAAGTTGTTTTCTAATGTTGACATTGATATTATTTTCTAGAACCTAGAAGCGAATTACCGGAGATTTCAGACACGCATAATTGATGCAGATGGACTTGATGCCCAAGCTCAGTATGCAAGCAAGAACAGAGACACCTTTAGGTCCATTATGGCAACACATACACCTGTTTCAAGTATGTTACATTGCAAAATACATTGCATCTAAAATACAGAATAAATAAAAACACTACTTCATTTTGAATACTGTATGTGACATTCTGATTTTTTCTCTCCTTGTGAGTCTCTCCCTGTGAGTCTCTCTTTGTGAGTCTCTCACTTGTGAGTCTTTCCTTGTGAGTCTCTCACTTGTGAGTCTCTCCTTGTGAGTCTCACTTGTGAGTCTCTCTGTGTGAGGCTCTCGCTTGTGAGTCTTTCCTTGTGAGTCTCACTTGTGAGTCTCTCTTTGTGAGGCTCTCGCTTGTGAGTCTTTCCTTGTGAGTCTCTCATTTGTGAGTCTAGTGAGTCTCTCACTTTTGAGTCTTTCGTTGTGAATCTCTCTTTGTGAGTCCATTTTCCATAATCAGTGCATTTTAGGGGAATATTATAATTGCCTTGGAATATTATTGGTTCATTATGCAATTTGTAAATGTGAACTATTTTTTCTTACATTGAATGAAAGTACATAATTGTACAGTAATTGGCTACATTACAATATTCTCTTTTCTCATAATCTTCATATTTCAATTTTAATTCACTATCACTGTGCCAAAGTCAACATTTCAATGTCCCCAACTTGTAGTATGCACTTCAGTAATATTTTTTCAGGTCCTCCTCGCCAGACACTGACCCAGCATTCTCCAATTAGATCTACATATCACTCTCCAAGCAGAACTCCTTGGGCAAGTGCAGGAAGACCTTTGTCTTCTACACCATATAAAGAACGAAGAAAGATAGGTATTCTAAATTTAATGTTATCTACTTATAGCTTTTACCATAGCAACTATTCTGCATACATCTTTTTACCTGAATGAATGAAACTGAATAGTGAATACAATTACTGTATGATGAGCTATGTTTCTAACATTAGTTTTCTATAACACCAGCATCTAATACAGGGATCGCTAGGACAGTTTTCACAGGTGGGTGGAAAATTCTCAATTTCACAATTAAGATCAAAATTGGTCAATTTTTCATGATTTTTCTCATTCTCAAGTGAGTGCAAATGGATTTTTAGGTGGGTGCAAGCTTTTTTTCAAAATCTCAGGTGGGTGCTGGGCCCACTTGCTTTAATGCTGGGGAGAACACTGTAATAGTTATGTTTTTTATGTCACCACCAGAAGTTGTGACATATTGTGGCCGGTGTTAGGTTCTGTAAACAGGATTCATCAGTCAGCATCTGACAAATGGTAGGTGGTGACTTTTGTAAAGGTAGACATGTTATGACATTTTGTCATGTTAATGCCTTGTTAATATCTTGTCACTTTATTTTAGATGTTGAGTTACATAGTCCACCAACATTGGACCCTCAGCTGGAAACACATGCTACAAACCTGCCATCTTTTGGCCTGTCCGCACTCACCAATGTATCCTCGCCTGAAAATAGGGACATTAGGGAAAGGCCACAATTTGGTGATTTCCCAAAAGATAGAAAACAATCTGATGATGGACAGAGGACCGAATCAGATGATTTCACCAAGCAGTGGGAACAACCTGATTTTAGAGGAGGGGAGGATAAACAGCCTGGTGATATAGCACTGAGTGACTTAGATGCAAGGCCAGGTTCTCCCAGTGTGATGGTAGTCCATGTAGCCGGTAGTCAACATTCAGGTCTGTGAAAATTCCATTTTTGCTTGATATAAATTGGTTATGGCATGATCAAGATGTTAACATGCTCAATTCTTCATACAAACCAGGAAAACTGATTTGAAAAAAAAGATTTGAGTTTATTTATGAAGCAACTCACCTCTACATGAATATGTGAATTTTGGTGAGGCAGTTGCCTCGCCTGCCTCAGAGTTAGCTACACCAATTATTGGACTTTTGTTGAGACTAAACATTGCTCAATTCTTTACATGTCATCAGCCTTTGTACATTGCACAAGCTTTGGGATAAAGACCACGTGGCACATTAGTCTATAACAGAGTTCTGTGAGACTTGATGACCAGTTGTACCAGGAATCTCATATATTATTCCTTATATTTCAGATGAACTCGATAATCAAGCTGTTAAAGGGGAAGGAGATAGAAGAAGTGGTATTCTTGGTGATCACCAGCCCATCAATCTACAGGGTATTTATAGTATATTTTATCATGATTATCAACTACAGGTAATAAGTTTGCTCATCATTCCCACTGAATATCAAACAGCATTTAATACAGTGCTGTTTAAGCAACACTCATAACAGTATGGTTTACATCTCCAAAACAGTACTGTAAGGCACTGTCGTAACATACCGTATGTACAGCCCATGATTTTTTGCTCAATCTTTTCATGATATTGTCTTACAACCTACAAAATAATTCAGGCGTATATGATATTTTAGGTGAACCTGCAGAGCCAGATGATAAACAAGGACAAGCTTCAAAGAAATCTGATGAATTTTTTGATTCCATCGAACAAAACAAACAAAAAGAACAAGAGGAAAAACGTAGACAGGTAAGATGTCTCTGCTATTGGTACAACTACATATAAGGATTGTTCAATAAATACTGATAAAAATGCTCTGTTTTCATGTTGATAAAGGGATTGAGTTGAAATTTTGGAAATTTTTTATTCAAGTTAAGACAATATCAATGATTGCTGTATAAACGTGAAAATGGGAGCATCTGTATTTATTGAGCGACCCTCGTATAAGTTAAATAATAAAGGGAAAAATGGAATGTGTAATTGGGATCCTGTCTTCTGTTTGATTCTTGTGATTAAGGAAAATTCAGGACACAAAAAACTTGTATTCGCGAATGCAACTTTCGGCTACTGGATTAATCTACTTTTTATAGCAGACTCATTAAAATATGATTGCAAAAGTGGCATGTACTATACTATACAGTGGCATGCACTTTTTAAATGAGTTGGTCATGAAATAGTAGGTTAATCCGGTGGCCGGAAGTCGTTGTTTGCATCCATGAATACAAGGTTAGTGAAAAGAGAGAAATGTGTTTAATTGAATGTAACTGGCAGTCCATATTTTTTAATATATCTACAACAATTTAGGTTCAAGTACAGGATGACTCAAAAATGCAAACATATATTGAAACAAATTTTGATAAAATAATCTTGAATTGACTTGTAGATTTATCTCCAAAGGAACAAACAGTAAGATTTAGAGAAATAAAGGAAGTTATTCCAAAATTAGAGGGTTGCATTATTTTGGGGTCACCCTGTACACATACAATGTAAAGGTCAAAATAACATGCATTTATTTTTAATTAAGGAAGAGGAGGATCGGAGATGGGAGGAAGAGAGGAGACAGCGCCAGGAAGAGAGGAGAAAAAGAGATGAGGAGGAAAGACTTAGACAAGAGAGGGAGCTTGCTGAGTTGCAGAAAAAAGAGGTATAAATTGTTCATCTGCTTTTTTTATTAAGATATATTTGTTGCTTCATAAAAAGATCATAATATAAATCCCTTCAGTCATCTGATACACTTAATTTGGCTCCCGTTTTAATTTGACAGATTGGCAGATTCAGAAAATCCACCAAATTAAACATCCGTCAAATTTCAGTTTGGATTTTTTGTCCAATGCACTTCAGAAATTAATCTCCAGGGGCCCCTTTTCCCGTCAACATGTCATTAATTCTACATTATGCCAAAAGAAATACAGAAAATATCTTAGTAAACACCTGTCCTAATGACATAAACATCTACCAAAATTAAACTTCAGTCCTGAATCCGCCAAATTAAATAGCCTCCAATATTTGAAATTGAGCAAATCCGTCAAATTAAGTAGCGTCAAAATAAGTATTCTACAGTAAATTGTTCATCTGCTTAATTTGAAGATTTCACAAGAGAAAGAGCAGATTGATGCTAAAATCTGGTTAGGTTTTCGGCATGCTGGGTAATTAATAAGGTAGCCATTTTGAATCCCAAGGCCAAAACTAAGAGGAGGAAATAACCCAGATTTCAAAGATGAACTTATCTTCATGTAAATACACATCTTTACATGAAGAAATTTCTTTTTGATTTCTGGGTAATCTACTCCTCTGCAATACTCTATGTCTTGTTTACCAGGAGTCTAAAGAAACAGTACCAGTAACAACAACAGAGAACAAAGTTGAACAAGAGAAAGATGGAAAAGATATTAAGAAAGATGAAGAAGCTGTGGGGATGGAGGAGTCAGGTATTGATCCAGTTATGCAGAAATACATGCAGATGGTCCAGCAACAGAAAACGCAGGAGAAAAAGGTTGGTATGCATTTTTTCTTATGAATTTGATTACAATTCCCTTTCTTCTTGATTGCATATTAGTACACTGTTTTAACGTTTGCTGCAGGTTGCCACCAAAGCAGTTGGCTTATGGAAACAAAATAGCAAGGAGAGAATGAGCCCTCCTACATCTGATCATGATATCTCACTTGTGAGTGAGCCCAAGAGGTATGCATCACTACCATTAATTGTCCTTTTCAGAGTGTTGTAATTATTACTAGCCCCTGACCCCCAGGGTAGCACCATACTAATTTTTTAATTATGAATCTTGAATGTAGCACACAGCTAGGTGAAGTGGAAGGAGTTGCATCTTAAGACTGGGTTTTACTGTGGGGTCTGTTTCCAAACTGTAAATTGTATCATGATAGTGTAATACATACAACAAAGATACTGCATCCTCCTAAGCAGGTGTCCAGAATCCATACCTCCTTCCCCCCTGCTATAACCAATTTGGAAGCACCCGATTAAACTATATCACGTGATCTTATTATGCGCAATGACTTATACATGATCTCTGTCGCAGTGTTGCAACAGCCAATCAGATTGCGAGTTCTTAATCGGGGAAATGCTAACTGCTTATCGCAGGGGGGTAAAAACAAAGAATATATTCTGGATTTTGAAGCCCTTTGATTGGAGGTTAAGATACAGTGATTGACTGTTTCTTACAATGATTGACTGTTTATGGTCTCTTTGTGGCGTCCTTGCAGAGCATGGATTCAAAATGTCACATGTATAATTGCTTCTGTTCTGAATTAAAAAATGGATTTTATTTTAGATGTCCATTTTATTTGTCACATTTAGTTAACTTATGAATATCATTTGGTTGTTTTGTATATTGCAGTATTGGAGGTGGTTCTGATGATGACTTTGAATGGTAACTATGACAATGGTAACCATGGCAATGGTAACCATAGTTAGTAGTGAGATACCATACAAACAATGTGCCAAACAGATGCTACCTCTAGGCTTCAGATGATGACATTGATGGGAATTATTCAGCATCAGTTGAAAAATTGGACCTTAGAAAGACTTACTTGTGAATTTTCGAAACTCAAGTCAGACAATTAAAGCCATGAGTGGAGCAATACTAGCAAGGCTGCCTCTTCAAAATTCAATTTTTCAGACATTTTTTAATTAACACCGTGAAAATGACATAATATTATGATGGCATTATTTCCCCTTTCATACAAATTAGCCTCACCAATTTAAATTTGCCTCACCACTTTTTCATTTTTGGAAACAACAGCTAGAAAAAAGTCTAAATCATTCAAAGGACTGTTATTGTCATTGGGATCTGGGACACAACGGGGTAAAATTGCTTCATTATGAATTTTTGGACATTTCACAGATACAAAATCCTCAATAACAACAGTTTTATGTCAAAATACTTCAGTTTAACCCAGCTTTGGTAGATGGACCATTTTTTCCTTGCTGGCTTCATCTGAGAAAGAATGGAATATTGCTACAGATGAAAAAATAAACTGTAAATAACATTGTCATAGACTTATATAGATTTTAAAGTTTTAGGCTCTACATATCAACACAATAAAAAGATAAACTGTTCTTATCTATGTAGTTTTGGGCTTCTGCATATACATATATTTTGTATTATCGTCTGATCTGTAAAATGAAGCCTTCTGATTGGTCAGTTCTTGTAATATTGTGCTGTACCAATCTCTATTGCTACTGAGATTGTCCCCATTGATCCTCTCTGTCGCAATACAAAAAATATTGGTATGGAGAAGACATTTTCAGTAGCAATACAGAGAATCACACGATAAAAACGTTATAGAATGATTTGAAGGGCAATACAGGATATCTTCTGCTCTCGATATTCTGTATTGGAACTCGACTTTGTCTTGTTCCAATACAGAATTTCTTGAGCAGAATATATCCTGTATTGCTTTTCAAATCATTCAATAAGTTATAATATAGTAATGCTGTTTAATGTTATAATAGTCTCATACAATGTATAAATGTAGAAGATCTTTCCAAAATGAATTTATTGTTAAATTATTACGTAAAATACATTCAATGTAAAACAATATTGTTTATATCGTTTTGTGTGCATCTTTCCCATGAGTAAAGGGAGATATGTACTTTTGGAACTTTTGCAGTGCTCATTGGAGTCGCACGTTATTTAAAGGATTAGATAACTCATTCCATATATAGTCTACATCTTTCACCTAAAGCCTGTAATCCTACCAACATAGTTTAAAGGGGATATAAGAAAGCTCTCCATCCACCCAACCGTTTGTGCATATGTCCCGGGGTTAACTCAAATATCGGTCAAATAGTTTTACGCAAAAACATAGCACATGGTATGGCTCACAGCTCTTTGCATATAGTGTCTGTTCTAAACAAATGTCTTTATGCCAATGTCCTGTTATGATGACCTTGATCACTGCAATATACTCAGAAGGTCTACCATTTTGTGAGAGCTGAAAATATAAGAACAATACCTTTTTAGCATCGATACACTAAACTCTATCATTATAGTACAAAATTATGAATTCAAAGATTGCAACGTTTCTAATATGTGTACTCGTAGTGTCTTTGGAATAATGTAACTGATAAAAACAATAACTCCATGTGCTCTCTGAATAGTTTGCCAATGTATCTGTTATGATATTATATCCCCGGGGTTTATGTACACTAAAAGTATTTCGTTCAGTATCTTCATCCGGGTACTTACAATAAATATGTCTACCTAACTTCTGCTTGTCTGTCATTTAATGGACCATAATATATCATAACAGTATCCTCTAACTTGTGTCCAAGAAAATTTCAATTCTGTATACACTCATTGATCCTAGGTCAATGTTTACATTGAATGGTTTTTTGATGATCAAACTTTTTAGAAAACTTTTTAATCAACTCACGATGCAATCTGTTTTCCACCTTTCTCAGTCACTATCTTCTTTCCCGAAGAGCTCCACTTAACAATCTGTGTTAGCATTGATTCATACGCCATCTTTGTTTCCTCATCCATAGAGAATAGCTTATCATCACTAAGCAACTTGAGCACGCATGGTATCCATCCACTACGTAATATAGTCCCTTGTAGTACTGGGAAGCTAGGAATACTTGCGCATAGCACTGAAACATAGAAAAAATTCCATGAGTCATTACTACACCTTGGATGCACATGCTATATTTTTCTGTTCTATACTATTATATTTTATGTGGTGTGTCATTCAGGTAGATTTTCTCAAAACCAATCATAAGTGTTCAAATATTTGTTTCATCAGCAGCTGTCAATCAAAATGTTATAAGTGATGGTATATCTAGCTTATAAAATCATGATGACGATAAGTCATGAACATGCGTTGTAAAGCCTTTGGAACCTCTAAACAAGGCAAATTCCTGGATGAGATCATACCAGATTAGAATTTAGGATCTAAAAAGGATACAATGCGTTTCACTTCCGAAGTACTTCACCTTGAGTTCATAGAATAGCATATCACCGAGCATTATAATCAAAGGAACAGTGATAAATCTTGAATGCACACCAGATTAGAGATTTTATGATCTTAAATAGGATGCAATTTGTTTCACTTCATAAGTACTTCACCTTGAGTTATTAGAATAGCATATCACAGGGCATTATAATTTAAGTAAATAGCCTAGTTAAGAAATTTGGTAAATCAAAACTTCAAACCATAATTACATTGTATTTCAGAAAAATGTCCATCTGATGTTTTTTATGAGACATATCAAGGTAATTAAAATCTTTGGTAGCTTTTAAGTTAAGACGATAATTCCATTGTGTTCTAAGAAAATGTCAATCCGATGTCGTTTTTTCATGAACCAATGTTTAGATTATTCTCTTTCATTTAAATGGTGTTCACTCAGTTGTCAGAAGAGAATGAAGGCTAATCAAGATCTTAAGTAACTTAAAACCAATAACTTTGTATTTTTACATTCAATTTACAGCCATGCAAGAAAATGTCAATCTCTTTTTACCAACAACAAATGAATCATATATGAATGTCCTAAAAGTTGAACTTCGATGTTAATTGGGACTTAATATAAAATCATTACCTTGCATTCCTAGATGCCAGAGCTCTGCTAAATCTGACCAGGATTCTCTGTAAGGCTCAGATAACACTATAACGCAGCCTCGTTTTGATTTCTCCATCACATGGGCGCGGCTGAGAAAGTGAACAGCGGCAGTGAAGAATTTGGATTGTTTTGATTGGTCAATTTCTGAAAAAGTACCAAGTTACATCTTTAGTCAACATTTCAAAACTCATCATTTAAATACAGTTTTTTATGGTTTATGTCAAATATTTAACCTTGGATTTATCGACATAATCCAATGCATATACTTTGAAATATGACAAAGCAGGGAACAAACTTAGAAATAGAGTACTTGCTAGGAATTAACAAAAACTAGATCATTTTTAGAAATAAATTTTCAAGTCCTCAAACAGGAAGTCCCGGATAAACTTTCATGGTATTTAGATTTATTAAGTTTTCGACCCGACATCAAACTTTTGATGCCTCCACTTATTAGCTCATTACGGGTTGTCATCCCAAACTAAATACTGTAGATTGGGTTAATTTGGCGCCCGCTTTAATTTGGCGAATTTGGCGAAATTGAAAAATTCGCCAATATAAATCTTCGCCAAAATTTAGAATGAGTCCCCGGGAATCATCGTATTAAGGTCACTTCCAGTTTATTTTTTCAAAAAAGATGAAAAAATGTCTCTCATAAATTGGCTCAGAACTGGTCAGTCACTCATTAATACTCAGGGAAAACTAGAAAGGAAAAGCACGGTATAGTAGCAGCATCGATTGAGGTGCAAAATGTAAAGGTGCTCTCACAAAAATGTACAAACGTGGTGAATATCGCCAGTGGTCCTCAAAAGAAAAAATGAACATAGCCAAACATTCCCATTTACATGGTAATTCGCAAACACCGCGTAGGTTTAACATCTTTTGCATATCCGCCAAATTAAATAGCCGCCAATATGCCAAAAATGGCAAAATCGCCAAATTAAGTAGCGCCAAATTAACCCAATCTACAGTAACTAAATTCAAGTCTCAAGTTAAATAGTGTGGAAACTATTGACCACTCCGTGACTATTCCAAATTACAAATGTGTTAAAAGTGTACCTTGACTACGTGATGAAGTTGTCTGATGCCTCAGTAGCATGAGCCCCAATACTGTCAGATTCCCACTGAACACCAACAGTGGCTCGATGTTCACTAGAAAGAAATCAAAACAAATATTCAATGTTATTTATTTATTGTTTATCTGTCATTTACTTATTTATTTTCTATTATTTTTATTACATTGTCACAACCTTTGGATGCAATGAAATTATTTTTATTTCATCTGATTTCTAAGGATCTATATTTCAAGACTGGTTTGAAGATAATCTTACCTAGGCTTGGCATGTTCTTCATGATGAAATGCAGCAGTTCTTTAAAGGTGGTATCCTTGGTAACCATCCCTGACTCAAGTACAGTCAAATTGAGGTATATGCCACAAGCTGTTGTCATGGTAACTAAACTTTCCTCAGCACTGGTTTCCATAGTAACAGTCAAATCTTTGTGTTCCTGCGTGAATGATTCCCATTGGAATTGAAAATATTCCCATAGCAACTCATGAAAATTATTCTCAAGGAGCAGTCCTCGACTTTTATCCTCCACAGATAAATGGCAAAATCCAGGGAGTAAAAATAGGAGGATAATTGTCCCTTGATCCATCTGTGTATTGAATGCTTCCTTTTTTACTTCTCCAAAAGTGACTTTTTTACTTGCATTCTTAGAGTCAGTTTTTTCAATTGATTTTCCGGTTGAATCACTAGATGTGTGATCTGCTGTTCCATTATGATCTTTCCCCGTTTTTTTGGTTTCTGTATCGGTGGAAGATTCATTTGATTGTCCAGCCATGTTGTCGTTCACATTTGAGGGAGATTTGCTGGGTGTTGCTTCACCCATATTATTCAATGGATCGTCAATAGCCAGTTTATTTAATGACAAATCAGCATTTTCTGTCTTCTTCATAGCTTTATAGAACTGCTCTTTACTGGAATGTAACAGGAAAACATTGAAAGGGATGGTATTCAAATCATAATGTCAAAATTTGTTGATAAAGGGTTTCTATTATTTAGGGGGAACTGTAATATGATGACCTCATACAGTAGCTGAAGTGAAAAATGTTGATTTCTGATGAATAAAAGTGAAGGCAAATCAAATTCTCAAATTTCATTATTCTGGGATGTGAGAGGTGAAATGTCATTGAAATTAATTTTTCAACTCTTTATACGAAATGTATGAAGATGATCAACTTTAATGCTTCATTTGTGTAAGTTTTAGTTAAGAATAATTCAATTAAGGACAAAGATTTCAACAATGACTAAGGTGATGCAAGAACTGGCATTAATTATTTTGCTTATTCAGGCTTGTTCAGATTTAGTCCTAAGCCTAACTTGTATTCAAAATGTACTATGATATAACTTAGCTTGCAAATAATACAAAAAATCTTGCTCATTCAAGTACATGTATTGTTATACATGTAAACATCCACTACCTTGCCCGTATAAGGAATGGTATAAGTTTGTTGATTTCTTTATTTAGCGCCAATGTTTCCTCAGCCATCCATGATCCAAGTACCCTTATGGAGGCATATGTCACTGGATGGCAATTCTGAAATAATACAAATTGTAATGTTTTTTTTTTTTTTTTTTTTTTATCCATCTATACTTCACATTTACATATTCTTTACACATCTCGGCTTGACATCCTCTTGGATGTATATAGCCTTTTTTTTATATAAATATTCAAATAGATAGCTGTCCCATATAAAACAAGGCATTAACATGCGAAATGTCATCATCTGTCATTTGTTATAAATATCAAACACCAACCGCTGAATGGCGAACACCAAACACAATCAACAAAAAAGTTGGAGACTATAACAATTTAATATAATATATCCCCATTCTGGTGATGACATTGGTGACATAGCAATAATAAAGATGTAATTATTATTCATTTTTATTTATTTACTTATTTATTTGGGTCTATCTACTAATAAAACATCTACTATTGTCCACTACTATAAGATGTGGGATATAAAAACACTATGGAACATACAAAGTATACGACACATACCTTCTTTCCCGAATCGTCACTTGCGACATCCATTAGGAAACATGTGACAGCATTAAAGGCCCCTAACATAGCAGAATGTAACTGCATAAGTGTCTTCTCTTCCAGCAACATGGTGGGTCCTGTAGTCATATAGCCAATAATCCTCTCAAGAAGACTATAGCAGCCTGATAGAAGTGGAGAATGTTCTAGAATCTGAAATGGGATACATTTCAGCATTAAAGGCCCATAAGGCCCCTAACATTACAGAATGTAATGTCTTCTCTTCCAGCAACATGGTGGGTCTTGTAGTCATATAGCCAATAATCCTCTCAAGGAGACTATAGCAGCCTGATAGAAGTGGAGATTGTTCTAGAATCTGAAATGGGATATTTAAGTTCAGCATTAAAGGCCCCTTACATTACAGAATGTAATGTCTTCTCTTCCAGTAACATGGTTGGTCCTGTAGTCATATAGCCAATAATCCTCTCAAGAAGACTAAAGCAGCCAGATAGAAGTGGAGAATGTTCTAGAATCTGAAATGGGATATAGTTCAGCATTAAAGGCCCATAACATTACAGAATGTAATGTCTTCTCTTCCAGCAACATGAAGGGTCCTGTAGTCATGTAGCCAATAATCCTCTCAAGGAGACTATAGCAGCCAGACAGAAGTGGAGAATGTTCTAGAATCTAAAAATGGAATAAGTAAAATAAAGGGGACCATGGAATTAAAAATTGATTATATCTAGAATTTGAAAAGTAAAATGCAAGTCTCATTTTTGTTGGCTATCCAATTAACAGGTTTTCTCTTACTGTATTACATTTCTGTCATGTTTCACTTGAAGAAGAGGGGGAATATCGCTGGGTTCAGAGAAGACCCTCATCTTCAATGGAAGGTTATACTGTATAGGGATGACCCATCGTCACTGATTGGTTGTTTGACAGGAAGTTGCGTAAACAAATTTCAAAATTCAAAATTTTTCAAAAATGCTTTGAATAATATAATGTTAATTTCTGGCATGTTTACCAATATTATAGCTGTTATCTTAAAGATAAAGAAAAATGGTGGAAATTCAGACACATGAAGCTGGTAAGCAAGAAAGGTAATTATGGGCCATTTTTAAGCTTTAGTGTTTTCCCTCCTCTTACTTGTAAGGCTCAGATGGGAGCATACTTGACTTCCAATACTTGACAAGATATGTAATAAGGCTTAGATGGGAGCATACCTTTGTCCAGTCTTCATTCTCAAGAAGCATCCTGACCTCAATACACACTAGGTGAACTACCATCAGCAAGAACTTTGGGGATGGAAGTTCATTCTGATCAGTGTCTTGAAAATCGAACGCCCACTCAACACCAAGATTATCCACCAATAGAGATGCTAGCTGAATGGCTGGGCTTCTCATACCTTGTGCTGAAATTAAATGAATGTACATTGACTTCAAATGTCAGACTTCTATTCAATATTTGTCAAAAGTTTAAAATCAGAAAAAATCCGTAAAAATTCATGTTTTTAGAGCCTAATCTTATTTCTGGTAAAAATGAGCTGCTTCATAAGTTCAATATCTTATAGATACGAAATGTGGTGAAATATGTAAAGAACCCAAAAAATCCAAACACAACATAGGGTGTGTGATGACTAAATGATCGCCCATTGATTGTTCTGATAAATGATCAGAACACAGTACTTCATACTTGCCACACATTAAACAGCCCTGACTTTTTTCTAAAGAGAAATGTAAAAAATATACTCCTCAAAAAAAGTTAAGGACCTCATAGGTTTACATGTTAACCCCCATATTTGTTTGAACGACTGTTTTCTAAGCGGGGAACAAAAGAAATCCCAATAAAGTAAATAAATCTGTATCTTGATTCTATTCCCTATAAAGTCCGCAACGTTTTAATGTTATATCTCCATTACATTCTGTCAAAATTTGATGTCAAAATTGATGAATTTCATGAAATGTAACAAAAATGGCAGATCCCATGTTAAACAAATGGGGAATGGTGGCTTAGGGGCAACTCAGATTCAGAATATCTATTCAGCAATACATTTATTAAAAATACTTTTTAAGTAGAAAATTGAATGATTTTACATTTTACATGCTAAATGTCCCGCTTATGTTGTTAAAATTAGCGATACGGAGCGTTAAAGTAATTTTGACCACCTCACTGAACCACCTGTGTTATTTCAATAAGAGGTTCATTAAAAAATTATTGAATTTGAAATCATTAACTTTTGTAAAGCCTGGACAATTAAATCATATTTTTCCTGAGTGGACAATTTAGCAAATTTAATTATCTCTTACAATTTACATTTTGAGAGCAATCGGATGGATGGATCGTTCCTCATATGACTTATGGCAACCCAACCATTCCATCAAATTTTGACCCAATGTAATGGAGATATAACATTGAAACGTTGCTGACTTTATAGTGACTAGAATCAAGATACAGCTTTATTTTCTTTATTGGGATTTCTTTTGTTCCCCGCTTAGAAAACAGTCGTTAAACAAATATGGGGGTTAACATGTTAACCTATGAGATCCTTAACTTTTTTTGAGGAGTATATTTCAAAACAAGGCATTAACATGACAAAATGTCACCACCTAGTTACTCTCAATATTGTTACAGATGCCGATCGCCAAACACCGATCACCAACTGCTGTTCACCAACCAGTCACAAAAACACGGAGACCATAACAATATGTTAACACTTTTTGGCGGTGACATTGGAAGATTTTATCAATATAAATCAAAACTGATGATTGATAAAACACTTACTGATTTTACTGCCTAAAATGTCTTTCAATGATTTTCTCATAGTAATGCTCCAGGATGGGAAAGTTAGTTTGTTCATATCTGTTTTATTTACATCTGCCTTGTTCATATCAACTGTTGACTTGTCAATGGATACCACAATTGTACATAGTGTGGAACACAGTTCAAACTTGCTAGAATCCTGAAAAATTTAAAGCCATTTAAGGTCGTTTTACATCCGGAAGAGTAGAGATTAATTTACAATTGATATGTATATAATTTCACATTTGTGATGATCCTAATAGCTCAAGGCCACTTAAGGTAGTTATAAACCTCCAGAGGAAATCATAGTTTCTAATAAAGTGTATATAAAATGAACAATAGTTTCATTAAATAAGTATTGTTTCATAATCAAGCAAAAGGTTGGTGTAAATGTCTGTATTTTACTTTAATATGGACATAATTGAATCACCCATGTTGATGAATGGGAAAGTAGCAATTAAGAGGATTATCTCCAAACCTGAACTCACCTTAGCATTATCAAATTGTGTTGCTAAGTGATCCAACAAGGAATTGAGCCCCTCCTTATTCCCTCGCCAGGTCCCAGCTTTATTGTAATGTAGCATTGCCAATAAGATGGCAAATGATCTCTCACAGCCTGGAAAAGTAAACTTGTGAAACAAAGTGATTGTGTGTGTAGGAGACTATAACAACATGCCATCACATGTGGACATACGTCATTCCAATTATGTCTTACCTAAGAGACAAATTATGACTTTTGATTGGAATCAAAACGATCGATAGAGAGTATTGACATTTTAAATATTATTTTATATCGTTTCGGGAGTTTGATTGTCATTATGTTTTCCAATGTTGTTGTTCATTTTATTTCATTTTATTTCACTGATGTAAATTTTAAAAGATTAACTTCTGACCCAATCAAATCAATTACGAAAAAAGTGCAAACTCACCATATTTCTTTTCAATGAACATGTGACATAGACATGTGACAGTTTTCTGATCAATCAGGTCTTCTCGAGTCTCTGGTATATCAACCATCGCTGCGATAATCTGAAGACAGTCATCTGTAATTGAAACTTTAGAAGGTGTGTCTTCATCGTCCATCTCTGTGGAGCTAAAAAAATGTGAAAAAAATCTCCAGTTTTTATTGAGCTCGTATATAGTTCATGGCCGGTTTGATTGGGAATTTCTTTCATGACTTAGAGTCTGCAGTTGATATGTATTGTTATTAATCCCAGAAGAAGTGAGAAGCTCCCATAATTCTTTCATATTCTATCGTATTCGGGGATTCCCCATTACGTCATCTCCTGCATCATCTCCAATCAAATTGCAGGATGCGATCACATGAACATATCGTGGAAATAGCGTTAACATCAGTTCAATATCACCATTTTAAACCTACAGTAATACTATTGAAGTTACTCAAGCCAAACTTGTAGAGAATACTCATAAAACAACAGCGAACATTGGGAGATTCAGTTCAATGGCAAATGAGGCCTGTTTATAAAATTTGTTTTCGAACGTGCCAAAATGCAAGGTCATCTTTGGGAAATCTCCCCCCCCCTCCCCCTGTATTAATCCTTTATTAAAAGTGTAATCAAACAGTGAAATCTTAAATTAATACAAGAAATGTACATTTAATAAAGTCCAAAATATTTTCCGTACGTGTGCTTATGTAACCTTTTTTACTATGGTTACCCACATTATCCAACATCATACTGAATTCATATGAAAATAGTTGAAAAGTACTTTAAACTTTCAAAATAAAAAATTACCTTGGGGCAATAAGGAGTAAATCGTTGAAGACTTGTAGATTTCTCATCATGTCTGTCGAAGTCAGCTGAAATACACACACAATGATTATTGAATGAACTTTTATTTTTGTTCCAAATAATGTCAAAATTACATTATTATTTGCAGAAAAAATTAGAAAAATCATTCTTGAACAGAGCTTTTACATGCCTGGGTACCAGCACATACAATTTGAAAAAAATCTGTCAACTGGGATATGAGTTATAAAAGATTACATTTAAATTACGATCTTCATTTGCTTGGATAATTAATCCAAATGCTAAGTGTAGAATTATATGAAAGTTCTTATTGGATATCAGCGTTTTAACCTCTTGAATCCCAGGCTTTAAAATTGGTTGAAACCAGAGAATTTTTCATTTTTGCCACCTTTTGACATTTTATAGCATTACCTATACAATTTTAGATGCTCAACTTGGTGAGATTAGACGATGGAGATAATTTCTACACATTTTAAGTTATTCTTTCCAAACAACATTTTTGAAAAAAATCCTATACCTGCACATGTAATTTTCTGGTACAAAATAAAGTACGAAGGCATGTGTGTATTTCCTTGGTTTTTTTCAGGAAAGTATCCTTGCAATGTCTTCTTTTAGTATTTTGTCCCAGAAAATAACATGGGCAGGTATAGCATTTTTTTCAAAAATGTTGTTTGTAAAGAATAACCTTAAAACAATTTTTGTGCAAATGCTATATATGAACAAATTTATAACTCTCTCCTGCACCATGGGTCAACTAATGTTGAAATCATGAATGCTCAATTTATATTCTACTGTATACCTTGCATTTGATGTTCACGAGCAACCTATTTGGCTTATTAGTAATGATTATGTAATTGATTTTATTTGTCTGTTCCTTAATGGTTTATCGGATGACTGTTAGATGTTAATAAGGTACTTATACTCAACGATACAATTAGAAAAACAGAGTATCTTATACATTTCTAGGGGTTCAGTATAGTAGAGTGATCTAATATAATCAACAGCCTACACAGTCTAACTGGACAACTCATTTTTCAATTTCTATTATCCTGAGCGAAAAAAGTAATTAGCCAGCAGAGTTTCAAAACCCTGTGTCCATCAATTCCTTTATTCTCTGCTTAGGTTTCTTATTCGCTTGTCATTTTTTAAACAATTCATTTTTATCTCCTTTGGTTGTTAAGAAAACAACCTAATAATCTTTTGTTACAGAAGGTTTAGATTTAGATTGATGATAAAAGAAGATTAATTTCTTTAGTACTACATCCTAATATGTATTTATTTCAAATTTAGTGCTACATCCTAATATGTACTTATGTATTTAATTCAAATTTCTCATTTGGTTAGCAATATGGCAAGCCAATTACATCCCCCATCCGCAACATCATCTTGCAGCACTGTACAGCACTGCAAACAGTACTGAACAGTGCAGTTAGAGTACTGCACTGTACAGCGATGTACAGTGCTATTCAAGCATCACCTATTTTGAACAGCGTGATACAGAACTTTTTACAGCACTGTGCAGTACTGTTTTTGAAAACAGCGATGTACAGCACTGTTTTAACAGCGTCATCCAGCACTGTTTCATAAACAGCACTGTTTGAGATTGGTAGTGTATCTTTCATTACATTAGGGGCTAGAAGACAACAAATCTATCTTCAGCTCTACACCTTTTCACAAACTTTTTTGGGGTAGAACATAGTATATAATGATTTTAAAAATGTTGTTTTTTATTATCTCTAAGGAGCATTTCAAAAGATTGATGTCGGAAAAATAACTGTATTTGAGCAGTGAGGGGAGGGGAGGGGACAAAGCAATAAAAGTTAGCAATCTGACATCATTCGAAGGAGTGCTACTGCAGGTGCAATAATAGCTTTACAGGCTTCATACGTGCACATTGTCTCAAGGCAGTCTCTGTAGCTTAGCTTTGTGTCAATTATGAAGTCACTTATGTATTCATTTATACATGTAGTAATTTTCTGATATTGATCTTTTGAAATGCTCCCTTATGTATGTTTAAAGATAAATATTGCATATTACCATGACAGTATCAGTAGCATAGCAACCAAGTATCACCATGGCGATTTCTTTGAAAGCAAGCTTACAACATCCTTCAGGTACTGCTTCTAGAAATACAATAGATAAAAAACAATGAATGCAAATAGAAAACAAAGAAATATAATGTCAATGAATATACATAAATTCCAGAGAAATAGAAATGAAAGCAGAAAAATGAATGAAATACAAAGCATGAAAATACAATAAATAGAAATAAATAAATGAAGATCCGATGAACAGTTCAAATATAAGGAATGGAAAAACAATCAATATGAATACTATAAATATAATAATTACAAGAAAATACAATAAAAGGAAATACAATGCATGGGTAAACAATAAATGGAAATACAATAAAGGAAAATGCAACAAATTAAAGTATAATGCTTTCATACTTGGCTAAAGGATACCCTTGCAGCGCTCTCAATTTCCATCAATTAAACATCCCTATAAGTCACACGGAAACACCCTGACAACGGTACAGTCGGATACCGTTGTCACAAATGACGGGTGTAACTGTCGCTTCAACTCTTTCATCACTTGCTTCTCATTTCATGTGACCATATTGTTGCTAATGTGCAATTAAGCTCTTATGAAGGTGTACGATTATGAAATCCTAATTTCGATCAAATGTCGTCACAAATCGCCACAATTACTCAGATGCGAGTTGGTAGTTACCAGTTTCGCCACGAGGTGGCTGATTCCGGGGAAATAACATGGCAGGGTATTACAAAATTCCCTTAAACTTGAATATGCATCAGTTTTAATGGTTCACTTTTCATATTACCCTAATGTATCTGATAGTTATACAAATGAAAATATGTCCAGTAAAAGAAAATATTATCTGTCCACTAAAAGAAAAGATATTTCCATTTTTGTGATTTTACAACATGGGGGCTATGGGGAATCTCCTCGACCTAGAAGTCACATTTTCAAAGAAAATTAAATTTTCAAAGTTGGTAAACTCTTTTTAAAACCATGTTTCTAGATGTAATTTTACATGTAGATTCCAAATATGACATCAGTTTGACTTAATTTTTAATGACGTAGTTAGATTATTTCTACTCAGATCTAGGCTATTACTGTCTCTCATATCATCTATGACAACGGAATCTGAATTTCAAATAATTAACAGGGACAACAGCAGATGGTTAGATGTGGCAATGGTCTATGGTGGATGTATTGCTTTGGAACATAGGGAAATGACAATGTGAACTAGACATGTAACACCGTTGTCTGTATAAATACCAGTGATCTCCCCAGCATTAAAACAATGGGCGCAGTACCCACCTGAGATTTTAAAAACAGGCTTGCACCCACCTGAGATTCCATTTGCACCTACTTGAAATAGAGAAAAATCATGTCTATTGGGCATATTTTGACCAATTTTGGACTTAATTGTGAAAGTGAGAATTTTGCACCCGGGAGAACGCTGATAAATACCATTGTCAAATGTTAGCTTTGTCATTCAGATTTAAGGCACATCTGACCCACATTCACCGTTGTCATTTATACAGTAACCAATTACCATTGTCCCTTGTCATATTTTTATCAGTAAAATTAAAGGCTTCATTTCAATGGTAGAACATATTTAACCATACCATGAGTACAAAAACACTTTAAAATCAAAATATCAAGTGCCATTAATGGGACAGGTTATCATATTTATTATCAATTTTAGATATGAATGTTATCTGAGCAGTCATCAGCTGACATTGTTATAAAAGAGGATCTGGTGTCAGAAATCATGGTTTTACCATAAAGGCCCCATATAAAGTTTAAACCACTTTGACTTAATATATTGTAGTCTTACACATGTAATCTGAAAATGTGATATGCAATTATTTGTTTAAATTTCAAAAGTTGGTTTTGATATACTTTCAAATTTTGTTCGAAAAATTGTGAATTTATTTAAGGAATAAATAATGATAGGCCATTCAATATGGTGAAATTCAGCACGAGTTGGACAGAATGTTGTACAAAGCACGAACCAAAGGTGAGTGCATTTGTACTAACATTCTGTCCAACGAGTGCTGAATTTCACCATATTGAATGGCCTATCATTATTTATTCCGATTCAAACATAAAAATTAGTAAAAGCCGTGTCTGTGGAACGGGCATGAAGGAACAGCTATCCCCGGACAGAGCCCCAGATGTGCAGCTGAGATGTGACGTCACTCAAAACAATGCAAATTGCAGATTTAATAGAGCATGGTCGTGCATCTATGGAGAATTAGAGAACGTTCTATATTGGCTATGCTGCATTCTGATTGGTTGAGAAATTGGAATAGAGCACGGTCATGTTTGAATCGAGATTAAAGGATAGGTATCTATATGGTGAACTGAATTCAACAATGTTTTTCTCCTAAATCAATTATTGAAAACATTCAGTAAAAAAACATGTAATGTTGACTGTTTGACAACAATTTAATGCGAAAATTATTTATACATATTTTCTATAACTGTTTTTGTTAACATTTTTCGTTTTCTAGTGCAATTGTTTTTTTTCCTTTCTACCAATTCTTGAGAATGAAATAAAATGTCTTTCCAAACCTTGTTGGAACAAAATAGCATATACAATATTTTCTTGGACCTCTCAATATTATAGTTATACAAAGGAACACAAACCCCCAAAATAGATAAAAATAAGATAAACCTATTATTTAATTAACAAGATACTTTTTTAAAATCAACCAAATTTTCATTCGTACAATTACAATATTTAGAGGCCTAAAAACGTTGTGTTTATGATGTTTTGTTCCAATGAGTTTCGGATAGATGTTTCTTCTAGAACAATATAGAGAAAAGTATATATTTTCAAATTATATTGCTACCATTCAAAAAATGACTATTAAATTGACGATGTGTAAAGTTTTCAGATTTTTTTGATGACTGGTTTAAGAGAAACATGTGTTCAAAAAGTTCACCATATCAATACCAATCATTTCCCAATTAATATTTTTCCAAAAATCTTCAAAATATCTAAAAATAAAATGTCATGAAAAATAGTAAATGAACGATATGAACTCATTTTCAAACCTTACATGGGGCCTTTAAAGATCTAATAGCAAAGGTTTTGCAAAAATGAATCAATGTAGTATAAAACAAATGTATGTAGAAGAAATAAATATATAATGAAAAAAAATAGATACGTGCTTGTAATATTGGTATTAACTTATGATTAAAAAGTGTCACTATCTCTTTCATTTTTCAAAAAATATAGGCTCACGTGACATGTGACGCGGGGCAGGCAATTTTGATCTATCGTAGACCATATCAGTATCAAATTGCCAATATTTCAACCTCGTCTTGCGAGGCCATTTTGATTTGAAACATCTTGAATTTGGTGTCAAAATAAAGCTGGTCACGCCCACTTTCATAGTTATCAATGAATCATTTACTACGACTACTATATTCATTTAGAAGGCGTGTAAAGTTAACCAATCAGAAAGACAATTGTTCCATATATGGCAGTTCATTAACATATTCAGTGCTTACTACTGCTTTTCGCGTCATGACAACATGAGGGAACGTGAGTAGTAACCAATCAAGATGCCGTATTTTATCACATGAGTTCAGACTGACAAGTACATGCGTACGACATGTAGTCTGAGCTGATCGTGATGTCGAACAATTTCTTCTCGGAATTTGTCCAGAGAAATCAGCGATTCTAAATTAAGGTAGGATCTGCCATTTCTTCCTGTACAAGTTATAACTTATCTCTAATGAATACTAAAGTTTTGGATGAAGATATGAAGCATACGTTTAAATACGAAGCGATTAATTTGACGATCTGATTTTGCAATTTGCAATGGCCAATTTACAGCAAGTCTGCGTGTATTTGACAAGAGATAGCCAAGTCTTGTATCTAAATGCTTGTTAAGCCTTACTCAAAAACAAGATCCATATTTTCTAAAGTTGATAACTTTGCAGAAAACCTGTTTTCATAACCTGATTTCCGCGTCAAAAATTCAAACTGAGTAATAGGAATGGATCGGTGGGATCCTCAGTCTCCTCGGGTCTTCATTCCAGAACTCACATTTTTAGTTGATTCTCCGACCATAACTTGTCTAAAGTATCCATATTTGCTCTCTTACTGGTATACTTGGACACATTTTCCCCAGTCAAATTACACCCTCTCGCCGATTTATAATAGCCATTTCTCAGAACCCGGGAATCAGAATCGCTGATGTTTGCCATATTGAACATGTTGAAATATGTACTGTAATATCTGTATTGCCTGCTACGTGTAAGGGTCACGTGACTAGCGCGATACAGGAAAAATGGGGAATTTCGAAACAACAATTTTTGGGCACTTTTATTGCAAATTTCAGGTATCTATAAGTGTTTGTGGTATAAAATATCATTCCCAGACATAAATGAACATCCAAACTACATATTTTATTAAGTTTTGGAGCCTTTTTTACTCTTAAATCAACATCTTTAATAAAAGTAGAACATGATTTGTATTCCACATTTAAGCAATTTATTCTTGCAATTTATCACTGACCAACACAATATTTATACAATTTTAACTTCATATTTCACCAAAATTTTGACTCTGATATCTCCTAATTTAGTTCATACTCACTTACATTTTGAGTCAGATGTCTTCTAATTATTTACCAATATTTTGAATATGATATCCACCAACAGTTTACTTCACATTCACTAACATTTTGAGTACTACATCAAAGAGCAAAATGATATGCATTATTTTTATTTCATTGATTTTTTTTAAATCGGGTATTAAAGTCTATAAAAATCAAATACACACTTAATCCAATTACAGGTCTCCCAGACTTCCACCAACACAAACTTCAGTTCTGACCTCGCAAACTACGTTCCTTACGCTCGAACCACGATTCGTATTATTACACATAACAAAGTGTTTTTATTTGGAATTCAGAAGAAATACTTTCCCAGTTTTTCATACATACATGTTATGCTTTTTATGATAAGTACCTTCAAGTTCATGTTTTTATATTTTTTCAGTTAGAAAGGTATTGTTAATATATTGTAACAAATACATTCGTAAAGTGAAATTAACTCCCTACAATCCATTTCCACACTATTTTATGACATAAAACATGCAACGCCAATTGCTTTTCAGATAAGCAATTATTTTGCTGTAATCTATAAAACAAAGAAAGTTCACTGTCACAGTACTAAGAATAAGAATAACATGGGGAACACTTATCTTAAAGAAATTAAGTTTTTCTTTCAAAAACTATTTGATACATCAAAATAAAGAATAGTAATGCACTAAACATTGTAAAAAACGATTGCATTTTTGGTGAAAATGGGGTCAACATCTTTGAAAAAGTGTGTTGATGGGTTGATTGCCCGGGGGGTTCACTATATATAAACCTTAACGGGGATCCTCGGCAGGGGCGGATCTGGGAACCAACAAGGGGGGGGGCCCAAACTTCTGGTCTGAGAAAAAAACTTCCGCGCTTGCGCGAAAAAAAATTTTGGGCCCCTAAAACCCAAAAGTGGGCCCAAATTTTGAAATTTTGAGGCCCATTTTCTTCAAAATTTGGCCTTATATTAAAAAATAAGGCCTTAGAGGGCCCATTTATGACCAAAAAGGCCTACTTTTTGGGGCCTTTAGGCCTTTTTTGGCTCAAAATTTTTTTTGGGCACAAATTTTTTTTTCTGGGCCCACCCAAGGGGGGGGGTCCCGGGCCCCTGGGCCCCCCCCCCAGATCCGCCAGTGCTCGGCGCATGTGGGGTACCTTTTTCAACGTTTGGTATGGCAATGGACCCATATTTTAGGATTTGGTATGGGAATGCCCGGCAATTTCTGACTTCTGAGGTATGGCAATGGTCGGACTTTTGCTCTTCTGGTATGATTATGGTCGTTGTAGATACGTTACCTAACATCCGTGGTATGGCATTGGTCCAGTAGTTGCAAATTTGAAGTTGTTTGGATCGTTTCCCGAAGTATCTTCTTTTCCAGGGCCTTCTTCACTTTTGAATTTTATATGATATGGCATTGGTCCTACATTTTGACATTTGGTATGGCATTGGTCCCATAATTGGGCATTTGGTATGGCATTGGTCCTATATTTGGACATTTGGTATGGCATTGGTCCTATATTTGGACATTTGGTATGGCCTTTGGGCGTTATTTTGGTTGGTATGGGAACGTATTGAAATTTGACAGATTGGTATGGGAACATATTGATATTTGAGGCTTCAGCCTAGGACCCCCGTCAAGTTTTATATACAGTGAACCCCCCGGGGTTGATTGCTAGTTAAATATCTCCAATTTTGTTTGACTTTATTATTACTGTATATACTTTTCTTTGAGATAATGAATTGATCTAAAAGATAAACTTGTCTTCACTGTCAGAAAATAGTCACTATCCAAGATATAACCTTCTGAAATTGTTTGCGATAACCTATGTGATCCTTTACTCAATGAGTGTGAAATCAAGTGAGTGAAAATACCTTAATAAAGGCATCTGAGGCCCCAAATGTGTTTAATCTATTGTCCAGTCCTTACATGTGAGACAATCTCGCTGTAGGCAGAGCCCTACATTGCGCTTTCGTTGCTCTAGTCTCAACTGATCTCTGTCGACAGCACAGCGAAGTCAGCTCCTTGTGGAATTTAGACGAGGAAACAGAGTAAAGAAGAAAGTTTATCGCACTATTCAGGTATAGCAGCATGTTCACTATGGCGAAGTGAAGGTTTCTGCTTGCAAGATTTCGGACATCATTAACGTCATACCATAAACCTTTGGACGCTGCAACATAATAGTAGTAATGCGCCATAGGTGCCGTCAAAAGCAAGAACACGACTGTTACAATGAATAATGTAACAGTTGCAGATGTTGGGCCAACAGGTCTTGTAGATCGCACTGCAGATTTATGCTTTAATAAGCACAGCCTAAAGATGATCAATCCATTCAGTAATGCCATGATGATGAATGGCACAAAGGATCCAGCCCACATGTGGATTTGTCTCCAAAGAAGTCGGAAATCTTTATCCTTCGGTTCGCAAAATCTGATCTCTTTGAACGGAGGGTAAAGTAGCTTCTTGATGCTCAGCTGATACGTCCAGAAAAAGTGCCCGTTGAAGATCAACAGAAGAAAAGCGGTTGAGAGCAGACACAGGAAAACGGTTAATCTGGTACAAATTTCCTTCAACCTGAAGGGGAAATAGACAGCGATGACACGTTCCCATGAGAAGCATATGAGAATGTATGTCGACATATGCTGAAAATAGTACAGCATGAAAATGTGGAATTTACAACCAGCCTCGGTGAATGCTCGAAGATCAGTATACACATACTCATTGGAATCATCATTCCAGATTCCAAATCTCCTTAACCACTGTCTGGGTAGTCCGGTATAGAGGACACCTAGGTCGCTGAATGCCAGGCAAATCATATAAATACTTGACGTGGATATGCGCATTTGTTTTCGTGAAAGAACGATGATGACGAGTATATTTCCGACTGTACCAATCAGAAGCAAGACTGGTGAGACATAGAGCCATATATTCTCTGCCAGAATCTGATGAGGCATGTCTTCGAGCTTTGACCCATTAGACATCCTTTAAATTAACTGTTTTAAATTTAGAAAATGTTTGTACTTCAATGTTCAAATTGTCAGTTCATGAGACTGTGTGTATACCTTTCTCAAAAATCAAATCTTTTTGATTATTTCTGCAGTAGTTATTATCTTACAAACTTCACAAATCTTCTTCGGCTATTCAAATGTTCCTACTCCTCATTCTTGTATTAATCATGAGCTCTATGAGTGAAGCTACTTTATATATGCATGCAGAAGATATTTAATAAAGAACAGTATTGTAATGACACCTTTCAGAGGTGTAGCCTTTCACTGTTCAGATGTGTGCGAGCCTATTTTCAAAATATAAGGTGGATGCTACACCCACTTGATTTAATGCTGGGGAGATCACTGTTAAGTATATAGACATATATGTCTTGTAATGAAGAACAGTTATTCAGAAACCTCATAAACACGGTTTATTAAGAAATATTACAAGGAAAGTCTAATAAAAAATATTATGAAGACAGTTTATTAAGAAATGTAATCAGAGACAATATTTTCACACCCTGTTATTAAAATTATGGATAACAACAATGCTTATCAACTCTGCCAAGATACACAAATTGAAAAAGACAAAATAACTAAATAAGTGAAACCAAAAACTTGAGACAAAAGCCTTCTTTAAGACTATTTAACATCTGTAAGAGTAGACCCATTATTTCCAAAAGACCAGAAAGCTCAGAAACTGATGAAGAAGGAATATAAAAATATAAACTTAAATGTAAGGGTGTTTTACAGACAAAATATGCAATAAAAAAATTCCAGAAATGGATGATTATGTGTGGCATTGGTACACAACTTCGTAGACAACACCTTATAAATTGTAATTGACAAATGTTACAAAAGCATAATTTAAGATAATGGTGATGCAAAAGCATAGCACATTTCTTTCAAACATTTTGTCATTAGCACAAACAAGACCATAATTCCTAATTTTTGAAAATGGCCACTTTACTTACTATAAGAAGTGATCTCCCCGACATGAAAACAAGTGGGCGCAGCACCCACCTGAGATTTTGAAAATAGCCCACTTGCTTTAGTCCTGGGAGATCACTGGACTTTTATTTGAGGAACACATGCTATAAAAACAACACAAAATTTAGGAAATCAACTTCAGAGCAGCATAATACTCCCATAGGACAACGCATATGAACTAAGAACAAATTGGGCCAGCTGTATTCCACTCAAACCTACAAATGGATCGAATCAAGAATGAACAGGTGTATTTTCTAGGATTATAGTCAATGCAAAAAGATGCCATATAAAGTACCTGAGCGGAGCAGTCTATTGATAAAGTTAAAGCCAACTGACTGGAATATCTCCCTTCGCTCGTCCTGGGTGACATCACTTGCTTTCAGCACCTTAGCAACCTACAAATACAAACAACAATATAAGTAGTAAACGAACTCCAATGTAACTACATCAGCTTATCTTTCCGTCTGATCAACACTTGCAGTTATACAAGAAATGTAAACGAACTGAAAAAATTTCCCAAAATTTTCCGACTGCCTTGTCATTTCCGGAAGTTATGATACATTATATTACTGAACATGTGTGAAAATGAAATGTTTGTTCGTTCATTTTAAGAGAGCTACATAAAATGTGATCATTTGAGCATCGGTACATAATGCGTTACATCTAATTTCAATTCAATTTACAGTATTTTCTTTTTACATTTTGTCACGTTTCTCTATCCTCGAGAAGGGGTCCAGGTATCTCAATCTCAGGATTCAGGTATCTCAAAAACGGTGTGGTCACCGTATGCTTATTTTGAAACGGCAAGCTAGACAAGACTCCAATGAACACTGGGCACTGTTTCGCTGAGCTAGATCTGTGCCTATGAATATCTTATGAAATGAAACGTTATAATGGTCGTCAATGGGATTTTTACTGCAATCTTGACCCGTATAGGATTTACTCTCGTCCAAGAATCAGTATTCAATGGGCGATAATTGAGGAACCTACCAGCATAAGAGCTGCAAAGCGTTCATTGTCGGTTTTCGCCTCTTTCAAACTTTCCAAACATTTACTCAGCTTTCTCCCCTTCATTGTGAATTGATTTTTTATGTCTATTAGTAATATAATACTTGTTTATCATGAGAAAACATGTTTTCGACAAAAATACGTTCTCTAACTTCAATTTGAAGAGTTCATAGCAGTTCGTTTAGTGCTTTCCGCTTTCCCCGGCAATTTACCAAGCAGCATTTGAGCATGAGCATGCAGCAATTTCCAGCAAATGAAGCCATGCGTTGCGGTAAGAATTTGTGGTATATTTCTAAATCATTAGCTCCTACCAAATTGGTATTTCAACATTCTGATTTATCAGAGTCCCTCTTTACCTAACGTTTTTGAGAGACTCTGATATATCATGAGGCAGAACATGTTCCTAGCCAGTGCATTCTCCAAGTAAATCAGTGTATATGGAGGAATAAATTAGTACCTAAGAATGCACTGTCCTGTTTACCCCTTTGTAAACTTTAATTCAATGAATTCATTATGTGGAAAACTTTTATTTATCTTGATGGTTCTTGTTTTTATATTGAAAATTAATAACTATGATAATGTTGACATACTTATTTTTTCTTATTGTTTTCCAATTTAGAATTTTAAACAATAATTATCATACAAATGTAGACACTTAGATTATTTAGGAGGGCATTGTGTTTGGTCGCACTCATTAGGCTTTGTCTGCTTATGTAATCATGCAACTGCAGGTAATGCCTTCCCATGATACTCATGGTCAATAGAACTCTGTAAATAATTTGATTGGTCCGTACATTTTAGGGTTAAAGGAAACATTTATTACAGTCAGTAACCCACAGTCTGAACTATTCCAAAAGGATAGTAAAGGCTGTGGATCCCACAATGGTATTTCAATAATGAAAGTTGACAAATTGACACGATTGATCCCCAAAAAATCGTTTCTATTTCAAGTTCATTTATTCTTTATTTCTACTCTAGTGACACGGACCTGAAGAAAATTTCGTAAAGTCCGTGTTTCTACATACACTTATCACTTTTACATAGTACTTAGTTTACAACAATAAAACAATTTCTAATATTTACTAATATAAACTGAATAAATAATGATAGGATAAAGTAGGCTATTTCTACTCCTGCATTCATTCATTTTGTTCTATGAGTCGTCTCTATACGCCATCTATTCTTCCAAAAGTATTTTTATAACACCTTTAAGGTGTCACTACGGTAAATCATTGAAAAATATTGAAAAAAATCACAAAATTCAAGTTCTGGTGTACATATCGCCATTTTCGAACGAACTAGCCCATACAATGACTATATGTCTGCGTTCCCCTATACATAACCTTCATCTTGACACTATACTTAACATAGGGTTTGCGTCTCGATTTTTAAATATCACTACGCCAACATAGGGACTCATTTTTAGGTAAAATCCCTACTTCACCGATGAAAATTAACGAGTAAAGTAGTTCCAGTTTACGGGACTATATTCTTGCGATTTTTTCTTAAAATGGCACATTTAGAAAGTACTTGGCCTCAGCTTTACAGACATACCTCAAATGGCCACATTGCATACAGTTAAACCTACTATACACACCATTGAAGTTGGCATGGCTTCGTTTTTAAAGTATTAAAAAACACTGTCCTACCCGGAAGTGCTATTTACAGGAGTGACACCTTAATACCCAAAACGGGAAAATTTGACGATGATATTTTTTTGCTCATTTAGCATTTTTTCAAACAATTGAGTTATTTCATGCTCGAAACAGCTGCATTTCCAAACTTTTAACACGTTTTCTACAAAATCTAGCCATATTTGGGGAAATAGGTGAGGGCTGAGTCTCTAAAAACTGGCCAAAATGACCTAAAATTGGGTCATCAACTTAAGAGACCTCATGCAAAAATTTTAGACGCAAAATCTCCGAGATTATTTCATTTTGTCAATCATTATTGCAATGCCTTTCAAGTATTACACAGAATGAACAGAAGTTGCTAAATGCAAATATTTTGAGTCAAATGTGGTCCCCATGTGCAAAATTTGCCCTTTTTCTCCTAATTACGCCAGTTAGGCCCCAGTGTATTGTGACATCATACTCATACCATTGCTTCAATGTAGCAATTTACAAATTAATCTTGATTACTCTTACTGTGATACACCTGGCGTGTTTAGTAAGCCTGTAAAAATACTAATTTGCAACATTGTAGCAATTTAAATGAGGTATGGAACCTTAAAATCGTGTAATTTATGGAGAAATGACCAGCAATTTTGATAGAATTCCAGTTGATTTTCTCCCATTTATGATCCCTTTGGGCCCCCGTTTGGCCATTCTGATAGGCACAGGATGTTTAAATGTGAATTAAAAGCATTGTGTGGCATAGTCTGAATGTAAATATCGACTCTATTTTGAAATTCTACAACATCCATGCCTTCCATGGTCTCTGCACAAATGGCAGCCAATCTAAGGCGGGGGTATTAAGGTGTCACTACGGTAAATCATTGAAAAATATTGAAAAAAATCACAAAATTCAAGTTCTGGGGTACATATCGCCATTTTCGAACGAACTAGCCCATACAATGACTATATGTCTGCGTTCCCCTATACATAACCTTCATCTTGACACTATACTTAACATAGGGTTTGCGTCTCGATTTTTAAATATCACTACGCCAACATAGGGACTCATTTTTAGGTAAAATCCCTACTTCACCGATGAAAATTAACGAGTAAAGTAGTTCCAGTTTACGGGACTATATTCTTGCGATTTTTTCTTAAAATGGCACATTTAGAAAGTACTTGGCCTCAGCTTTACAGACATACCTCAAATGGCCACATTGCATACACTTAAACCTACTATACACACCATTGAAGTTGGCATGGCTTCGTTTTTAAAGTATTAAAAAACACTGTCCTACCCGGAAGTGCTATTTACAGGAGTGACACCTTAATACCCAAAACGGGAAAATTTGACGATGATATTTTTTTGCTCATTTAGCATTTTTTCAAACAATTGAGTTATTTCATGCTCGAAACAGCTGCATTTCCAAACTTTTAACACGTTTTCTACAAAATCTAGCCATATTTGGGGAAATAGGTGAGGGCTGAGTCTCTAAAAACTGGCCAAAATGACCTAAAATTGGGTCATCAACTTAAGAGACCTCATGCAAAAATTTTAGACGCAAAATCTCCGAGATTATTTCATTTTGTCAATCATTATTGCAATGCCTTTCAAGTATTACACAGAATGAACAGAAGTTGCTAAATGCAAATATTTTGAGTCAAATGTGGTCCCCATGTGCAAAATTTGCCCTTTTTCTCCTAATTACGCCAGTTAGGCCCCAGTGTATTGTGACATCATACTCATACCATTGCTACAATGTAGCAATTTACAAATTAATCTTGATTACTCTTACTGTGATACACCTGGCGTGTTTAGTAAGCCTGTAAAAATACTAATTTGCAACATTGTAGCAATTTAAATGAGGTATGGAACCTTAAAATCGTGTAATTTATGGAGAAATGACCAGCAATTTTGATGGAATTCCAGTTGATTTTCTCCCATTTATGATCCCTTTGGGCCCCCGTTTGGCCATTCTGATAGGCACAGGATGTTTAAATGTGAATTAAAAGCATTGTGTGGCATAGTCTGAATGTAAATATCGACTCTATTTTGAAATTCTACAACATCCATGCCTTCCATGGTCTCTGCGCAAATGGCAGCCAATCTAAGGCGGGGGTATTAAGGTGTCACTACGGTAAATCATTGAAAAATATTGAAAAAAATCACAAAATTCAAGTTCTGGGGTACATATCGCCATTTTCGAACGAACTAGCCCATACAATGACTATATGTCTGCGTTCCCCTATACATAACAGTAGTGGGAGAAAGGAGAGACCTAGACCACCTTTCCTCGGGGCCCATGGGGGCAGCAGGACAACGCCCCCATGTGCACGAAATCCCCGGGGTTTTTCTCCATTAATAAAACAGATTAAGTTTGGGTTCGTCCAGGGCTCGAGACTCAGGCCGCCAGAACTTGAGTCTAACGCTCTACCGCTGAGCTACCGCCGCATTGGTAATAGGAACAGTAATTTTATATGACTAATAGTTCACATCATTTAAACATGAGTAATATATTAACTTTCTACAACCCTCAATCTAATATGGATGTTCACTGCTATTTCATATTTTCTTTTTTTTTCTTTTCTTTGATGATCTGATTTATATTAATCATGAAACAAACAAAACATTTTTTTTTATAAATAAACACACAAATAGGATATATATTTATTTACATTATGATTCATATAAAAGCAAACAAATTAGTGCAATACAATACACAATATTTACAATGAGGAAATCTCAGATTCCTTAACCCATGAATCAAACTTTTTGGGCCAATATTGCCAATGCACTAAATACTCTTTTTGACCTCGTCTGATTCGTGTTTTAAGTATCTTTTCCACCTTCCAAATGTCATCTTCATTAGCTTGTACTCTCTGAAGCTCTGATTGGTAAAACGTACCCTTGATATCATCATTTTGAAAATCTTTCAAACGATATAATGGCAACCCCTGTCTGATAAAACGTTTGTCTACTTTGAAAACCTCCCCAGTCCAATGCTGGTCGTATTCCCTACTAAAAACATGTTTCGATTGGGTAATTCTAACCAAAGCTCCAATAGGAAATTTAAATATCTGTCTAGATTTGCTTTTAACAATAGCTGATGTAGGATAATACATCCGCCACCAAATGGTGAGTTCATCATCTTTGGATACATTTCTAGGAGCCATTTTTATTCCCCTGTGCCAAGTGGTATTATAACTTTTAACAAAGTTTTGTAAATTGTCTATAAATCTATAGTTCTGTTTGTACGTGATATATCTCATGAGTTTAGTTTTTAATGTCTTTATAAGTCTCTCTGCATAGTTTGCCTTGGGGGTATTACTCGTAACAAAATGGCGGACTCCCCATCTACCCAGCAATGTTTGTACAGTCCTGGCACGAAATTCTTGGCCAGCATCGCTCCGTATTACATCTGGTTGACGTCCCTCCTTGAAGATATCATCAAATGCATCAGCCACAGATTTCCCAGTTTTATTGTGTAAAGGTCTGACCCAGGCAAAACGAGACATAATGTCAATGACCACAAGTATGAAAC